TTTCAAACGGGATGTCTTCGATGGCATCCAGCTCAAGCCAAGTATACAACAGCTGGGGGCTGAAGATGCTGAATAGCTCCTGAGGAGATGACAAGTGAAGAGCTTCAGACACCTTCTCCAGGCATCTTTTCGCATACTTGGTTGATTGCATGATCTTGCCCGGCGTCTCAAAAATATGGTAGGTGCATCGTCTCAGGAGCGTTGGCCAACGGCACGCCAGCCGAGACAGCACGAAAAGCCGAAACGCAATGCCTTCGATGGCCTCCGGATCGGTAGGAAGGCTGTTCAGGACATCTACGAAGATGTCGTCATGCATTTTAAGGACATAGATGCCGAATATATCTGGCAAGGCAGACCCGATAAAATGCTTGACAGCCAATGTCCCATCTTGCATGATGGAAAGTAGTGTCGTGCGGCAGGAGTCAAGGCCGAGGTCGCTTCCATACTGCGGGTTGATTCGTAGAAGCGCAAACAACAAGCCTGCGAGAGACATCTGCGACTTGGGAGACAGACTGTTCTTTGGAAGCGAGGCCTTGACAAAATAGTTGTACAGGTCACCAACAAGTGAGAATACCTCATGTTTCTCGTCCATCCAGACCCGTATGAGGCCCTCAAGAACGCTCAGGCTTGTCGAATGTGCTACTTCGCAGCACGTGTAGTCCTGCTCGCCAATGACCTCACCAAGCTTCTCGACGACTCGTAAAGCATCATCAGGGCTGATAGGCAAGTCAGACGCGAATAGCTCCGAGAGCATGGAGCTGCATAGAAGAAATTCGTCATTAGGGAGGAGCAGCAACTGGTCGAGGAATTCTTGCGGAACAAGGCCGACTTGTGCAGGGTCTTTGTGCATCACCTCGAAAAGGTATACGCGTTGCGCAGTGTCCTGATAGAAGGCTCCCGGATCTAAACTCATGGAAATGCTCGACCGAGGAATATCGATAGTCTTTGTGGCCACGCTTGCCCTGCTCTCTTGAGAATCGAATTCGTCGTCCAAGTCCATGAGATCTTGACTTTGCCCTGATGCTTGCCGAGCGGTTCGTTCGTGATTGCCTACTGCTAAAATTGCCAAGAGCCGGAACAGGGGAGCATTCTCCTTTGACAATGCGCTCATCCCCGTTGTATGCAAAGCCGGAAGGATTGGACGCACGATTTTGAGCATGACTTCGAAAAAGACTTTGTTATCACCAGACTCGAGAGCAGCACTGATACTGGTTTCCGACAGCTTGGTAAGTGCCGACTCGATATCTCGCGACTGACCCGAATTGAGATCGACGAGCTGAGAGGCAAGCATTATGCCAACGGTGTTTGCCGAGAAGAGACTGTGAAGTCTGTCTGGCGAGACTGGTGCGCCACCTTCTGACCCCTTTCTGTTCCACAAGTCACAAAGCTCTTGCAACTCCTCAACCTTAGGGAACAAAAGTTCCAAGACCAGTCTTTTCGAGGCATGAAATGCTGCCGGGTCGCTAACTTTGATCGTTTCAGTCACCGGGGCCTGGCTACAACCTGCCGTGGCTGTTTTTCCTGTTTGTGGTTGTTCCAACAATAGCAAGTATCTCGTCAGAGCTGAGGTCTGATATTGTGCCTTCCAAGTCTGGCAAATCGGTCCTCCGGAGACGGTCACTGGCGCCGTGAGGGGCACAAGCTTTGCACCACAACATGCCTGGATGAGGTTGACTAATTCTGGAACCGGGGCATGCATGGAGTAGAGTGAAGCGTAGCTCGGGTCGGCTGTCTACAGTCAGATCCGTGAACAGTGCCTTTAAGGGCAGCCAACTCACCTGGATTCCATTTCAGAAACGCCCATCGGATTATATGGTGGCTTGTAGATTGACTGGCGTTTGGCAACTTTACATTCCGAAGAGCCAACAAATGCTGCATAAGGATGATCGAAGAATCCACCAGCAGAGCCGGACCGTTAACATCAGCAGTGGTGACCATGCTGTTGATGTCGTCCGAGACATCATGATAGGGGACTAGGTCTTTTTCAAGGATCGTGTGCAAAAGAACACTAGCGGCACGGCATGTACTGGGAAAGCTGACTGCTCTGGCAGCGACCTGCCACACATGCTTCCACGAAGCTGTTGTGTCGCCGTTCTGGACGTGATATATGGCGTAGCTAAGAGCATTGTTAGTAAACAGTCATTTTCGACTAACCCCCATCGACTTAACCTACCTGGCGCAAGCCAACATAGCCCATGATGACACAGCGGTGTCCTTGTCGCCAACAAAAGCTGACATGTCTGCGAAAAGTTCTTCGACCTCTCTCAAAGAGAAAGTGTCGAGATCGAGAAGGAAAGGCACAAGCTGCAAAGAGATTCTTCGTAGGGCCGAGCTAGACGATTGCAGCTTCTCCTGCAATCGTGTCGCTGTACCATGAGTCCTGCGCTTCTTGCGAGGCTGCTCATCCGGTGACTGTGACCTAGCGTTCTTGCGGCTCTTCCAGAGAATCCGCTCCAGAATGGCGATATTCTGTACCAGGGCCCATCTTCTCTCACCATCGCGATTGTGAACGCGCAGACCGAAGAGGTTCACCCTAAAGTAATCACCTGGCAGCCTAGAGACGAATGTGAGGTCATCCAGTTGAAGTTGCGATCTCATGTTTCGTCGGGAGTATTCTAGCCACAGAGATTCGATGAGATCTTCAATTTCCTTCTGAATTGCTTCATTTTCTCCATGACAAACAAGACGTTCGAGGTGTAGGTGGACGATGAAGATTGTCTTGAGCATCTCATCTCTGACTGAGTTCAGCATCTCATCCTGAGAAACAGTCCTAGCTTGCCACCAGTGACTGATCAGTGGCACGAGGTCTCTGGCCAAGTTGCTGGCCTGCGTGATGTCGTCCGTTTGGATCCCGGTCAGGAGGAGGTTGATCGAGGCAAAGGTTAGTTGAATGACCTGACTTAGTCCAAGGTGACGCAGTTGCAGGATTTGCGTGAGTATTTTGGATAAATCTCGTGCCCTTTGCCCGAGCGGCGCGTTTGGCGGAAGAAGGAGAAGATAGACGCAGTGGAGGAGGTCCTGGACGGTGCCACGATGGATCTGTCCCGGTATTCTTTGACTTGCATTGGTGCTTCTGCCAGTAGAGAATCCCATCGATGCCGTACCCGGTGCCGGAGAGGCACGAGAGCCAGAGTCACGATCCCGGTCAGCATTCTCGAGGTAGCGTTCCAGGGCGTCGATACAAAAATCGACACAGGCAAGCCAACCGTCGGCGCCCAACGTGGCAAGGTGCTCGACATTGGGCTGGTGGGAAAGCAGCGCTACAAGGGCCCTTACGTAGTCCTTCAGCAGCGGCTCAACATACGCCTCATCGCCATGCCCAGGTCCAGGTCCGGGAAGACTCTGCGTGATATGGTCGACGAGGGCAAGCATGGTCTTCCGCTTTAGCTTAGCACCCCCATGGCTGACAGCGACCCGGACGGCCTCGGCACATTTTGCCAGCCGTGCCCCTGCCGACGCTGCCGTCGTCTTCTTTCCTCCGAAATAGCCCTGTTTTTCGTGTATCACACATCGAAATACTTTCTCGAAAATGCGATGATAATGCTTGTCGCCAAGTACAGAGAGGCTTGCCGTTTTCCCTTTTTTGTCCAACAGGAATATCAGATCTATTGATTGTCAGCCTTTTACCTTATCATTGGGGCTGCTCGGTATCGGGTTCCAAGGAGGACGACACAGGTGTTCGACAAGTCAGAGATCTCGGACTAAGAAAAGAGGCGATTTCGGAGAACTGGGGCCAGGAAAACAACGAGGGAGATGAAGAGATGACAACTCACCATCCAGACCTGTCGTACGCTCTTTGAGATTGCCTCCAGATATCGCATCTAACATCGGATGTAAGTTGCCGGACCAGGCATATGAGGGGGTCGACTGACCTAGAGCGACATTGACGGTGATTTCGCCCGTCTTGATCTTTGGAGGCGCCATCCTTATTGTTATCGAGCAGCTCCGCTGGCTAACATGGCGAGTTTTGGCGTCTGATGTTGTGGTCAGCGTGCTATGGAGAAAAATAATATTTAAAAAAGAAACAACACTTAAGAAAGAGATTTGTGGAATCGCGAAGTGTATTAGACAGGAGCGGACACTGGAGGCTGATGACGGAAGGAGAGGCACCTCCCAGGGGAAGTTGGGATTTGTCTCGTACTCCCAAATGCCACGGACGTACCTTAATATCTACGGGTACCTAGTCTGAGTAGTATGGGACTTCAGGCTTCCACTCGTCCGGTGCATCAGTCAGTAAGGCCGTAGGCAAGTTTGACGCGGTAATGAAATCGGGTATGCGGCGGTTGCGCAAACGGAGCTTCAAGCTGCCAGCACTGTCACTGGCACTGACAGGTCCAAGACCAAGGAATATGGCGTATTAGGGTGTGGCTAAGCTACGGAAAGCTGCTCCCCGATGCTTTGAATCCCCTCCTTCATGTAATTGTAAGGGTGGGACAGTTTTCAAGGCAATGTTACTGGTATGTACACCTGGGGATTGCAAGGTCAGACGCGGCAATTCACAGCCTGAATGCAATCAACACAGCTCTCTCCGAAGCTCCCCAAGCTCTTGTCTTTCCGCAGTTCCCTACCTGCCAAAAAAACGCGGCAGAAACCCCACCACCTGCCATACATGGACTAGCTCGGTACGTATCTTGTTGACTCCGGCGCGGAATATAGGTGAATCCCGAGAATTTTCTTGACACAGCAACCAGAAGGCGCATCGATTGGACCAGCACAAGCCCCGACCAGCGCAGGGTGCGCGCTTACAGCAAGGCTAAGGACCTCCCTCCACTAGTGGACGGACACTGCACCTGAGGTGATGCGTGTAAGGTCCAACCTCTGAAGCGATCCACTCTAAAATTCCCGGCATCTCGAAAAGCATCGCCTGCGTCGACAGCCACGACCAAACAATTGAGCATAACCCCGTCGCTACCCGCCAACGCGACCGATTCGCGGCCTCTTCCCAGCCCATGACACTACCAGTTCTCGAGGCCATGCAATAGCGCGCCCAATCCCTCAAAATGGCCGAAGTAACCACCCTCGATGCGCTGCAGCTTTTCCACCGCGACCTAGCTGCCGTTCGCAATGGACGTCCCGAAGGCGTCGAGTCCTTGGACAACCCCGAGATCCAAGCCTTATTCGAAAGGGAGCTCGAGAAAACTTGGCAAAGGCCTCAGAGAGATGAGAAGAGTCGGCAGGCAGTCAAGTCCGGTTAGTCAACAGCTTGCAAACACGTCGATTCGACTTGGACACTGACCCAACGTGATGCGCCAGGCAAGATTGTCATCGACGAAGAAGAATACGCCCTCAACGAGGAGTTCCAGCAGATCGTGCTCAACCTTGCCGATGAGGCCGAGATCAACGAAATCGAAGCGACGCGATGTCTCCTCGACGCAAAAGACGACCCCGCCAGCCTAGGCCGCTCGTTGCTCGAGTGCGGGCTGATTCGAGTTCATCAACAACGCAAATACACCCTCGATATTGTACGGCTGATGATGGAGATTGACGCATTGGACGAGGAAGACGTTGAACCTGAGATTCTTAACGTGGTGCAGATGTGTTTGTCGGCGACTGTTTTCCAGAACCTACCGGGCGAAACTGCGTCCTCACAAAAAAGACTGCTACCGAGGTGTATGTCGGCGATGCAAGACGTCAGGGCATGGCTTCAGAAGATCGCCGACAAGATGACGGCGGCGGCCGTACTGATTAACGGCAGAGGCGGCCAGGTCCCGGAGGAGATGGAGACGATCGAGTTCTCTCGTGTCAGCCTATATCAGCAACACGAGATTCTTGCCGTCATCCTCTGCCGCACAATTGAGAAGCGAGAGGCCGAGGTTGGAGACTTTAAGGCTTTTTTGCAGCATCTGAGAAATGCCGACAAATACGACGTTCTGCTTGGTAAAAACCACTCATCCCTTTGGATATTGTTCTTTGCTGACGGACCTAGCCCATCTTTTCCCCGCGTTGGGTGCATACATTACGCTTTATGGCTCGACTGAAGGTACATCGAACCTGAGCATGGCCAGAGAGCTCAATCCGATCATCTGTCCGCAGAACGATGAGAGCGCCTGGCGCTTGGTCTACCTACAGGCAGCGGTCAAGGCTTGGTGGCTAGCCGAGTATAGCGGATGGTATCTGGACGACTCGCTTCTCGGCGGCTTGGAAGGTGTGGATTTGGATCAAGGTGAGTCCTATGGCGTACATTTGCCGATTCAGGGCTAACGGATGTTTAGAGGATCGACAGAGGTCCAAGCAATTTCTGGAGGCGTTGAAAGATGGTGCTTTCGACTTCATCCTCTCCATTGCTGCAGATGTCAAGACTCCTGAATGGGTCGACCCTTCGAGGATTACCATGCGCAACTGGCTTCAACGAAAAGCCCCCCCGCTAATCTCGGACTCAATTGCCTTTGCCGAATACTTTCAAGCGTTACTAATGAACCAACTGGAGGTTTTCGTTGACGCTTTCATTTCCAACCTTCCCGACGTTCTCAGGAAGCTTCGCGTTGAAGAAGACGAGCAACGTCAACTCAGCCAGACACACGAACAAGACTTAGACCTGGAGCGCTTCCTAGTCGTCATAGCCTACGCATATGAAGGCCGTCCAGATGCTGCGATGAACTTCTGGTCGGACCCCGACAGCAATCTGGCGGGCTTCATGCATTGGGCGTCACGAAGAGCCTCAACGCCACTCGTCAGCTCGTTCTGCGAGATGTTGCAGGCCATTTCTGGGAACGATGAGTGCGCGACGGCTGCTCACGACTTTTTGCTGGATGAAGGACACCATGCTTCGGGTAAGATGAGGCGGTCGCAGTCCCTTACCTGGCATCAAATCTTCAGGGAGCTTGTCTTCTTCTCAAACAAGATTAGGGAAAAGGCTACGACCCCGCAGATCTCATCGACGTATCGACCCGGCCGTCCCAGCAGCGACCAGGCCGAAGCCGAGCCGGAGTCCACGATGATGCTTCAATCATACCTGCGGCTCATCACCAAGCTTGCTTCAGAGAGCGAGACCGCTAGACAATTCCTTCTCAAGGAGCCCAGCTTCAACCTGGTCGAGATGCTCTTCCAGCTTGCCAGCAGTCCTGTTCCGGCAGACCTGCGAGCAGGCACCTTTATGGCATTACGTGCATTGATCTCCCGGAAATCACAAGAGGAGGCCAACATCATGTGGCAGTGTTTGGAGGCTTGGATGAACGGCGCTTACATTGTAACACCAAGTCAGCACCGTTCGCCTCAAAGCTCTCCAGTTGTGTCTATGGACACAGTCAGCGACGATATATGCCACGGTTTTGACGAGCCTCATGCCTTTATCCAGCTTTTGATCGCGCTCATCACGCCACCTGAGGACAGCAGCTCTCTCAACGACTCGCTGCCCTTCCCCGAGAACCTTGGCTCAGCTAACCGCATGCCTGGTATCGAAATCTACGTTGACACTGTTTTGGGCAAGGTGTTTGCAAATAAAGCCAACGAAGTCAACGACATCAACCAGCTGAGAATGCTGCGCTTGAGCTGTCTCGAGTTTGCGGCTACCTGTCTCTCGACGTTTAACGAAAATCTGATTGTCATCGCAAACGAGACCAACATTCCCATTGACTCGGCAATGGCAGCGACGGACTTGGCAACCTATGTCAAGCTGCATCCTTTCGCCCGAGTCATGGAATGGATGTTCAACGACAAGGTCATTGCGGCCCTCGCCCAGACCATCCATCAGGACGCGGTGGATGTCGGCAACGCACCGCCCGATTCGCCAGTCATCCTGGGTATCCTCAGAGCTGTCGAGGTCATCTCGAAGGTCCTGGATCTCCAGGCGACCTTCCTCGATCTTGTCCGTCCTCTGATCAAAATGCAATCTAACCACCGGCGCCCCCCTGTTGCCAACGCCGCGTACGCTTCTTTCGAAGACGGCCTGGTTGGCCATCTAGGTCTTGTGGTTGACTTGGGAAACTACTGTGGTCTCGGCCACCCTGAAGTAACTCTCTCCTGTCTGAGGTTATTGCAAAAGATGACGACGTCGTTCAAGATCACATCAGCATGGTCATCTACACCTGGTCGCAAGAGCCACCGCAACAAGGCTATTGTCGCGCTCGAGGCAAATGGAGAACATGAGACCATAGCCCGGTCGCTGGCCGCAGAACTAATGACGCCTCTTGATTGGGGACGAGAAGCCGAGTCGCCCGGCTATCTTACCAAAACGTACATTCTCGACTTTCTCTCCAGCTGCCTGGCGGCAAGCCCAAACAAGCCTACGATTGCTCATCTTCTGTTGGGCTTCCACTGTGGCGTTGACTCGCTATCTATAGAACCCAACGGAACTTTTGCCGCCAGGACATCAATCTTCCACAACATGTTGAGGTTGCTTTTGGACACACCATTTGGCGATGCCCAAGGCATGCGGCATTGGCTTGTGTCTTTGAAGAGCAAGTGTATGTACATCCTAAGGGTCTTGTGGACATCACCTTTGTCAGCCCCGTTTGTCATCGATGAACTCCGAGACAACGACGTCCTATTTCACTTCCTGCTGCGTGAGGTGGTTATCCAGCCCCAGTTGCCGTGGGAAAACCAAGACATCAACGCTCCCGATTTTCCACTCACCGAAGGCGCTCCAACGTTTATCGAGTTTCTTGCTCTGCGCAGTATGAGCTTGGAGTACATCGCGATGGAGCTCTGCAGCATATCGCAGAGTCGGATGCCGTCCCTCAAACGACGGATATTCGAAGCCCTCAACGGCCAGATCGTGGGCGAGAACAACGAGCCTATGCCTATCCCGACCGTGTTCGACTTGTACGACTTTTCACTGCCCGAGGGCATTTGGGACGAGTCACTCCCTGCCCTTCAGTTTTACAAGGACCTTGATCTCAGTAGTTGTCTCGAGGAGGACGACCACGGAAACGCCATCTATAACATCGACCGAGCGAGGGAGATTCTGCTACTGAAACGGAGTGAAAGAAGACATGACGGCGTCCTCCTCACGGCGCAAGACTTTGCCACTGTGGAACGGGAAGAGACGATGATAATCAACTACCTAATCTTCACTAATCGACAAAGGCGGATAGCATCACAAGGTCTCGGTGTCCTAAAGACATGGACAAGTCTCCTCCTCGTCATGGTCGCATCGAACGAGTTCAAGGGCACGACTGAGGCTTCGTTCTACTTGCAAGCGCTGCAAGCCATCCTGCCCGGCCTCGAGGCGTCGGCGTTTGAGCGGCCAGAGGAAGCTATGGAGCTTGCCAAGTTGGCCAGGGTTCTTCTCTTCAAGCTCGACTTGAGCTCGAGGCCTTCGCTGGATCGGGAGAGCCAGGCCATCGGCAGCCTCGTGAGCGACAAGCTTTACCAGTTGTTCCAGGTCTGCCTGCAAGCCATCGGCAAGTGGACTGGCTCGTCAGACCTCCGAGCAATCTACTACAGCATCTGCTACCGTTACCTGACGGGCATGGTAGACCAAGGACTGCTCGTCGCCGGGCGGCAGAAGACGCTCAAGACGATCCAGGTATATGGCGAGAGGCTCATCAACGTCATTTGCGACGACGCCTACAGCAGCGACGCCGCATGCCAGACTGCCGCCTTCGTCCTCCTCAACGTGCTGGTCAATCTGGGACGACAAGAAGACGACCCGCACATTGTCGAAACGCTCAACCGGCTCAACTTCATTGGCATACTGGTCGACTCCCTACGGACCATCCTGCATGACTGGGCCGAGGTTGTCCACACGGGCAACACAGCGCAGGAGACCTACGTGGCGGCCAAGTTTGCACTGCTTCTGCAGCTCGCGCAGACCAAGCCTGGCGCCAAGTACATCCTGCACGCGAACCTCTTCCGGTCCATCGAGGCCTCTGGCCTCTTCGCGGCGGACCCGGAATTGCAGATCGACCCCACAAACCCTAAGGCCCTGGAGAAGCACTATGAACTGCTCGCCAAGGTCACGCAGGTCGTCAGCGCGGCCATCGTCAGCCGCGGCTCCAGCAACGTGCTCCAGGGGCGCAGGTTCCTCACGGAGCACCGCATGCTGGTGACGCATACCCTCAAGCGCAGCGCGGGCATCGGCACGGTCGAAGGAGAGGGTGTCTTGGAGGAGCGCATCGAGGAGTTGGCCGAGGGCTTCATGGTCCTGATCGCCGCGACTGGTTTCCTCGAGGTAAGTCCTACACCGGAGCGCTGTTTACTACTTTTGCAATGGCCCTTTGCTGACAGATTTGCGCAGTTTGAGAACGAGGTGATGCCGGAGCCCAAGAAGCAGGGTCCTGTTTTGTTCACTTGAGGAACTAGGCGGAGAGACGTGCAAGGATACGATGGCGATGATAATCAGCGGAAGAATACAAAGAGAAGAGACAGAGGAGAAGACCTAATCAGCGTCGATGTCATCTGTGCATAGAACCAGGCGTTCGGGAGAGGTGAAGGGCCGGAAAGGAAACGGGGCACTGACCGGAAGGTCAAACCTAGTCTCGAGTGGGGATACGATCCCCCCGGAGAAAACATGCATTGAATAAAGTACTGTGGATTTGCCACAACCAACTCCCACGCGGGACCGGTCGCAAAATCACCAGTCGGAGCAGGCGGTTTCTTGGAGGACGAGCTTTCCATACAAGCCTGATCTCACTCGCCCGGCCATGGGGGGTTGCTTCGGATCCCCGATGAGAGACATCCGCGAGGAAACACCACGCAGGCACGTAGACAAACACGTGAGCCGACCTTGTCCCCTTGAATTGGAATGATTCGTCTATGTCCATGCTACGGCACAGACGCCACTGCCTCTACTACCCTCGCTCCTATGAATGCAATGCTGGCTGAACGGGTATCACAAAAAATCATTGCCTGGTCCCCTTGGTCTCCCCCCAACGCACTGAAAATGCCGAAAATGTCCCCGAGTGCCTGTGCCTCCCTCCTTGTTCGCCATAAAGTAAACGTCTAGTCCGTGGCGAATCCGCCCCAGGCCCCGAACATGTGTCTCGTGAGAACGGTGCGCGGCTCACGCCCGTTGCTTGCCCTTGCGGCTAGCCGTCATCAGCTTGAGCTCCAGGGGCCAGAACCCCTTGGTCTTGGCTGTGTAGTCGTTCCGGTCCTTGGTCTCGACCTTTTGTCGGCAGATCGGGCACTTGTTCTTCGTCGCGTCAACGTTCAGCGCTGAGTGGAGGCACTCGGAACAGAAGAGGTGACCTAGCAGTGTCAGTACGTCGGCAAAAAAATGACCTGAAGACCATACGTACCACAGTGGGTTACTGTCAACGCAGTTACGTCGTCCATGCAAATGACACACTGAAAGGCCGAAATCTTTACTCTGTTGTCCTCCTTGGGCACCTTCAGATTCTCTGGCACCTCGTTTGCGTCGGCAAGATCGATAACGTCCTCGTCCTTCTCCTTGCCCTTCTTCGTATCGACCTTGTCTTCGCCAAAAATGTCGTCGTCGGGACCCAGAACGCTGGGCGTCGTTGTTCGGTTGCGTGCGGCCTGAGGCTGTGACGTCCGTCGTCGTTTGGGGGCGGCGGTTCCTCTAGCAGGGGCAGACGAAGGGGCCGCCCGCTTTCGCGTGGCGGGAGCCACCATCTCCTCTGGCTCGGGGTCGTGGTCAGAGCTGAGGATCGTGGAGGCTCTCCGGCGTGTCTGGACAGGCATCGTGACCTCGGGTTCGTCGTCCGAGCTTACGAAAAGCGACTCTTCGACCTCGTTGTTGTGGTACACGGGATGTGACGTTGGTTCTCGTACTGCTGCTGTCGCCGCAGCGTTCGTGTCCTGGCTGGCGTATCTTGCCGGGCGGTTTGGTCGCAGGGTCGTGCCAGAAGCGTGGCGATGTGGTGCGTCCTGACTCTGAGCCAGATTCGTTTGCTGAGTGACCGTAGAGGCCTGCGTGAATCGGGGATATGAGGACGGCGAGGAGAAGTTCCCGTCGGCTAGCGCGGAGAGGTACTCGTCACTGATCGGTTCGTGGTTGGGTGTCTGCGGGGCGCCGTTCTGGAGTAGCGCAGTTGCGTCGAAGGGATGGGAATCCAGGTTGGCGGCAAAGTCTGAGAAGGACGGCAGCGCTTGTTGGTACTGGGTGCTGTCCGGTGTAAAACTCCCCCAAAGGTTTTCGATGTGGTGTTGGTGTTGGTGTTGGTGCGTGTGAGTGGCGTTTCGAGGCCCCGAAGCGGATGTGGGCTCGGAATCGTCGTCGAGTTCGATGGGTGTTTGACTGCTATTGCCTCGTGCAGCAACTTGGTCTGACCCGGGAAGGCTGTTGACCGGTCGGCCTGGGGCGGAAGAAGCGCTTGTTCGTGTCGGCTGCGGCAGAGGAGGCGTAGGTAGAAACGGGATAAGGCCCGGCATGGGAGGTAGGAGGAAGCGCCGATTGTCTTTTGCGTGCGAAGAAGTGATTCAATTGTTAGAATCAAGAAGTGTCCGGGTCAAGGGGCAGCAGGGTGAGTTTAAGAGAAAAAAAAATTAGGCAGATCAGCCTGTAGATTGCCGCAAAGAAAAAAGAATTAATTACCAGACAAGTATCCAGGGTAGGGAGATTGAAGGTCGACAACGGGATCCTTGGCCATGTCGACGTTGCGAAGGGAAAGAGACGGAGGGGAGCGAGGAAGGCGGGATGACGGATGAACGTCGCCAGTGTCGTCGTTTCGGGGTTTAGGCGCGAGTTCGGGGATTGAGGCGACTTGGTGCAGTGGTAGTGGAGTTTGGAGGGCAAACCAGAGGGCAGGTGTGCTCTTCTTAGTGTCCGTACCACAACGGCGGCAGTTGGGGCACTTGATGATGAATCAGGCTCGCCAGCCGTTCAGTCACCCAGGTCTGCTGGTGGCAGCTGACGCTTTCTTATGGTTCACGACCTTTTCTTATGGACCGCTGGAGGGGGAGAAACAGATTCCCTTTGATCTGTTCGTGCCTCGGGTTTCCCGATCGCGACAAGTGGCAGGCGTGGCGCTTTGGGATCTTGGTTGCTTGGGGAGGGGTGGGATGAAATACGACACGAAAAAGCAATGAGACGACACCAAGCGCTTCTGCTTCCCTAAGTGTATGTATCCATCCCTGTGTCTGCACCGCACTGCATCTTGGGTGCTCCCGGCGTCACACAATACGGCTGAATGCAGCACCAAATATTACTTGGGCTCGTTTCTTGTCTGCAACAGACGGTTCTAGTCTGGTGGCTTTCGTCCGAACTATGATGGCTAACTCGCTGGGCAAAGTCAAGTGTGCAGCTGGCTGGGACCATATCAACAAGTGCTACAGAAGCGACTGCTAATGCCGCCATCAGAACCGAGCATCATGTGTACATTGATGCCCGGGTCTGGTCCAGTCGTACAAACATGCGGTTGCCACACGCGACGCAAACGTGTCGAACATATACTCCAACTACCTATCTGTGCTGTCAAAGTATACATGATAGCAATATGATGGATCGGAAATGTTTCTGTGTTACAGAGGACAAGCAATCGACAGGCGCTCGACTCAGCCTCTGCAGTCCGGACTATGACGGCTTTGTGCAGCTTCCAGACGCACTTGGAAACTGGACGATAATTTCAACTTGGCGGTGCTTTCGACTAGGTGTCTGGAAAAAAGAAACCCTGCAAGGCACCTTAGCCTAGAAGGTATTCCGCATAAAGACCCCCGACGGCCCCGGAAGCGCTTGACCCACAACACCGACAGCGTCGGGTGCCATCGGCCGTTAGCCGGAAACTGCCTCTCTTGTTCCTACACACCTTACATGCACCCAATCCAATGAATAGTATTGTCGATGAAAGCGATGTCTCACAAAGGACGCAAGAGTTATTACGATGCCGAAGGATCTTTCGAGACGATGTAACTTCATTCGCAAGCCTTCAGAGGGGAAGTTCGCTGCTTTCACGCGGCCACTGCTGTCCCAAATTCGAAGGTGTAAGGACGGCCAAATCTTTCCAGAGCCCAAGCGGACGGGAGACCCTTAAAAGGTGGATACGGCCCGGTAAGGTGAGCAAAGCAGGCAAACTCAAGCTCGCCGATTGGCTGACCATCCCTGCTACAGCACAAGGACCCAAGCTAACGCGCCCCGCCCCTCTTCTGCCCCTATCGCGACGCCTATCAAAGTGGTGACGGCAACTCTCTTTTTTTCCACGCCGCTCCTCATCCATCTTCGTCATCGTACTCGCCCTCGGCTTTTGCGACTTACAGTATTCACCGCGTATTCAAGGATATGTTTTGCGAGCGCGCATCCTCGATAATTCATTAGCGCTCGCATCCTGCGACATGCCGCACGATCGACCAAGACGATGGTCGAAATCGCAAACCAGGCCCTGAGGGGTTCCACTGCGAGCTTCGTCCGCCTAGCCCGACACCATGCTTCTCGTCGCCTTGCCTGGCGGTCCCATGTTCGGTGGCAGTCTGCAACCACAGCAGCGGCCGCGAATGCTGAGAGCACCAAGGAGCGACAACACAGTCTAAACCGTATGCGCACTGCGCCCGTCTCGTCAGTCCTGGGGCTCATTGCTAACGATCACAGTCTCGTCGCAGTCGCGCTACAACGACATTGGCGTCCAGCACCTCAGCGCCCATGTTTACAAACAGATATTCCCCGACGGAAACACACCGCCGCCTCCCGAGCTCGTAGAACTAGCCAGAGACCACTTGCGCCGGCACGACTTGCTCGGCAAGAACACCGACAACAACGATCCCATCGCGTTCGACCTCCCCGATCTTCAAGGACGAACCCTAGACGAGCACTTCCACAAGCTTGCGGTGAACTCTGCCGAACCGTACCTATCTCTAGCAAAACAGTTTGCGAGGGCCAACACGCCACCGAAGCCGCGGAAATGGGTTCGTCGCAGTGGATGGACAAAATACTATCCCGACGGCAGGACAGAGGCCGTCGATGCGCCCGCCGATTCCATGTTATGTTTTGACACAGAGGTTATGTGGAAGGAGAGTTCATTTGCTGTCATGGCTTGCGCCTCGAGCCCGACGGCGTGGTATGCCTGGCTGTCGCCTTGGCTGCTGGGTAAGTCCGAAACGGACCGGCACCTGATTCCGTTGGGCGACCCAACGAAAGAGCGCGTGATAGTAGGGCATAACATCGGGTATGATCGAGCGAGAATATTGGAAGAGTACGACGTGAAGCAAACGCGCAACTCCTTCATGGACACCATGTCGCTTCACGTGGCTGTAAACGGCATGTGCTCGCAGCAAAGACCTACGTGGATGAAGCACAAGAAGAGCCGAGAACTGCGAGACAAGATTGCGAGCCAAACCGACGACGTACAGCTGGCGGAGCTGCTGGGAAACAGCGCTATGCGGCAGGAAGAGGAGGAGCTTTGGGTGGACCGGAGTTCGGTCAACTCGCTTCGCGACGTGGCCAAGTTCCATCTCGACGTCACCATCGACAAGGCCGTGCGCGACGAGTTTGGCACGCTTGATCGAGCGGGCGTGTTGAGCAAGCTGGACAACCTCCTGGACTACTGTGCTGCAGATGTCGCCATTACTCACCGGGTGTACCAGATCGTCTTCCCCAACTTCCTCGACACCTGCCCTCATCCCGTCAGCTTTGCGGCGTTGCGACATCTTTCGTCGGTCATCCTGCCTGTCAACAAGACCTGGGACGCTTACATCCACAATGCCGAGGCCACCTACCGTGAGCTGTCCGATGCCGTCCAGGAGCGTCTGATCGGGCTTACCGAACAGGCCCTCGCAATCAAGGACGACCCGGAAAAATGGGGCAACGATCCATGGTTAAAGCAGCTGGATTGGTCTGGTCAAGAAATCAAAATGGTCAAGGGCAAGAAGAAGAATGACCCGCCACGGCCGGCAGCGAGGCAGAAGAAGCCCGGTATGCCGCAATGGTATAAAGACCTATTCCCGAAAAACGACTCTCCCATCAACATCACAGTACGGACTCGTATCGCTCCGATACTACTCAAGCTCTCGTGGGATAACCACCCCTTGTTCTGGTCAGACAAGTACGGTTGGACGTTCAGAGTGGCACAGGACGAAGCAGCAGACTACCAACAGAAGCAGATGATCGAGTGCGACTTCTCAGACTCTGAGAGCGACGCCGCGCTGCAGAAAGAAGATGGTGTCTTTTTCAAGCTGCCACACAAGGATGGTCCCACGGCACGTTGTGTCAACCCCATGGCCAAGGGATACTTGTCCTATTTCGAAAAGGGCACTCTGTCTTCGGAGTACTCTTACGCCAAGGAGGCCTTGGAAATGAATGCGTCGTGTTCATACTGGATCAGTGCCCGCGACCGCATCATGTCACAGATGGTTGTGTACGAGAACGACATTCCAGGTAACAGCAAGGAGGCGAGCTCCAGGAAGGAGAAAGACCCGGAACAGTTGCAGGGGTACATCCTACCCCAGATCATCCCTATGGGGACCATTACGAGGAGAGCAGTGGAGAACACGTGGCTTACCGCGAGCAATGCGAAGAAGAACAGAGTCGGATCGGAGCTCAAATCAATGGTCAGGGCGCCGCCGGGCTACTGCTTTGTCGGAGCTGATGTTGATTCGGAAGAGCTGTGGATCGCGAGTTTGGTTGGAGACGCAACGTTCAAGCTCCACGGTGGTAACGCCATTGGATTCATGACCCTAGAGGGCACAAAGGCCGCCGGCACAGATCTGCATTCGCGGACGGCAGGTATCCTGGGCATCACGAGAAACGATGCCAAGGTCTTCAACTACGGCCGCATCTACGGCGCCGGGCTCAAGTTTGCCGGCCAGCTGCTCAGGCAGTTCAACCCCAACTTGTCCGACAAGGAGACGAACGAGACTGCTGCGAGGCTGTACGCCAAAACGAAGGGCACCAAGACCAACAGGTCGGCACTGAGCAAGCGGCCGTTCTGGCGCGGCGGGACAGAATCATTTGTCTTCAACAAACTGGAAGAGTTTGCGGCCCAGGAGCGACCGCGAACGTTTGTGCTCGGTGCGGGCATCACGGAGGCCTTGATGCGCCGGTTCATCAACCAGAACGGCTACCTGACGTCGCGCATCAACTGGGCTATCCAGTCCTCGGGCGTTGACTACCTCCACCTCCTAATCGTAGGCATGGATTACCTCACCCGGCGGTTCAACATCGAGGCTCGTCTCGCCATTACCGTCCATGACGAAATCCGATACCTCGTCAAGGACCACGACAAGTACCGTGCCGCCATGGCACTCCAGGTAGCAAACCTCTGGACAAGAGCGATGTTTGCCCAGCAGGTGGGCATCAACGACCTGCCGCAGTCGGTGGCGTATTTCTCCGCCATCGACATTGATCACGTCCTCCGCAAGGAAGTCGACATGGACTGTGTGACACCAAGCCACAAGACGGCCATCCCCCCGGGAGAGAGCCTCGACATCACCGCGCTCCTCGCCAAAGGGGCCGAGGCGCGTCTAGACCCGTCCATCGTGCCTGACCCGGCGTACGCGCCCAAGCTCGACGGGATCGAGTACGCGCCGCGCACACCCGTCATGGACACGCTCGAGGACTCGACATCGGCCGACCCTCATTTCCTCAAGGCGCAGATCGTGGGCACCGAGATGGAGCTGAACCAGGTGCTCAAGGACAGGAGACAGTCGCTCAAGGCGCAGGAGGAGAAGAAGTCCCGCGCGCCCAGGCCGAAGAAGGAACGCAGCGTGCTGCCGTACCAGTCCGACGCAAAGCTGGTCCCGACCATGACGGTGTCGGACGCGTTCGGCCACAACAAGTTTGGCTCGCGATTCGAAACCAAGAACCGGTGGACGACGTGGCAGAAGGAAAAGGGCGCTGGTCGGTTTGGACCTAGCTCGCGGATCTAGTGTAAGACGGCGACGGAAAGGGGATGTACGATGTTTGTAAACGCCTAGACGGCACTCTGTTTTTGTATGTATTATCCACTCTGGGTGGCTCAAAAAGGGCAAGGCTTGGATGAAGGGGACATGCTGGTGTTGTACTGGGACAGGCGCTTTTTCATACTTGGGGACTGAGGGTGGTAGGGTATTGATTCCCAACTGTTCTATGCTTCGTGTAATACCAATCTTCACAAACCGCTCACTCGCGCCAAGGTTTCTCAAACTCCGGTTACTGACGTGGTGTGTCGCAGAACCAGAGCAGCAATGCGTCCGTCGAGGCTAAACTATTGCTTCCAGAGCAGTGCTTTCTAAAACCAATCACTGCACAGACGTGCACCTGACTCCCTTCGTTTTAAGTGGACCTTTTGAAATCATGAGGCATGTGCCGACTTATTGTCGGAGGTGCGGGACCCCGGCTCGGCGGTGGCAACCCCGGCAGGTCCGGCTTAGCTCGAAGTCGCAGTTGACGTCCGTCTGCTTGGGTACACATCACCACATTTGTTTCCGAGTTCTCAAAGGTGCTTCGCAGCTTGTTATTGTCAAAGTCACGCAAATGAAATATTGGGTGCAAAACTCATCAAAGTAAACCATCTTGGTCGCAGATCAAACCAGATACAACGCCAAATGCCAGCCAACAGTCCCCCTTTTTCTGGAAAGCACGCCCTCACGACGCATGAACGACGTCCCGGAAACGACAGAAACCCCGCACCGTGTGTACACATTCCCCTTTGTCCTCGCCCCAGACCAACCGGCGGCGAACCCAGCTTAGTTCTTCTTGAGCTTCAACACGACCCACGCCGCGATCCTGTACCCGGCAATGATCGCGAACATGATGCCCACGTTCCTCCCAAAGTGGTCCTCGGTGTAGCCGTACGTGTCCAGCACGCCCTGCCCCGCAATCTTGCACTCCGCCGCCAGCGGCGTCTGGTACATGCACTGACACCCGCCGCCACAGGTGTACGTCCTCTCGGCGAACTCGTTCTGCATCATGCCCTCGAAGACGTACTTCTGGTAGTCCCAGTAGTGGAAGACGTACTTGTAAAAGGCGTTGAGGATGGTCGGTGAGACCATGAAGCCGTTGACGCTCATCCACAGGCCGTTGGCGAAGGCGACGAGCGCCAGGCTCACGACGAAGCTCGGGAACAGCGAGGTGAAGAGGACGACGAGGCTCTCGGCGGCGAGGAGGTCGAGGAACAGCCAGAGGACCCAGACGAAGAAGGCCTCGGCGGCGGGGCGAAAGTTGGACAGCCAGTACGAGATGACGGAGAAGATGAGGGCGATGAGGAAGAGGTACGGCAGGCCGATGAGAAAGTTGGAGACGAGCAGCGCCGTGGCGCCGTAGAGGCCGTTGTGGTGCTCCTTGACGTACTGGCTGCGGTCCTCGAGGAACGCCGGGACGTAGGCGACGGCCATGAAGGACATGAAGGCGCCGCCAAAGAAGATGGCGTTGGTTAGCGGGATGATGGACGCCTGGTCCGTCGACAGGCGCACCCACACCGTGCCCATCATGATGGCGAGCCCCGTGTACATGGCGAACCGGATGCCGTACGCCACGACGTCGCGGTAGCTCTTGACGAAGCTGCGGTGCAGAAGCGTGCCCACCAGGCTCGCCAGGCCGGGCTTCGCCTCGGCCTCGCCGACCACGACGGCGTCGCTGTGCTGCTCGGCGCCGACGATGGCGGCGCGCAAATCCCGGGCCGGCTGTGAGCCGTTCCACGCCGCGTGCATGGCCTCGAGACGCGCCGCGGCCTCGCGCTTGTCGCGGACGAAGTCGGTGTTGACCACCTCGAGGACGTGCTCGGCCGGGTTCACCTGCAGCGGGATCGGCATGCCCAGGGCCTCGTAGTAGGGAACCACGGCGTCGACGGCGCCAAAGTAGTGCGTCTTCCCTGCGGAGAGGAGGAGCAGCTTGTCAAAGAGGTTAAAGGTTGACGTCGAGGGTTGGTGGATGGAGGCGATGACGATGAGCTGCGGTGGTTAGCACTGCGCTGTTTCCCGATGCCGAGGCAAAACGTGTCGACTTACATTGCTCCGCTTGGCCACCGTCTTGAGGTAGCTAATCACCTCGAAGCTGGCCGCTGAGTCGAGCCCGCTCGTCGGCTCGTCCAGGAACATGATCTTGGGGCTCGTGATGAGCTGGCTGGCGACGCCGACGCGCCGCTTCTGCCCGCCCGAGATGCCCTTGCGGATGGGCGTGCCGATGATGGTGTCGGCCTGGTCCTCGAGGCCGAAGGCGCTCAGCAGGCCGTCGACGCGCGCGATGCGCTCCTTGGCGGCCAGCGAGGAGGACGCGAGGCGCGAGGTGAAGAGCAGCGTCTCGCGGACGGTCAGGGACCCGATGAGGGCGTCCTCCTGCTCGACGAAGCAGCTGATGCGCCGGAAGTCGGAGCGCGAGGGCTTCACGCCGTTGACGAGGACGGAGCCGCCGACCGAGGAGGCGTTGGTCGGGCGGCCGGCGAGCACGTTGAGGAGGGTCGTCTTGCCGCAGCCCGAGGGGCCCATGAGGGCGCAGATCTCGCCTAGACGCGCGTGTTAGTCAAGGGAGGGGCGCGCTGGGATACACCCGAGGTGCAAGAGGACTCACCCGCTTCGACAAGGCCGTCGACGTGGTCAACAATCTTCTTTGGCTGCTTCGTCTCCCTGTCCTTGACGGTGACCTCGACGCCGTCCCACGAGACGTTGTGCACTGTGGCGTTGAATAGGTGGGCGTCTGCGGCGCCCATCTCGGCGTCGTGGCCAAAGAAGCTATGCTCGTCGCACTGCGTTGGCTTGATGCCCTCCTTCTTCGCCCTTGCGACGTAGTTGTCGTGATTCGCCATGGCTGCGTCGTGTGTATGGGTGTGTCTTTCTCTTCACCGCTGACCAACGGGACTGCAAGAATACACGAGTTTCGATATTGATATGTACCAAGCCAGAAAAAAGATGCCAACGTGTGTAATAGCCACCAGAAGCCGCCCACCTATTGCAAGAAGGAGCTACATTGATTTTATCTACCCGCTCTTCACTTACACCGACATCCGCCCAGGCATGCAAAGCCAGACCCGCCCGGCTGGCCCAGCTGCGGCGACCTGCTCCCTCTGCTTTTGCTTTTGACTGTGATCGCATGGTGGCATTTGAGGCTGAACTAGATAGCCTACAGCGCTGCCGGGCTAGAGGAGCGGGCTGGCAAGGGTAGTAGTCGGCGACCATCATGTCCCATGCCTACTAGTCCCCGTGGGCCAACGAAAAGTCCCCGGGGCAGGGGTGCGGCGCAGGGCTGTGGGCAGGGGGGGCCACAGGTGCCGTACCGGCGTACCTCGTCCAACATGTCCGGCCCACTCTGGGCACACGTTCTACTGCATGTAGTCATCATCCCCATTGGGACGTGAACCACACGCGCTTACCGGGTCGGTCTGGCCGGCCCCGACGCGGGAGCCTCTCTTCAGCAAGCTCGCGCCACGCAACGACCTGGGGGCCGTGACGAAGGAGGAATACTCCCGATGAAGCGTCCGTTCTGGGATGTTCTTCCCCGACGGTTAGGACGCGAGGAATGTTCCAAGCCGCGCCGAGTGGGTGTGATGCTGTCGCCGTCGTGGGCGTCAAACGGTCTGGACTGTGCGGCGGCTGTCCTTTTCGTCTTCCGTACCTCCATGAAAGCCATGCCGCCCTTCGCATTGAAGATTGACATGTCACATCCCACCGATAGCCGGAGGGAACAATGGGCCAATTTCCAAACTCTAGATGCGAGGAAGCAAATGGTGGAGAGCCATCGAATGGTCCCCGAGATGGAGGCAGTTCAGACGGCGTAATGGACGCTGAGGAGTGGCGTGACCCAAGGGTTCCCACCTCCCCATCTCCGCATGGCCCGCGTCACACAAACACACAGACACACGGACACACGCCCCTTGGCAAGCGGTGCGCGTACCCGGGTTGTGCGCCAACGGTTCCCCCCTACTCTCATTGCTGAGACGGTTGGACGACGGGAGGCCATCTCCAGCGCAAGCGAACGGTGGGCCTCTTCTTTGCATCAAAGGGCTCGTTTCGGGCTTGCCTGGGGCAGACTGGCAGATGAACCGTTCCCGCCGCATGCGCCTCGTCGCCAGCGTCGCTGTATCAGAAAGCGACTGCCTTTCCGCTGGTGACATTTACAAGTCAATCAATCTATCACACAGTCGGATCGCCATCGTCCCGAGCCTCGTGGGAGTCTATAGGTTGCTCTCGATAGTAATCTTCACCGAACCAACGACCGGCGAGAAGGTTACCACGGGCGGTGGGGGGTGGGGAGACGATTGGCTTGCCCGTCAAAGAGCCACGCGTGCTACGATTCGACGACACGATGATCAGTCTATTGCACTGCGCATAGAGACCACGCTCGAAGCGAAGCCGTAGGCCTCTTCTGGATGGCGAACAAGGGTCTCAGAGACGCCGGTTGAAACGCATGTGCAACCTCAAAGCTATGAGAGGGAAGAAAATAAAAAGATCACAATATACGGCCTCCACGTGGCAACGTCCATGCCGGCCACTTACACGGCCCTCGACGATCAGCCCGATTGGGTCAGTAGGTATTCGTAAAGGACAATGCGAACTAACCCAGATAATTGGGGGGGGGGGGGGGGCATCAGGGCATCCTTGCATTCGACATGCCGCGACGCCACGCCGCTTCATCCCGTGGTGAACGACGCAGGCTTTGCCCGTCGAGGTACCCAAGTCGTTGCCTGGACCGGGTCGAACCTGTCCTGTCCCCATCCCGGCCCGGTGACCTGGTCTTGGCCTGGTGGGATCTCGGGACCGCTAATGTGTCGCTTGGGTTCAGTGTCGATAAGTTAAAGTGCCGCCGCAGCGTCCAGAGTCTGGCCCCTCCTCGCACGATGAGTGCCCACTGAACAGGGTCGAGACGCGGCGTGGCGTTGGGGAAAATCGACGGCGCCAAGGACGCCCTCGAAGTCGACGGTGCCACGAGGGTCGCCGAGCTGGGCGGGCTGCCGATCTAGCAGAGCGGGTGCTTTAGCTCGAGGTAGCAAACGGCTAGTCGCATGCTTAGCGTGGGTGTGAAGAAAACCTCGATAACTTCAGCCTCGTTGTTTTCTACAGAATGCCGCCGCTGCCGCCTGAGACTAGTAAAGATGTTGGATTTCACCTTGCCGGCACCCAACACACATGCAATGAGAACTGCGGACGTATCATTCAGGGTTCAGGAATCGGCAGTCTCTGCTGCCGCGTGTATAATTCATGAGCAGAAATGTACCGCCGGGCCCTAGATATAAACATAGCAAGTTCGTCTTTACTGAGAAAGAACCGAAATAAGAATAAACATGCGCAAGACGCCTCCCGTTGCCCGTGTTTGTACGAGCTGGTATATCGCTAACCAAAGCAGCCAACCGAAATGAACCACGCCAAACCCTGCTTTCCTCTCTCTTTATCAAGTGCCATCACAGGCCCCCAGTACTCATCGCCGGGTTTACCTCTCCGTATCGAGTGAGGTGCAGGCTTCACACGCATACCCGACGGCAGTGCCGAGTCTACCCGGTAAGGTTGTCGAGAGGGGGCATTGGGATCCCGCCCAGCCCCGTCTCGATGTCGTTCATGATCGTCTCGTCCGCCGCGATGCTGTTCATCACTTCCTCCTGGGTGAACCCCTGCCAGTAGGACGGGTTGATCTGCGACGACTTCTTTGACCGGTAGACCTCCTGCGCAACCGCCTTGACCTGGTTCAAGGCGTTCTCCGCCGCCTTCCACACGGCCGAGAGCTTGTTGAGAGCCCCAATGTTGAGGCGGATCTGTTGCCGAAGCTCGTCGTCGTCGTGGGGGATGAAGAACAGGGCCCACTTGCTCAGGTGGACAATGGACGAGAGCGTCACGACGCAGGTGAAGAAGTGCGTGTGGGACGTCAGAGGAACGCGGTGGGTGATCATCTTGCTGATCTCGGCAGCCGAAGTCACGGTGTGGGTTGTGTGAGAGTTGAACAGGTCGCCGGTCGGGACTGGCCGGTGCGGCGCGCATGACGTGACGGAGCGCGTGGGGGACGAGTCCAGCTGTGAGTGCGGCTGGTGAAGCATGATGGATGTTCTGTTCCACGTCAGTCTGGCACGCCTCAAGACGCACACGAGGGAAGGCCGTACGCATTGGTCATCATGTTGGCCTGGAAAATCATCTCGTCCGGCTGAAGCTTCTGGTCCAGTGCATTCTTCTTGGACGCCGGGAGGTGGAGCCTCCAGTTGGTCAAGAGGGCCTCGATGCGCGCCAGGTTCTCGTCGTCTGGCCCGTAGATTGGCGGGACGCGCATGAGCTTGCCTAGGTTGCGCCCGGCGAGGATACGATACGCAAACGACGAGAACTGCCTATCCTCGCCCGAGAAGTCTTGGTCTTCCAAGTCCGTAAGAGTCATGGGCTGCGGAATGTTCTAAAGCACAACGTTAGCGACTGGCCGTGGGGGATGGCGTTGTAGCATGTACTCACCCCAGACAGATACTGATGCTCTTCGCACGGAAGGGCGGCATCGGCGGGCACGTCAAAGAGAAGAAAGTTGGTCTGGCGATGGACCCCCGCCACCATGCCATCCACAACGAACAAGTCCCACCACGTCCTCCGCCAGCTCTCCTCGAGCACCGGGATGCCGCGGCCGTACTGCGTCGCGTATTCGCGCGTGTTGAGCCCGAGCTCGAGAGCGACGCGCTCGGCGTCGCCAAGAAGCTCCCGAGCCTTCTCCTGCTCACAGCCGCCGTCCAGCCCGACGATCAAGAGAATCAAGGCCTGGACAAAGAAGCCATCCCTTCTCGTCGTAGGGTCCTGCACCAGGCGCAGGGCCTCGTCCAGGAACGCGGCCCGCGCCGGCCTGGCCTCGAGGAACAGAGCGCCGATCCACCGCATCGCGGCCAGCATAGGCTCCACGTTCGTATCCCTCATGATACGGAGCAGCCATTCCTTGGGGAGGGCAAACGGGTGAGAGGCATGGAAGTGGTGATAGAACGAGTCGAGACACCGCTCGGCAAGGGTAGGCACGGGGACTTGCGCAGGGGCGCCAGTCTGGGGGAAGCCCAGGGCCAACTGGTTCGAGTTGAAGCCGGTGACGGCACCGAACGACCGGTACAGCTGCATGTTGGTGAAATTGGGCGTCGCTACAAATGTAGTGCCGGGCGTGCCCGGGAGCCCGGCGCCGCTGGAATTGAAGGCCACTGGGTTCTGCATGGCCGGGGACATTGAAGTGCCGTTGACGCCAAAGAGCATGGGACAGCTATCGCCTGCACCAATGGTGGACGTCGGGGACGAGGAGCGCGTCCTCTTGTTCGGGTTGGCGGCTTTGTTCCTCCTCGGGCCCTTGTAGCCGCGCCGCGAGGCGACGTAGATGCACTCAGACTGCGAGCTCAGGCACCGCGAGCAAGGGTTCTGGCCGTCGCACTTGAGGTGCTTCCCGCGCTGCAGCAATAGGGGGTTGGGTCAGCTCCAAGCACCGGTAGATGGGCGGCTCGCAGCGGGATGCTTGCGGCGGGCCAATCGGCATGGCCGTTTGGGACGCAGAACGACGGGCTAAGAAGGAGGAGTCACTTACGCAGCCGAGACACGCAGCGGGGACCGCAATGACTGGTTGAGCCTGGGAGCGGGAATCACTGGTCGCCAAAGAGGGTGCGTTCGGTGAGTCGCGGTCAGCTGGCGACTCCGAGTCGGGCACCACCCTCGAATGGTTCGGCGACCCGTTGCTGCGCGCGGTCCCCGGAGGAAGTGGGACTTCGGGCGCCAGCGAGGATTGCATGTCGACTGAGTGGCCGATTGCCATGGTGTGTCTGTCCCGAGCCGACGACCGGGAATGGGAAACTAGTGCTCGAATTCGCGCGACGAGTGCGTCGCGGCGAGACGGTGGTTTGCAGGAGGGAGAAGGCAGGAAATACTTGGTCGACGACAAAGAAGGTGCAGCCAGTGAATTAGGAGCGAATAACTCGTTTGTTACCGCCCGTCGCCCCCAAAAAATCGAGCAAACAAGGCCCGGGGCACGGATGCGATGGGATGAGCCTGTCAACGTATCCCGGTCTTGACCCTCTATGGAGTCCACACGAGCGAGCTGTGGGACGGGACGGCTGCCTGTTGCGTCGGTATCAAGTTCAACTGCGGTGGCTGAGGCTGGGAATGTGGGTATGCACCGTGTGCTAGGGGCCGTCTTTTAATAGTTGCCGTTCGTGTATTGTTGTTTGCTTGCTCTCTGTCTTTCTCTCTCTCTCCCAGCCTATCCTGAGTTGGTCGGTGCATGTGTCAATGTCTCTTGCGCTTGGATGGAGACCCACTGTTGGGGGGAGCGGTCCCGCGCCGTGTGGGGGGGGGGGGGGGGGGGGGGGGGGGGGGGGGGGGGGGGGGGGGGGGGGGGGGGGGTGACAGGCAGCAAGGAGGGTGTAGAGGATCCCAAAGGTAGATAATGATCGTCGCAATGTCCTTCACACCAGAAAGGGGATGTGACAGCCGCTTCGAAACCGTCGTGGCTTCTGATGACCAGATCGAGAGCTCCCAAACTTACTTATACAGGCTGGATAGCCGCCATGCGCCGTGCTTAGAAATGACTGTCGGTCCGGAATGACGGTCATCGGCTACCGTCTTACACCACCCAACATCGCCACGAGCGTCAGACAGTCGGTGCGCCCAAAGCTTGCCCAACTATCTTGGGATAAAGACACCGCCCGCGGGTGTCGGGCACCCTCTCTGGCCCGGCCGCGGGATGCCGCATCAGCCCTACGGGCGTTGGGCTAAGCGTGGTCGTTATGCTTGGCCCACGGTTGAGTTCCTGAGATGAGTTTCTGGGACGAGGTTCCGCGATTCGCGTGTACTGTGGTCTTATTGGGAGAGTTTCCAGAGCAGTTGGCCATGCGGAGGTTATCCTCGTCGAAAGGACCACGAAGCCCACGGACGCGCTAAATCCGTCCCGAGTTGCTCGAAGCCAGCAAGACGCGGAGATTCGTCCCAAGATGCTGCCCGCAGCCCGAGCGCGAGCGCTGTGGGGCGCAACGTTTCGAGCAGGGCCTAGAGTCGACATCGTTATTCTCGCACTCTCCGTCACTCCGACGTCCGTCAGATCGCCGTATGCGTCGAGACGAATACAGGAACCGTCCCGACGCCTCTGAGCTACGGCTGCCCCAGCCACACGTTCCATACCGTCTTGCCGCCGCGCGGTTGTCCCGCAAGGATGATGCCAACGTCTCAGGCTGAACAGCACTGGCGTCCTCGGGTCTGCTGTGCACCTGCCGCGGATGGACAAAAGGGAAATGTACGCGAGTGCGCTGTACTTGCCGTATTAGACATGGAATGTGTGCTCTCATTTGCTGGAAAAAGCAACCGGTCCGACCCATACCCGGTGCGGCACTCGGTCGGGGCCGACTGAGTGGGTCCCGAATGTCCGTTGGCCTAGGGGCGGGGAGAACATATCGAGTCTTGCCAAGCTTAAAAGGGGTTAATTCATATGAGCATCGTTCAATGGATTCCCGTAGATACATGTTCTCGTCCAGTAACGCGCACTAGCTATGTTGCTTTCTTGCCCACGAGGATGGGTGTTCCCGGGCTGACAACACTGCCGGAGGGCGTGTAATCTTCGTCACTACTGCGCCGGCCTGTGCGTCAGACACGAGCACTTTGATTTCCATCTTCATCGCTTCCAGGATCGCCACGGTTTGTTTGTTCTCGAGCACGTCCCCGACTTTGACCAGGACCTTCCAGACATTAGCATTCATGGGCGACTCGACCGTGACGGCGCCGGCTGATGCCGTGCCGTCGCCGCCGCCTTCGCTCTGGCTCGCCATCTCTGCCGCCTTGGCTTCGGTCCATTCGCCAAAGAGACGTTGTTCGAGCTCGCCCATCTCCCTGGCCGCTGCAATCTGTCGCTGCCGCCATTCCTGGTGCGCGGGATCCCGCGCTGCCTCATCGAATTTGGCAATGTACTCGTCCATGGCGAGGACCTCGTCAGTAATCTCGAAAACGTATCTTCCAGCCTCAAAGTCGCGCTCGGCTTGGTCAAATTCCTCCTTGGAGACCTCGCGGAACCTTACAATGTCAAAGTAATTAAACAGCCACGGCCGCGAAGGGGAGAAGCCGGGCCGAGTGCCCAGCATGTCCCACAGCCCCAGTGTGCGGCCCATCAGCTGGTACCCTCCTGGAGCGGCAACGGGATAGATTGCCAACAGGGAGCCACCCAGACCAATTGAACCGCTCGGCGTGTATGCGCGGTTGGGGTTGTACTTTTGGCCCGTAAAAACATACTTGGGGTCAAGTGGGAACAGGATTGGGGTTCCGACAAAGAAGCCCACGGCGACGGTGAGCCAGGGAGTCTTCACCAGGGAATCGAAGACTTGACGGCGAGTTTCCAAGGCGTTGTTCTTCCGCAGGTAATCAACGTTGTCTGGGAGGTAGGCGGCAGTCGGCCGGATGCTCTCCATGTACCGCTCCGTGGCTTCTTTGACTGTGGGATGATCCACGCATAGCGGGAGGCTGAGTTCGCGGACCGCCACTTTGATGCCTACGACTTCTTCAATACTCTCGTCGAGCTCCATTAAAGTTTGGAGAAGCTCTGACTGGTGCATTTCGAGCGGGTCGTAGTGCACAGTAAGCGTGGCGAGATTTGGCTCGCCGCGTACACCGACAAGACCCCGAGCCATGAGTTTCTCCTTGAGAACCCAAACGCATACAGTGTTTCGCAGGTCGGCGATCTGCTGGCCATACTCAACGATGATAGAGGTATCACCTCCTTGTCTATAAGTCGCGTGAGGATGGTCGCCATGGGACTGTGTCGTTTGTAGGATGGAGGTCGTTTTCCGAGGGCCGAACCTCGTCCCGGGAAACGCTACTTTAGTTGCTTTGCCGTCAACAAGAGCGGCCACAGATTCCAGGTACTCCTCATTTCTGCGGGTTATTTCCAAGGCATTCTCAAAGGTGACGAGCCGCAAGTGCAGAGCATCGCCCGGTTTCAGTTGGCCGACCTTCCACATTTCGGCCGAGCAGATGGTAACGGGGCAGGCAAATCCACCTAGATCAGGGCGATCGCGCGGGAAGATGACGGGATACTCTCCCGTCCAGTTGACGCCGCCGTTTGGGTACCCGTAGTCAAAGACATTCGATGGGTGGGACCCGCCTCCTCCGCCGGTAGTACGAGCCCACTTTAGTCGTGAGCCCTCCAGTCGAACTCCGCTGCGGCTGCTGTTGTGGCTGACGGTCCATGTGGAGTTGGTGATTGTCTCCATGCCCTCCGGGGTAAGTATATCTTCCGAGCCGTACGGACCGTTGAGGCAGTATATTTCAGAGACACCGTAGTCCGGAATTGCCCCTGGGGGTAACGAGAAGGCCGTGGCCGTGGCCGCCCACGAACCTGACTCTGGGGAGAGCGCGAGGATATCGTTAGTCTGCAGCTTTCGTCCTTGCAGGCCACCAAGGACAAGCTCCGGTGCTGTGGATTTGGAGCCAAGATAGAGCGGAATTTCAGGAAAGCCGCCCTTGACAGCAAGGTATGTCCGGAGACCTTCGCCGAAAACATTACCAATCTTGAGTGTTTGTCCCTGCTTCACGATGATACGAGACCACATTGGCCGTTGCTCGTCGTCGACAGCCACAGGCACTTGGGCACCGCAGACGGCCACAACGGCTGAGTCATGGAACATGAGCTCTGGGCCTGTCATGGTGATCTCGAGGAGCTCGACTTTTGGATCGTTACCAACGATGATGTTGGCGGCTCGGCTACTCAGATCGTCCATCGGGCCGCTGGGGGGCACCCCGTGTCCGACCGTTGTCCGCCCCGGGTAGTCCTGAACCGTGGTGAAGACACCGGGGCTGAGAACCTGTACAGCGCACACCTCCACTCGGAACGTGGCTAGGAAGTTTGTAAGGGTGCTGCCGTTGGTGAATGCGTCAGACCGCAAAACTTGCGACAAATACTGTAAGTTCGTTTGGGTGCCTTGCAAGGCCGTACTAGCTAGCGCCGCAAGCATCTTTTTCTGAGCACCGGCTCGACCGTCAGGGCTATGGACCATGACCTTGGCGAGTAATGGGTCGTAAAGAGGTGTGATTTGTTGGCCACTCTTCACCCACGTGTCGACGCGGACGCCATCCCCTTGCGGCCAGCTCACGTGCTGAAGGAGACCCGGACTAGGGGCAAAGTCGAGCAGAGGTACCTCTGCGTATACTCTTGCCTCGATGGCCGAACCATGCGGACGTGGCCGTTGGAAACTCTGTAGCTCGTCTGAAGGCATGCCCAACTGGCCCCCACGTTCGTGGTCGGCCTGATAAAGCATTAGGTGGACGAGATCCACTCCATAGCACATCTCGGTGATGCCATGCTCAACCTGCAGGCGTGTGTTCATCTCCAGGAAAAAGAAGTCGGCCGTCTCGTCGTCTACCAGAAACTCAACGGTGCCAGCACTTTTGTACTGGAGCTGTGAGGCGTAATCGACTGCTGCCTGCAGCATCTTCTCGCGTAGGCCAGGGTTTTGATCTACGAATGGGCTAGGGCATTCCTCAATCACCTTTTGGTGACGCCGTTGGAGTGAGCATTCCCTCTCCCCAAAAGCGACTACTGTAGCACCATTTCCAAAGACTTGCACCTCGACGTGTCGAGAGCGCGGATAGTACCTCTCCAAAAACACGCCGCTGTTCTTGAAGAGTGCGCCGGCTCGGCTCTCCACCGTAGCGAACGCCTTTGGAACGTCGTCGTCGTCGTGGCAAATTTGTAAGCCCATGCCGCCACCTCCTCCGGTGGCTTTCAACATGACGGGGAATCCGAGTTTTTTGGCACCCTCGATGGCCTCGTGTGCTGATGCTATGAGCGACGTCCCGGGGATCACAGGGACATTGACAGCTTCGGCGATGGACCTCGCCTCGTGCTTGAGGCCCATTGCCTTGATTGATGCCGACGAAGGCCCCACGAAGATGATGCCTGCGGCGGTGACGGCATCGGCAAAGTCGACGTTTTCGCTCAGAAACCCGTACCCGGGGAAAACGGCGTCAGCGCCTGTGCTTCGGCAGATGTCAAGAATGGCGTCGCTGTTGCAGTGGTCAGCGACATGATACGGCCCGTGGCACTTACACCGGAGATACTCACCCGTCAGTGTAGGTATCGTTACCCCGCAACGCGATTGCTTCATCCGCCAGCAGGGCGTGCAGTGACGTTGTGTCGGCATCGGTATAGACAGCGACACTATGGACGCCGAGCTCACGACAGGCCTTGATGCAGCGGACGGCGATCTCACCTCGGTTGGCCACCAAAACCTTCTTGATACTCCGGAGTGTTTTGGACTTCATGTTGCCGCTGGAAGTCAACAGTCTCAACAATGGGTTCGATCCGATGCCAATGGATGCATGGGGAGGAGGACTAGATAACCTAGAAGGTCGAATTATCTTCAGTGTATGAACCGCTTCCATCCGTTGGTCCGCACCATGGGCACTGGGAGGCACAACGCTCTTACACCGGGCCGGTGCCTATCCTCATTCAGACCCCATGTCTTTACCCCAACCGCCGATGTCCCAGAGGAGGGGTTACGGCCGCGACCATTGTCGTGTGAGAACAAGTTCAGTACAGTGGTAGCATTGCCGGGGAGCCGGTTCAAGATAACGGATCGCCGTTGAGGTGCATCAAAGTTTGTAGGGTGGAGGTTTGGTGTGGCTTGTTTCTGGCATCATGATTGACCAAGCCTCCTTCTCTTGACGTCGTTGCCAGACTAGGGGGGGCATCAAGCACCAATTACCCCGCATGGCGCTGAATGCTGGGGTTGCTACAGGTATCCACTGCTATCGCTATCCTCCCTGCCGGCGGGGTTCAGCGATAAGGACCACCTGATCCAACTGCGAAGCTTGTTCCCCAAAGGTCCGCTTCGTCTTGGAGTACCTAACCCCAACTGCCATGACAGAGCTACTCCAACTCTGTCCCATCTCCTACGTTGACCGTTGAACCGTTCTTTAACAGCCACCGTAGGACAGCCAGGCTGGGGCCGTTCGAGATCGAGACAAGATGCCTCCTCGCCACATACTTTCCCGCTTCCCATTGCGTCACTACTCGCGCCCTCTTTCTTCTTTCCGCAGGAAGCAACCTCTCTTTCAACCTTTCAGGATGGCTTCAGGACTCGCACGCAAATATGAGATCAATGCCGATATGGGCGAGGGCTTCGGCCGTTGGAAGATGGGTCCGGACGAGGAGTTGATGCCTTACCTCGACGCTGCCAACATTGCGTGCGGATTCCACGCCGGCGATCCAACCATTATGCTCAAGACCGTCCGCTTGTGTAAGAAGCACGGCGTCAAGGCCGGAGCACACCCCGGACTTCAGGACATGTTCGGCTTCGGCCGGAGGAAGATAGAGATCGACCCCAAGGACATGTACGCCATGGTGCTGTATCAAGTAGGCGCCCTCAAGGCCATACTGGACTCGGAAGGCGTCGAGATGTCCCACATCAAACCGCACGGCGAGCTCTTCTTCTACATGCAGAGGGACGAGGCCATCATGAGAGCCGTCTTGGAGGCGTGCGCCACCTTCGGAAACAACATCCCTGTCTACGCATCGCAAAACCCTGCCCAGGAAGCCATGTGCAAGGAGCTGGGCATCCCCTTTCAGGGGGAAGTCTACGTCGACATCGACTACTCTCCCGAGGGCAAGCTCATACCGGTGGCACAGTCCAAGGTAGCCACCCCAGAGCTGTGCTACGAGAGAGCCCTATCTGCATCGCTCGAGGATTCGGGGAAGGACAACAATGGCGGCGTCTTCAGCTTCGGGTTCGAGGGCAGACCATTCAGCATCTGCGTTCATTCCGATCATCCGACAGTTCTTCAGAATGTGACAGGAGTACGCAAGGCGGTCGATGAGGCGAACAGGCAAAGGTTTCCTTCTGAATCCAAATGAAGATTGTACAGGGACGAAACACAAGTTATTTTGGCGGGTTGCCTTGGATGATTGACAAAAGGAAAGCGGTGGTGTATGCTACAACAAAGAGACGGTAGTAATAAGAGACGGGAAATGCAACCAACCTGCGGGCAGATGCCAGGTGTAGGGTGCCAGCTGGCCGGTGCCAAGCATCCATCTGCCGACGTCCATTGATCGGGGGTCGGGCTACCCAACAGATGCACATCATGCATGCAGACAAGCTTCTGTGGCGGGACATACGCACCAAAAGAAATGCACGAAATTCGACTCAATCTAGTAACACACAACTCGGCACTTGAACCTGTCAGCCTCCGCCTTCACCAGATCCTGCCATACTAGTCCACTCGAAGCTATTGATCACCCCCGTCACTGTGATGGATCCCGTTTCGGTCGCTGGCTTAGCCATCGGTGTTGCATCGATTGGACTGCAAGTCTACACCGGTTGCGTGCAAGGTACTGATCCGTGGTTGTCGCTGCATCATGCACTTGAATATTAAGCGGGCTCAGGTATTCAGATGCTCGTTACAGCCAAGAACTTTCCCAATGATTGCAAATTCCTCAATTTGAGATTGCGGATGGAGCAGCAGAGGCTGTTTGCTTGGAGCGAGACGTCCGGCCTCCTCGACCTGGATGGGAACCAAAAGGAGAAGATCCTCAACACCAACACATTCATGCTCCACCGAACCACAGTCCTCGATCTCTTGGTTCAGGTCCAATGCTTGTTTAAGGAGTTTGAGGAACACCAGCGCCGCAACGAACGACTGAAGCCGGCGCCCGACCAGGATGCAATCCTCGAACACCCCGAGAAGGACGCTGCTGACGCCAATTTCCCGTTGCCAGAGAAACGAAGGGACTTCATCAAGCGAGCCATGGGCAAGCTGAAGAGTGAGTCGCGAGAGAAGTTTCTCAGGCTAAGCTGGGTCTCCTTCGACAAGGGCGCGTTCGAGGTCCTTCTGTCCCGGTTTGCTGCCCTGAACGACAACATGACCGACATCTTGGACGCCCGCATGCAAGTAGAGATCCGTGACACAGTGCAAGATACCAACCGAGGGGTCTTGCAGCTGCATCATCGCATCGCAGATCTGGGCCGGCTTGTGATGGCTCTGAACCTGAAATTAGAAAACAATGCGCCAGTGAACATCTCGTCCATGTCCAAGGCTCAGCGGGCAAAGAACGCGGACGGGCTGGAGCTGCTTGCCAAACTAGCCAAGTTCAAAGCGTTCAACGAATCGATGGAGTCAGAGAAGCAGCGGCCGTGGGACGATGCAACGGCCATGTCGTTGGAGCTGGGGAAGCCGGCGCAACGCGACAAGCTTATCCTGGACAGAGAAACGATCACACTGTTGGACGAAGAGTCCGAGGAGTTTGACCAACCGAGGTGCGAGGCGAACCTTCGCACCGCTGACGGATCCAACAAGAGAGTATGGATAGAGTGGAAGGAATACGATCGCCAGAAAGCCGGCGACGAATCGCCACCAAGAAGGGTCATCATTGAGAGGGTAGGCAAGCTCGCCGCTCTACTGCATCACAGTCCAAAACCTGAGGCCTTCCGAACACTGCATTGCCTTGGCTTCTTCGACAAGTTGGGGCCTGACAATGACGCGTCGGAAGATGACAGCTTAGACCGGAAGCTCGGCCTTGTGTTTGAGCGGCCCAATAACAACGAGGTACATCCGTCCCTGCCTCCAGTATCACTTCGCGAGCTCTTCCAAATCGAGCGAAAGCCTCGGGTTACGGAGAGAATCAAGCTGGCACACGCCATCAGTAGCTGTCTCCTGTATCTTCACGCCGTGAACTGGCTCCACAAGGGGCTGCGCAGCCACAACATTGTCTTCTTTCGAACCAAGAGCGGCCGCGTCAACTACGCGGAGCCATACTTGACGGGGTTTGACTATTCCCGTCCCGCCCGGAGTGACGAGGCGACAGACATACCCCAAGACGATGCCGAGTACAACCTGTACCGCCATCCTCAGGTACAGCTGATGAACCCCGCCGAGAGGGAGCGGTTCAAGAAGAGCTTCGACATCTACAGTCTCGGTGTGCTCTTTGCCGAGATCGCCCATTGGGCACCGGTAGACAGGGTGCTCGGTTATGACATCATTCGGAGGCCCAGTCTCGCCTTGAAGGTCAGGGACGCTCTACTTGTCGAAGACCGCATCGCCGAGCTCGGCGCCAACATGGGGGAGATGTTCGAGGAGGCGGCCCGGAAGTGCATCGCGGGCGGAGAGAGTCTGGGGTTGGCGGATGGTGACGATGAGACCAAAGACAGCGTAGCCGCACAACTTTCGATGCGGTTCTACGAGGATGTGGTGAAGAAGCTGGATGGCGTTCGCGTTTAGGCTGGTCTCTGAACTCAAAATCAGCACCCGTGGGTCAGGTTCTTAGAAGCCGATGCGCGTTCATTCGGAGTCTCGAAACAAGATCAGACTGTGTGGTCAACATTTACCAGACAAATCGAATGGCCTTTAACTGATAGCTTGAGACTCATGGGTTAGGAACAGGTCTCTTCCCTCCTCCAGGACTCTGCGCCATTCAGACCCGCACCTCTTCCAGAGCGCCACCCTGTTCGTAACCAAGAGTTCGGTTCGGGGCCGTCGATGTGTATACCAAGATTCATTGAACGTTCTGGAAAACACTTTTCTGAAAGCTCTGAACTCTATCTATACCAACGACATATGGTCAAAGCCAGATCACCTATGATCGGATGTCTTAACCTGATATGACTAGGTTTCTGACATGTAACGTTCGGAGACAGCGCCAGTGCGCTACTTCACTAAGGCAGCCTCTTGTAAGGCATAGTTGTGAGGGTGGTGGGCCAGCGGCTGTGAGCACCCATTGCGGCTGGTTGCACAAGCGTGGCGGCATCGCTTCGTTGGGTGCATCATCAGCTGATTGTCACTTGACAAGAAGGCGATAAGGCGTTCCTGGCGCTCGTGCCTGGTATCATCCTAATCTTCTGACGCTATAGGTATCCACAGGTGGGCTGCCTTAAAAAGCATGGAGACATCCAGGCACAAGTGGTAGTGTATTTCTTCAATGCTTGACTTTCATAGTGGAAGCTGGGAGGATGCCGATATCTACTTTATCAAACAGTGAAGAGTTTCGTGCCAGGAGAGAAGCTGCAACTCCCATGTCTCAAAATGCACTGCATAAGGATGGACTTCGTGTTATATCCGCATCGATTTCATAGAGCCAGGCGTCCCCTACTGTGTTACTTGCGCGCCAGCCCATCGAGAACATTGTGGAAAGTTGCCCAGCGAGGACGACGGCCGGCTTGAGCCATATCCCAAGGCGCTTATACTGCAACGGGCTGCATTCCGCCCCCCAGGACTACGTGTATCAGAAATCCACCCGATGATGTACATCTGAGGGATATGAGGTCGAGAACGCTATCTCAAGAATGCGCTTTCTATGAGTCTGAAAGAAGCCTCTCCTTTATAGTCGTTCTCCGGGAATCCATGCTTGGTAGTGAGACGTAGTACTTGGGATGATGCAGACTCGCACTGGGTTGGGACCGAGTCGCACTGAAGAAGACAACGGCCAGCCTTCGGTTCGTTAGTCGTAGGCTGGCGGTCGCACTCACTGCCCTCGCCTTGCCTATATTTGGAACAGCGCCAGGGCGACGCTATGTTTTCCGACTCGGTCGGTTATACAGGTGTTCGGATCACCCTACCCAGTCCCATACGTGTCGCCGTCATCTTCCTAAGATTCGTCAAAAGCAAGCGCCGCAGCATCATACCCTAGCGGCAGAGAACGCACCACATTGATGGGAAACTCGTTGCGGCAGCTTGGATGGGTGGCTATGATGATAATTCGTGTTCTAGTGAAACTGATAGGTGGAAGATTGTGATGCTGCAGGTTGTTACGATAAGGCTGGATTAGTATGTGTTGGCTATGCTTATAGGCTAAGTTAGCCTGATTTCCTAATCTTTCTGCGACTAGTGTAAAGGAGTATTGTAAATATATAAGCTATGACCAAGGAAATTTGCTTAGATGACTATTTTCTCTGGGCGCTTGTTGGCATTGTACTTGGCACGAGCTGCGATAAATAGATTATAGGTAGTCTTGTGGGTACTTAATGGTGGGTGTTAGTGGGCTGCTGTATGAACGCTGATGAGGCTATAGCGCTTTTTAAGGCGTTGAGAAATAAGAATGTTGTTATTGATAATAAAGTGCCTGTTACCGTTGACGCGAAGTCCTGAACGGTATACTGGAGACTTGGACGATTTTGATGGAGCACATAAGGCAAGAGGATAATACGGCATACTGGCTCCTGCTCACCCTTGCGTATGTCCATAATCGAAAGATTCCGGAAGGTTTTATTAAGGCAGCAGCGCAAGCAGGCTTTAGCGACAGACAAAGCCAGAGTATTACCAGCTCTATCACGGAGAGTTAGTATGAGATACATGGATGACTTCGTCAGAAGTGAAAGAACGAAGAACTAGCTGTGCATTTTACAGCTGATAACTCTCTAATGCAAAACGCAAAAGCAATACACGGCCCGAGTAACAACTATCAGCTATTCTTGAGCCTTCTGCTATGTGACACGCCGCTTAGTACTCTGGAGGTAACCAAGGTATATTGTGAGATTTGTTCTTAATCTATGCGCCGTGCCGTGAGAGCACATGATGCCAATCATCAGGCCTTGACTTGATTTTGGGATGTCCACTCGAACACGCTTTTTAAGCTGATTAGGCCCTCCAGCGCTCGCTGGCACTGGCCCGTGGCCGGGTCCCAGAGCTTGACGATCTTGTCCTCAGAGGCTGATGCGAGCTGACGCTCATCTGGCGAGAACGCCACTGGCCTGACTGAGCCGCTGTGACCCTCTAGCGTCTGCTGGCACTGGCCCGTGGTCATGTCCCAGAGCTTGACAGTGTTATCGTCGGAGGTCGATGCGAGCTGTCGCCCATCCAGTGAGAAGACCACCACGTCGACCGAGGCGTCGTGGCCCTCCAGCGTCTGCAGACATGGGTTGCAGTTTGCGTCTATCTGTGTATCACAGTAACCCAGGCTGGTGCTTCTGCGTCGAACAGATCTCTTACTACATTTCCTTTAGGACTGAACATAAGAGCTGAGCTGTAAATTTGAGGGGACAGTTGCTATCTAAGGAAGCGTAAGGGACCGAAGCCTTACCATCCTCCTTGGGGCAGCCAAGCCTTTGAACTGTCTCTCAATACACTGCATCCACAAAAGTCCCACCGTCCTCGTCATCACTAATCTCCGAATCGAAGACTTCAACAACGATGGACTCGCCTTCGCCATCACTCCTTTCCAGATCGGCGTCATTGGTAGCGCTAAACCACTCCTCATTGTCACTCATCTCCGAATCGATCTCCCCAACAACGCCAGACCAGTCTACTGGGAATCTTCTGTACTCAACAAGATTAGGCTTGAATACAACCACTGAGACTTCAGATGAGACATCGCTCATGACTGAACCATCACTCATGACTGAACCATCGCTCATGACTGAACCATCGCGAAAGTATCCTGGGAACCCTGAGTAGGTGTTGGTGTCGTGATCTCTTCCTCTCCATACCTTTTCCTCTAGTGTCTTTTTCACATCATCCCGGACGTTTTCGGTGAGTTTCTCCAAGAGATGCCGACTCTTGTCATCCAAGTTTGTCTCATAGATGCGTGGTAGACACCAGTTGGGGTAGAGGTTCAGGTGAGATCTCCGTACCTGCACCCGGTCGGGGTGGGCACTAAAGTAGTAATGGCAGAGTCTGCAAGTAGGCTTGCTGCTGCCGATATACCTCCAGTCGTTCCAATATTTCTGAGGATACTCGGCGCTTTTGGTCAAAATATAGTCGTGGACAAGGACCTCGGCATGAACGTATGGCTTGAAGGAACGCTTGCTGATTTGCCCCTGAATTCCGTTTTCCAGGCCGAATTTTAACATTTCTTCAACATGCGGGGCGTACAATTCACGCTCACAATCGTCCACAATAATGTTGTTGATAATAGAACCGGCGGTCAGCGATGATCGCGAAACGGGTTTGGCGATGGGAGTGCTTGATGGGATCGGAACGACTTTAAAATCTTGAAAGAGTTTCGGAAAACGCTCAGCTGCTCCCGTGATAGCATTCGCCGCATGGCGAAAAGACAGAAGGCGTCCTAGGTAGTGACGCAACTCACACCATACCTCCGAGCTCATCAGTTCTCCATCTTTGGCATTCTGCATGATGGCTGTGTCGATGGCGGTGCCCTTTGATGCATATATGGCCTTGATGAGCTTCTCGCAATCGCTGAGGACTTCAAACGGTGCCAATGTTAGCAATATGTTCCGTAAACCCTCGAGCATATACTTACACCTGTCCTTGCTTCCACTGCCGATTATATCTGTCGGAAATTCGGTCTTCTTCTTGAGATTCTTGAGTTCTGATCTGACGTCTTCTTTATCTGAACAGAAAGGCAAAGGTAGCGTAGAGTTTGCAGCGGTCGTTCGCCGTCTGTCCAAATCCTCAATACATGCGTTGAGATAAAAACACAGCTTGTCCAGATAAACTCTAATCCGGCCCAAGTTGAACCATAAAATCATCCACAGGACCTTTTTGTTCAGGGCCTTCTTCCCAATTCGAGGCGATGTGTTGCCAGCCAGATTGAGAAGAGACGTTGCAAACTCTTGGGTCTCCGACAATTCGTTGTCGTCTCTGAGATTTGACCCAAAAACAAACTCCGGGCCCTCAGGACTATCAAGAACAGAAAATGAGGTAATTGTTTCGTAGCCCTGTTCGCTGTTGCACGTTTGTGCTAGCTTGTTGATGAAGTAATGAAATGCCTCCTTCTGTGTCGATAGGGCATTAACCTCGATCTCTGTCGATTCCCTGAAGAGATCTGAGCGGCGTTGACAGGACTTTTGAAGGGCATACTCAAGGATGACGGGCTCAAAAAATAGCCGTTGAGGGGTTGGCTTGACAGAAGTAAGCATTGCGTGGTTTGCCATGTTTGCTGAGATTCTTGGTTGTCGTCTGACGTTGAAAAAGATCACGAAATTGTTGAAAACTCTCGAAATGATAAAATCCAAGGATATACCAAGAGGATTCCTCGAAGTTGCAAGTGGCAGACTCTGAACAGAAGGGGTATTTATAGGAACGTATGAGTTGGAGGCCTCTTCTCAGCGGAGCTGACTTCTTTACATCTACATTCCTCACAGTGAGACCTAAATCTTTGAACGGAGATGTTTCAGCTTACCTTCTGAAAGACTTCCGCGCACGCATATGCGAATTCCGATGTTGCCAAGTCAGTTACTCGCTAGGTGAGGTCATCTCCGCTAACCAACCAAGAGGCGTCTGGCCACTGCCTCGCGCGAGATACATGTAAGCCACTTCCTCCAACACTGGCGGCCGGAGACCCACATATGCATACTCAGGTGACGCTGTTGGTTGAGATGTAAAGTATTCGTCGCCAATGCTGGTGGCCGTGGTCTATTCTTTTTTGAGAAAAGCAGGCTGCGCAATATGATACTATGGAGAATGGCGAGGCATATCGTCAGGCATCCTTACGTATATCGGATTTGGAGGCAAAGTTAGCGGCCGCGGTCTAGTACTTTTGGAACGGAGTCCATCGCACCTCTTCATGATGGAAGGAGATGCTGAAGTACACAATCAGACATATTGCGGGATGATGCCGTTTGGTGGATGATGGATTTTAGTGTCTTGGGCATCATTGCATAATGTCAAAGTGCAACTCTGCATGGAAACGAAGCGAAAATTGAAGAAACAGATTCTCAGAAGACCTAGAGTATTGAGGTTAGCCAGCCTTGTCCATTTTGCTCCATTGGACGGAGTTGGATCGTTTGTGGAAAATGTTTCAGCGTCTTAGTAATACGCTGCATTTAGTGACCAAGAAGAAAGGCAGGCGGAAAAAAGCATTCTCAACGATAAATCCGGGGTACCATTGGCAGAAAGTATATGAAGGCAGTGAAATCACATCTCGTTGCAAGATAATCCTCGCCTCCATCCTTATATTCCTGTTCCTCTTCCACACTCTTGACATTCTAGATCCACAAGCATGTAAATGGCGCTTTGGCATTTCACCCTTGCAATCTCCTGACCGCAGCTCCTCAAATCACTCATCACCTCGATACAGAATACAGTCACAGCAGCCCTTTGTCTGCCTTTCGAGTGGGTATTGATCAGCCCAGCTTGCAAAGGGGCCTTCACTGGGGAAAATTGTCTAAGGACAAGGGCAAACGAGAGTGTTCTTTCTGGCTGAACGCTTTCAATGCACTTGACTTTGAAAGGTCTGTCTACGCTAAGAGCCCCCATCCATCGGTCTTTCTAAACATTTAACAGATAATCAGGGTTTCAGTCAATTTTCTGCCTGCTTAGTCCCGAACCACACCATGTCGCGCGAGTCGGAATCGAAAAGGCGGACTGATCCTACACACAACTACGCCGGCGATGCAAGTGATACTGGATGGTACTACTCTGGAGTGGAGCAGTATATTAACGGTGACTATGTTGATTGGAATGCCGCGATAGTCCATTCACCATTTGACTACGCAGCAGCAGCCCCGAGCATCAGCGGGCCAATCTATGACTCAACTCCATACTTCTTGGAAACGACGCCCGCAGAACATTAGGCTTTCAGTGGTGTACCGTCGTTTTCCGGAAGCTATGCCCATGATCTCCCACAGCAAGGTTATTTGGGCGAAGTAGACTTGTGGGGACAGACCCAAGCTGTTATACCTCTCCTACCGGACAGCACCGTCTTTGCTACTGACCCACCCTCTGTCACCAACCATGACCTGTGCGAAACGGATCTTCAATTCAACTACGCCCCATCTCAACAGCAGCCCTCCCAGGGAAGTTATGTGTGCATAGTATGCCCGAGAAGTTTCAGGATTCCAAGTGACCTCACGTAAGTTTCTATCGTTCTCCCTCCGGCTAGAGCAAAGCCTGACTGTTGACTTCCAGGAAGCACTTGAAGGTTCATGAAAGACCCGAGAAGTGTCAAGCCTTGGACTGTGATTATCAGGTCGCTGACAGAAGGGAGCTACATCGGCATATCAGGACTTGGCATCCGCGCCAGATGGAGGACTTTGGCGTCGAGAAAGAATCGGCTGAGTGCCCGAAATGTGGATCAACCTTCACGCGGAAAGACGGCCTCAAACGCCATCTGAATAAGGAACGTTGCCCTCGAGGATAACTTCTTGAAGATGAGTGTGATTATTCATGTGCTTTGATGTCATCCATAGTTTACTCTTTCTTTTCAATCGATCTGCTAAACAACACCTTCAAAATACTATCTGGAAGCTTAGCTATGTTGTGTGAAAATGAGCTACTTGTCAGTGAAGTACCAACCATATTGAGGGGGACTGGACCTCCGATGCACGCTCGTGGATTGACGTGGGGTGTATGTTGGGCATCAGGGATGGGGGCGCCTCCAGTTCAAGTCGCAGAGGAATCGCGGGTGTATGGCAGAATTGCTGGCGCCATGCGTTCATGTCCGTCCCAATCGAATCGTCTTGCAACGCAGATGCTTCAGCCAGGCGAAACATGTCTGGCGTTTTGGTCAACGATCTACCGGCAGTATACCAGCCGCTTTGTGATTTATACTATTGTCGCCATTTGTGAGACTAGAATGGCGAAGGAAGCCAGGAAAGAGCGCTGTTACAAAGCTATTCAGCAAGAAGCTATCACCAAGATATATAATTCTCTAATTAGATAGGCTAATACTAAAACTCTTATATAAGCTAACACTCTTGCCCTGAGAATTATATAATTTCAAATTAATACCTATGTTTAATGCCTAAGCTAGAAAAGCCCTACGGTGGGCGGCTGGCCCAGGTGGGATACACGTCACTTTACGAACTACCTACCGCCACTAATCCATCTGATTCCCTAAGTAACCTTGAACAGAAATCACCACTCCAACACCATCCCACAAACGTCCTCTCCCCGATAACTTCAACACAATGAATGCACCGACACCTCGAATGCCGCAGTTTTTCGACGTGGTGCAACCTTACCTCAAAAACGGAGACAGGGATTACTTGGCGCAGGTTTTACAACACTGGAGTCCCGCAATCGACCCAAGCCACCACATCGGTGAGGCCCTACACAAAGCCATATTCCGAAATGACGAGACTGCAGTTCGGATGATACTTGATGCTGGCGGGGACCCAAAGGTGCAACAGACGGGTGATCCCGGGTTTACACCACTCTTGGCTGCTTCGCAGTATGGCAGACTCGAGATCGCCAGTCTGTTTTGGCGACTAGTCGGTCCCGACGGACGCTTCTACCCCAGCAAAAGACCCAATGTCTCCTGTCTTCAGGTGGCTGCTCGAAATGGCCACGTGGCATTGGTAGCCTACTTCCTCGATGTATGGGACGGCTGGACTGACGACGAGGAGCGCCAGACGGTATATGATGCTGCGTCATCATGGTGTTATGATGTTGTGGCCTTGTTGTTAGCCAAGGTTGACTACGCTCCCGATATCGTCCAAGGTGCTCTTGAAGCGGTGGTTAGACGGAAGTTGATCCTGCCTGAGGATCCTAGGAAGCCACTTCCTAGAGCCGAGGATTACGTGTACCAACAGCGCGTAGTTCATCGACTCATCGATGCTGGTGCAAACCCAGACACAACGAACGGTCGTCTGTCCAACCAGCCTCTAATCCACACGGCCTCCCTATCAGTCGGTTGCATTGGCGCCATAAGAGGGCTTTTGGAGAAGGGAGGAAATGCCAATGCTCAAGACGCACGCGGCCGAAGCGCCGTCCAGCGTCTGGTGAGCAGACCGCCCATATCGACTGACGCGGTACGGATCCTTTTGCAGCACGGCGCATCGATCGAGATGACTGGCGAAGCTGGAGAGGCACTATTGCACAGCGTCGCACAAACCGGAACCATTGAGCAGTTAAATCTGTTTGTCTCGTACTCTGACGATCCAGACACCGCCATTCGGTCGGTAACCCTACACGGCGAATCACTTCTGCATTACGCCGCAGCCGGAGGGAGAGAAGACGTAGTCGACTTCCTGCTTACTCGTGGTCTGGACGTCAATTCAGCCACCAGCAACGGCTGGACGCCATTGCTGTGCGCTCTATCCCCGACGAATGCGAAGAGGGAACAGACTTTGTACCGCCTGGCAAACACCCTACTTCAGCGGGGTGCCAATGCCCACGTCGTGACGGCCGAAGGATGGACCCCGCTTCACGCTTTGGCAACGTGGCCTACCCCTTTCTCAGCCCAGGACCAAGAGGCGAGGAAAGCGGCTGCGCCGCTTATCCAAGAGCTCATCTCGCGCGGCGCGCCCGTTGATACCGAATCGAGCGTTATCCAGAGTCCATCTCTTACCCCAAACAAGCTACGGGATGTGTGGGGGTTCCGCATGCAGAAGTTCGTCGAGGGTCTTGCCATACCTACACAGGATCTGGAGGGCATGAGCACCGATACCACACCGCTAATGTGGGCAATGCGAAGCAATGCGGTGGATATCTTTGAGATAATCAGGGCGCATCTGGACTCAATCAGAGGTGATGGAGGCAACTAGCTAGTGAATCAAATGAATGTAACACCGAAGTTCTGGTGAAAGAAGCATATGCTCATAGCATTTCGAAAGCGAATCTACTTTCAAGCCCAAAATCACGCGCATGGGCTGAGATCATCGACGCGCGTAAGAGACTTTACCGAATGAGAGCAATGGCTGCTCCGAAGAAGCCTGGAAGTAGCAATCTGTGCATTATTCATGCGACAGTTACCCAACATCTACTACCAAACCACAAACTATTATTCTCGTCTAATTACTGATCGTCTGATTACTGAAACGACAACTCGAGTCTGAACCCGATGGCCGAAGTTGTTCAGCTATCACCAACATTCGTAGCATTGCAACCCACTCAAAACTTGCAGTACTAGAAATCCCGTATGCCAAAGAAGAAACCGGCTGCTTGGATCAGGAAGCTAACGGCGTATGCTTCATCTCAGTACATGTCATTGCCGCCGGCCACGCCCGGAGTCAGTCCTATCCAGTAAGCCAGCTCGAGCATTGGGCCATTCTGCTGCGGGAAGTTCTGCCGGCGCGCGTAGTGCAGGCTCAGGTCGCCATTTAAAATCCCTCCCGGGATGGTTGAGATGTCGGGGTGCCGTTCTTATCATTGGGCAACCACCACATCCATCGTTTAGCCACGGCGGAAGGCTAAATAATGACACGTACAATCAGCCAAGTGCAAAACAAGTCATGGAGAAAGGCGACCAAACTATCTTCACTTCATGGCGGGAGGTCTCCGATAACGCCTTTCCATCGCGTTTACTCGTAGTTGGTAGCCAAAACAGCTCAGACGCCTGCGCGGCCCGCCTTAGTCCCGGGACAGCAGCCTTGGGGTTGAGGAAAACGTATTGCATGAAAGCGTTGGGGTCGAGGTCAGGATTGCGTTCGTAGTGCGCCCTGAGTTTCTCCGCCGTGATATCCTCATCGAAGGCTCCGGCAAAGATTTTGTCGTAAATAGGTTGCAACGACCCGATAAAGTCTGATGACTTCGTGAGCAGAATGACGCTAAACTCAATCATTCTCATATAACGATCCATCTCACAGTTCGTAGCCCTGCCTTGCAAAGTCCGGGTTTGGGAGGCCTCGAACTCGAGAGAACGTTTCACGTTGGTGAACATGTCGCCCAGTTTTGGGCGCAGATCGTGGCCGGGCACGTCGGTTTCTCCATGTACTTCTCGAGGAGCAGCTGGAACTCCTTGTTCTGCTTTCCTCCGAAGGGATCATAGTCCCCACGGGGAACAACGGGCTTGGGAGGCTCCCGCGTTTCCCCCGGAGCTAAAGACGCAACCGGGAGTGTTGCAGCCTGCATTTTGGAGCGTGAAGCTTCGGCTGTAGAAGTACATTCTAAAGGTGACCTTCTCGGGCTTAATATCGTTGCGCCAAAGCAGGTCAAGTGCGTCTTGGATCTCCGTCATGTTGGTATGGGAGTTGGCGTAGGGGCCGGTCCACTTGTTAATGTCCCAGGACCCGTGAATGCTGTAGCTCATGATGTTGAACCAGACGACGTGCTTTTCGAGGTTCTTGATATCAAGGTGTTGTAGGTACCAAAAGCAGGATGGGGGCGTGAGTGACACGGCCTTCCTTTTGTCGCTCCCACGCATCCTTTCAGCGAGCGTCTTCATGAAGGTCACAAAGTTCTCGAAGTCTCCACCTTTACCGAAACGGTCCTCAGCTACTGGATATTCCCTGTTTCGTCAATATTGGTCAGCACTCTTTCTGTCATGTGGAGGAGAAGGTTCATAAATTCCAACTTACCAATCAACGTCGATATCGTCAAAGTCGTACTTGTTCGTCATCTCGATAAGAGAGTCGATGTAACTTTTAGTGACAGAAGTTGAAGCAGCCATGTCACTAAAGGTGGTCTGCGTCGGACCGGGATCGTTAAACGCCCATCCGCCCACCGCAATCCAGATTCTGATGTCTGGCTGGATAAGCTTGATGGCGTTAATCCGCTGCATGAACTGCGCTATCTTCGAGTCGCCGGTCTGTATCTCAAAGGTGTTTGGGTCGATTGTGGCGAAGGAAAAGATGATGTCTGTGTAGTATCCAAATGGAACCTCCTCAGGCAGCATGCCGGTAGCAGGGGCGGTTCGCTGTGGACCAAGCCTCGTAGTAGCCGATCACACGAGTGATGGGAGTATCGCCGACGTTGCATGATGGCCGCTGAAAGAAAAATCAACAGTTATCAGTAAGATGTTCACATTTTCGCGCTGGATGTTTGTCAAGAGACCATCAGCGGATGTGATATGGACTGACGTTTACAGTTTTGTCACCGCAGAAGTCCTTCGTCGTACCACAGAACCCAAACTTGCTGAAGCAGACATTAAGAGGGCATGTCTCAGACTTGCTCCATTTTGAACTGTCCCATCCTGGATTGCAGTCGGCTTTGAAGCCACAAGTACTTAGACATCCGGTGCTAATGGAAGTCAGCATCGAATTAGTTCTATTCCCAATAATTACACATGACATTGTCTTCTTGCCAGCGTTTTCGAGCTGTTGCTTCCACTCACACGCAGAAATCAGGTCCGGTGCCACAATATCCGGACTTAGAGCAGCATCCGATGGGACAGCGTTGCGTCGCGCTACATTCTGGGCCTTGCTGAAGAGACAGTTGTAAGAGACAGACAAAGGAAAACAGAAACAGTAATAATTTGGCCATAATGAAGGAGCCAAGTAATTGAGAACGACAGAAGTGTCAGTAAAGGATAACGCTCAAAACGCGGCTGACCTGCGTTGCGCGACAACACGGCTTTACAAGGTGGTCGTGCTTCTCATCGTCGCCCACCAAGCTTGCATAAGCACCAGTAGCTCCAACTCTTCCACATACGACCATACCCACTGGAGAACTCGGGATCCCGTCCGCTCTCCCATAGATAAGCCAGTGAGGGCCGGATTAGTAGTTGAGTCGGTGACGATCAGCGAACACCTGGTGTTGTATGTTTTTTGTTTTTGTTCTCATTCCCACTCGCCAAGAGATCTGATGAGGCCCCTCAAATGGGGTTGAGTTTTAATGTTATCAATGATTGATAATATCGTTCAATATAGGCCGGTGTTGAATTGAATGGAATCAAGGAACTGTGTCTATAGCAATTTCGGCTGCTCACAAATAGGACCTGTTTCCAAGAAACAATAGAGATAGGAGTAATCAGTTTACGGTCCTTCAGTTACTACACCGCTGCGGTCGAACATCTCACCCGCATCTTGGCTGAGACTCTTCGAGGCAGTGGAGTTAGACCTCTGGATGACGTTGGATCGCGGCACGGCGGCGGGGAGCTTGAGGGGATTTAGTCTGAGTAAGATTCATGGCTCGATTGGATCAAATTGGAATCCCTCATCAGTACGGGAATGCTGCTTGCGACTTGTGCTTGCCCATAGACTATAGGAATGATCTCGCCGTCTTCATCTGTCGACATCTGACCATTCCCCCATGATCCTGCTTAAGTCTGTCTCAACCCCTTTCCAGCTGCTCTGTATTACCTCCTCAACCCACGGTCCGCGAGGCTTAATCCCGAACTTGAAGCCCGAGGGCATCGTCATGAAGCCCGTCACGTCCATAGCCATTGTATCAACCTCTTCCACGGGCACAATATCAAAAGCCCATAGTAGATTTGCGAACACCATGAAAATGTTATCCGCAGCCACACGTCTGCCAAGGCAGCTTCTTCTGCCTTGTCCGAACACTGCCAACGGCAGATCAGTGCGCACATTCCCATCCACGTCCAACCACCTCTCCGGTACGAAATCCCCTAAATCGCCCACCTCCTCGCTGAAAACCTCCTTATCGCGCCCGATGGCCCACGTGTTCGCGAACAAGGTCGCGCCCTTGACGATGCGGGTGCCATAAATCTCGTCTTCCTTGTCCGCCCTCCGCGGGACGCTCCCAGGTGTGACGGGCCGCCACCGCATGACCTCCGACATTACGGCGTCGATATACGACAGCTTGGACCGATCCGTAAAGCGCGGCAGCCTCTTCCTGCCAACAAACTTGTCCAGGATGGCGTGCGCCCGCGTCACGAAATCCGGGTTCTCATGGGCAGCGACCAGCATCCACAGCATCTGCCTCGGGGCAGTCTCCATGCCGCCCTGGACGCTGGTCGCAAGCGTGAAGGCGAGGTCTATTTCCGGCACGGACCCGTCCTCGACGTATTTGGCAGCGACGGCGCGCGCTTGCTTAGTTGCGTTCCAGCCAGGCCCATTCATCCCCTGATAGAGCAGGAACAGGTACAGCTCGCTTTGCGACTTGAAGAGCTTGTCCGCGGCGCGCTGCCAAGGCGATAGGAACGCTGGCAAGTGCCGGAGGGGCGGGATGAAGTCGACGAGACTTGGGTTGGCGGCGACATAGGTGACTTCCTTGTGCACGTCGACGACCTGGTTGAAGACTGGATCGCTGGTAGACGGGACGCGGATGCCGTAGTGCAGTCCCAGGATGACGCTGGCTTGCGTGCGCTCGAGGAGATGGTGGATCTCCGTGCTCTCCATGACCACATCGTCTTTGCCCAGTGCTAGGATGGCGCTTAGCAGATCAACCAAGAGCTGCTTCGACTCCAGCTCCATGAGGGGCTGGTACCGAGGCGCGGCGACGGCTCCAAGGCTCGGTGACAGCATGCGGTGGTGCAGCTTCAGGTTGGCGTCGTAGTCGTGCATCAGAGTGAACTTGGACTTCCCCGGCTCCGCCCCGGTAATCATTTCCATGCTTACCGAGCTCGGTCGGTTGCTGTAGTGCGCGCCGCGCTTGCCGAAGAGCTCCGTCGCCGCCTCAGAGGTGTTGAGTACTACCATCGGAACGATGCCAAAGAGCTTCGAGGCGGCCACTGGCCCGTTGGCTTTGGTCCATTTGTCCCAGTTCGAGAGCGGTTTCTCCAGCGGCGAGCTGTGGAGGTCGCCGATGATCGGGAGCTTGAGCGGTTTTCGAGACGAGTCACCATTTTTGATCCTTGAGACAACGAACAGAACCGTGACCAGTGCGACGGCTACCGCCAGGACTGGAGTTGAGACGCCAGCCATTTCGGCGTTCTAATTAGCGCCGTTCTTGAGATACAGCTGAATGTGATGTGATGGCGACAAGACCAACATTGTTGGAGCAGATGCTACCTGATTATTAATGATGCTTACATCGTTCGCTCAGGCATATAGGTATCTGCAGCCGGGCGGGGAAGTGACGGGTTCCATCGTTTGCGATTCTTAACCCTGTGCAGAAGCGTCATGTTCTCTAGGCATGCTGGTGGGGGGGCGGAGAATACCTTGGTTTGTTCGTGCTTACTGATTATCGGCATCGCAAGAAGTGAGACTCCTACCCTTGCCTGGGAAAGGAGACCGAGAACAGAAGCCCGTAAGCAGATGGTCCGAGGTGACCAGGGTTGTCCGAGACTGCTGCGTGATGGTCCGTGTGAGTGGAGGGTCGATCCGGACGAGGTGCCAGGTTCAACAGAAGCCCCGCTCCGGATGCACCGCCATGTGGGGCCGGACCGTTGGGCTAGAGGCCCGTTTTGGCCCGCGGGGTAACGGATGTGGGCGTCTTCTCAGACACTAGTGCACAGCCTGCTCCAAAAACAACATCACCGGAGTAACCGATTCCTCAGATTTCTTGCAATATGATGAGTTGCTGGTGAATGATCGCAGCAAGACCTTATTTTTTCCAACCCTGAGCCAAACAACCAACTATCGGTAAGGGAAGGTGAGTAGGTAGAAAGACAAATCTAAAAGGATCGTCTACATCAAGTCTACGAGCAAACTCATTCATCTGTCTCTGGCTTCTGAGCATAAACCACATGACTGTGACAGCATTTTGTTAGCTGAGGCCGAGGCTTGCGCAAGGTGAGAGGGGGGATAGCAAAACTCACAGTTCCAAGTAGGCGTGGAACACCTGAGACTTCAACTCGCGACGGACCTCCGCTAGGAACACAAGTACCTCCTCTTTCGTCCATCCAAGCACTCCAGTAAAGAGTCTCAAGGTGAATCCCTCCAATCCATCGAGAATCTGGATGAGATTGATCAAGCCACACTCTTTGTAGTGAGGATCCTTGGGCCAGTCCCCCATTGGGACTTTGAACTTCTGATGGGCAACATTGACAAATCCGCCCGCCTCCTTGACCCAATTCTCCAACTTTGGCCCGGGATTAGGCTCACGGTTCACCAGTTTGCAGGCTTCGAAGAACTTGTCTTCCCATTGAGGGGTGAAATGCTTGTCAGTGAGTGTTCCATCATCTGACATACACCGGAGGTTGTATTCTTGGAACTCGACCCAGCCGCCAGGATTTGTGTTCCTTGAATGGATGTCAGTACCATCAGTTCCAATTTTCGGTTTGTTCCAGTGTGGGACATACTCGTAAGTTCTTCTCACGAGTTTAGGCCAATCTGCAAGAGAACCAGCCATGTACCGACAGAAAATGAAGTCGTACTTTCCCGAGTTTAGCCAAGGGCTCTCGACGTCGTCGATCTCGAACTTAACATTCGGTGGAACCCTAGCTGTTGTTAGTCTAGACCGCTTGCTCATACAAGTGGCTAGAACTGGACCTACCACGTCGGCTGGATGGCGCTCAGGTCGTTCCCAATGATCTACAACCATGGCTGTCAGCTTCAGTCACAGCGCGACTTTATAAAAGTGGTTCTAGTAGAATCCAGTCGGATTCGTACCTCTGTGTTTGGGAACTCCTCGCCCATCTGCATTGCCCCTGAGATCCGTCAGTCGCTGAGTCCAAGTAGACGTACGAGCGATAACCTACAAACTCCTGTTCCAGTTCCAATATCCAGGATCCGATGCATCTTTGCTTCATCGAGCGGTGCCAGGTAAAGCTCGTTGCCGATAACCTTGACCATAAGCATATGATTGAAGTCCAGACGATCCATTTCGCTCTTTTTCGACGAGCACAGTTAGTAAGCAGTATGCGGCATCTCAATAGCCATCTGCGTATTAGCCATACCTCATCGTTTGGGCCCCAGTATGCTGTTTTAAATTAATCCCCTGTGAAACTTAGAGTGAGAATAGGTAATGTGCTTACATCCAGATCGGAAAGCATGATAGCGACGGCCATGCTCAGTCGGGTAGTCGACCACGCTGGAAGATAAAGATGCGGTGTAAGATGACCTGCTAAATTAGCTTCATGCTGCGCAGCAGAAAGCATAAAGGTTCTTTACCACCGGTCATCGATCGTCGACGCAGTCTCGGCCACCTACCGCTCAAGTTAGCAAAATTTTGACAAACAGATAGCCAACGGGCTTCGACACAACGGACACTATCTCCATCGTCAACCTCTATCTCGTTTGTTCCAGTTGCGTTTTCTGGCGAGCCCGGCACGTTTGGAGAGGTAGTTTTCGATCTGGCGGGAGAGCTGGTCTTCGGCCTTGATTGGGCACTGGGTGCTTGCGGGTCGCTTGTTGGTTCGGCCATCTTAGTGGCAGCTCGCGCAAGGATCGATGATATATTTCCAAGTATATGGGATGAGAGTAACAGGTGTACCTTAGTTGAAGTGGGAAATAGAACAAAGAAGTAAAGTTTGGAGGGGGGCGAGTGGGAAGACAGATCATGAGGGGAGTTCGTCTTCACTGTTGATTAAATCCTTACTGGGACCCCTGCAGTTTGACGGCCCATTGTTGGTGCAAATTAGTTTCGTGTGCATGTAGCATGTAGCATGCGCACCAACGCTCCATATTCCAGATCTGGCGAAAGCACCTCGCCTATGTCCAGGGTTGAAAACTGATCAAGAACTCGTCAACGGTCCAACGGCTGGGTCCCTATCGACGTTGTTTCCGAAGCATGCCGTTTCGGAACCAATGAAGACTGCATTTTTGAGCACATACTTTGGGATCACCATGGTTCGAAATGCGTAAATCGTATGAGATCTTTGCCCCTCTACGATTGCACTGGGGAAAGTTGCCAGACTTGACACAAAAGCGTTTGCCTTCTGGACAGCATCCTGACTTCCATATGCAGTAGGCGAGCAAACCAATACACATGGATGCTGTGAGTGTTTCATTGGAGAGATGCTTTAATGCTACATCTCAAGTCCAAAGTCTCAGTATTACTATAACGTCTACCTTACATGGGCATCTACCCAATTATCGGGCGAAGTTCTGGCAAGGCCGCTGATGGAGTGTCCGACAGCACGGATCACGCAAACTAAAACGGCACCCATGACAAGAAGCTCAAGGCAACATTCGGGTATACATTCCGGCGTGTTCCCGTATGCCATGCAAATACACTCATGCTCTATTTGATACTTCATAATATTGAAGACTCGTTGCAAATTTGCGCAAGCATCACCTTCACCTCTTCCTCCGTCCAACCGAGCACGCCAGTGAAGATCCCCAAGTTGAACTTGTGCAGGCTATCGAGTATCTGAACAAGGTCCCATCACCAAGATCCTTTGAAAGAGTATCATTGGATCAAGCACGGCTAGGCAGCTTGTCGGTCTGTCAGCAATCTTCGTGAAGCTGCTCTCCCCGACCCAGTCCTTGGGGAAAAGCGCGAGGCATGGCTCCCTGCTAAGCTGCCTACAGGTCCTGATAAGGTATAAGAAATGCTTGCAGTCTCATTCTTATCAGTGGCAGACAATCATCGAGCAGTATAGGAGGCCCAAGGTCTCAAAACTGGACGCAACCACCAGCATTGGTGTTGCTGAGGTTGATGTACCAGTGCTAGCCCATCTAGTACCTGAGAGCCATCGTACATACCCGTAAACGTGTTCGGCTAAGTACAATGCTCAGCAATAAACGCATCCACTCGTCGGCAGCAGATTAGGCAAACTTGGTTGGGTGCCACCCGGATTTTTTACATTGCATGGACGCAGTCTTCTCTGCGGAGGGAGAGACTGGCGCTTATTCTTAGTTTGGTGAGCCAACATGTTCGATTTCGGTCTGCACAGTAATTTTTGTTGCCATCCGGAGGTTTCAAGGTAACTGATACAATTTTTGACCAGGCCGTCAAGGATCTTAAACTTCCTGTTGGTTCCCCAGCCGCTGAAGGGCTCGTTGTTAGTGCAGCACGTGTGCTGCTTCATGCAGCATATGCATACAGCGTCTCATTTGCACTTTTTCTCTCATTTATCCAGGGTTAAAGACTAATCAGCGACTTGTGAATCACCCGACAGCGGGGACGTTGACAAGGGTGCATTCAATATTTCTGTGTTGGACCGAAGCCGGCGAAGACTTGTCTACTGCACACTTCCCGGTCTGCATGCTAGTGACTTATGTTCTCTGCTTTGGATTGAGACACAAACACCTGAGCATGTTCTCTCTTTCTTTACTGTCACCTTGGAGAAACAGCATGGGACTCACATCTCACATAAACGACAGCCAAGGCAGCCGCAGTAGAGCTAAAGGTGTCGATAGCCTAGAGTTGCGCCGCGAACTATTGTCGAGCATCAATGGTTTTACGTCCTTCTAGGGACTCATTACGTACTACCACGCTTACAAACATCCATCCGAATCTAATACAGAATGATCCGATGATGGGCGGCATAGTATGTCCTCTATTGCACAGCACCGCCGTAAGTCAAAACACCCAATGTTAATGACCGATGCGAGCCCAATTATGGTCACGAGCCGCTGCTTGATGCAACTCCGGTGATGGAACGGGTGAATAGCACGTCGGAAACATTTCACTCTGGATATATCTCCTGAATAAAGCGTGTACAAATCTCAGAAGTATGTTCAGGGATGACACAAGTGGGGAGTTGCTAAAGACTGGAAGTTGAGCCGGCAACAGGGGCACAGCGGGGCCAATGTTGTTTGTCCGACTTCGACCAACAGCACAAACAATGCCAGGAGTCAGTGGATCGCCAAGGTGAGGGGTATATCCAAGAGGGAAGCCGTTTCATTGCTAAGTCTTATAAAAACCCGAGCTCTACGATGCAACATCTCCAAAAGTATCCTCTTTAAAACCGCCTGGTTAACATCCTAATCCCGCAGCTCTCCAGTTTATATCCTACATTATGTCTGAAACCAACACAAATCCTAAAATCAATCCTCCGGTGCCTTCATCTAATGCGGCCACTGCCCTTGCTTCGATCGAGGTCGATGATGGAGACTTGACCGAAGATGCCTCCACGATGGACGACAGAATCTCATCTTACTCTGCGTCCTTGACCTCCAGCATTATCGACTACCCAGAGGAATATGGGCGTCGATACCACGCTTACCGAGCCGGCTCATACCAGTTTCCTAACGATGAGAGGGAAATTGATAGACTTGACTTCAACCATACCTTAATAGCTAGGACAACTGGCCAACTTTTCCTAGCTCCTATCGAAAAAGATAAGACCCATCGCATTCTGGACGTCGGTACTGGTACGGGCATTTGGGCGATTGAGATAGGCGACGGGTTCCCTAACGCGGAGGTTGTTGGCATTGACTTGAGCGCCATCCAGCCGAGTTTTGTTCCGCCAAACGTCAAATTCGAGATTGACGATGCCGAAAGCTCATGGGTTGGAAACGCTAAATACGACTTTATCTTTTCAAGATACCTCGCCTTGTCTATTGCCAACTGGCCAAGACTCGTAGGCAATATCTACACAAACTTAAACAACAACGGCTGGGCCGAGTTCCAAGACTATAGTCTTACGCTCGATTCAGACGACGGGACATTGACAGACGATCACCAGACGATGAAGTGGCAAAAATGGGGAAATGAAATTGCCGAAAAGATTGGGCGGGATTTCAACCCAGGCCCCAAGCTGCGTAACTGGGTGGCAGAAGCTGGCTTCCGAAACATCGTCCACAAGCACTACAAGATCCCAGTAGGACCCTGGGCCAAGGGGGCCCATTACAAGGAAATTGGGATGCTGAACCTGATGCAGCTGTTGGATGGCCTTGAAGCGTTTACACTGAGGCCGTTCTGTGGCGTTCTGGGATGGACGACCGAGGAGGCCCAGGTGCTGCGTGCTAATGTCCGCAAGGAGATTAAGTCTGGGGCCTTCCATGCTCATCTGAACTACCACGTGGTCTATGGTCAGAAAGTGGAGAGCGAGGGTGAGAAGGAGGGAGAATGATTCCTTTTGGTAGTCTTCGGTAGATCAAATAATGTATGCAACTCCAAGCCCAGTCTATCCACTGGCTAATGTTCCTTCCTAGCTCGAGTCTTTGAAGCTTCACTAGAACCATCTCTACCGTTGGTGATCATGGTGATAAATGATAGTCCACTGAAGGCAACACGTTCAGATCGCCCAGCCATAAATGCACGTGAGATCAACGGCGAGCCACCATATTACACCGGGCTTGCACACTATTGCATGGATCTGAAAAGGAGAAACACCGTCATTCAACGGGGTGGTTCACGAGAAACAGACCTTTACACTGCTGGTGTGGATGAGATTGTCTCCAAGGCTTGCTATCGAGCAGGAAGTCATTTTCTGAACCCAGCCCCTCCAAGTATTAGTGCGCTGATCTCCGGGAGACTAACGGTGCCGGTCGGATGCTCGGTGGCCGAGTCATCGGACGAACCACGGCGGGTGCAGTCCACCCGATCAACGTCATTCATTAATCCACAGACAAAACCGAGCAGTTACCTAAAAGTCTTTGTGCATTTTATGGCCATTTTTCGTGGGTATCATCTACTACCTCGGTCCATCAATGACCACCGCCGTTCCCTGGCGGCCCTGCCGGCAGCTCGATATGAAAATCCCACGCAGTCCAAATCCAAGCGATCTTGCCCTCCTCGTAGCCATACAGTGCGGTTTCATAAATCTTGGCCTTCTCTCCGGGGCCGTTCATTTGAACCCTCTTGTCCTCTGGCACCCCCTCGAGGACAACCCGGGCGGCGATCTGCTGCCTCTCTGCATCGATAATTACTTCCTCAATCTTGTGTTCGAGGCCGGCTTTCAGAGGCTTAACAAAGCTGACCAGGAATCCAATGTTCTTTTCCATGGACAGCGGGAGCCCGTTCGTCGAGGAAGGATCGGTCCAGTACTGTGGCATGTCCGTGGCAATGTCGCCGTGGTCAACTGTGTGGATATACTTCGGGTACAGTTTGCGGAACTCGCTCGCCGACAGCGGGTTCTCTGACGGCTTGGAGGTGACCGCCGGCGCGCAGGGACCAGCATGGCCCCGGCTGAACTGTGAGGCGACCTGGTAGAACCGGGAGATCTTGCCGTCTTTGAAGAAGATAAGAATCAGGTCCCAGACTTGAGAGGGTGCTCCCCCTTCGGCGCTGTTGACGCTGCTGATGACCAGACGGGCACCAAGAGACTGGGCGGCCTCGTCAACGGTCCAGGTGTCTGCGGTAAGCTGGTCGCCCTTCTCGGCTGCTGCAGTGAGCCGTTTGACGAAGTCATCTCTGCTCTCTTGGTTTCTGTTATAGGTCACCGTCGCGTCCGGGTGGAGATGATTTTGTACCTCCTCCCAGTTTTTGTTGTTTGCCGCGTCCAGGAAAGCCTGCGCGATGGCAACGACGCCTTGTGGTGCCATTATAGGAGCCCGTGAAAGTTGCTTGGGTGCTGTCGTGCTAGTTGGAGAAGATGGCTCGCGTTGACTCTTTTGACCTCACAGGTTTATATAGCCTCGGCAGATTCGATGCTTACGAGGTTGTTGGTGCTAACCCGATATCCTTGTTGAAGCCGTCGCTGTGGACCTGCAACTCGGGACCGCCAACTGGCCCGTCGGACCGGTCCTCGTTGCTAATATTGGGCCGGATGTGCACGAATTTGATCCCGTTTGAGTAAGTATTTACCGAAGGCATTTCCCGGATACTACCAATTTGCAAGGTCGCATTGTGAAACCTTAATAGATTGCCTTGGACTTGAACGAGCTCCATTTTGGACGCAGCGAACTCAAACTGATTACCGGCGGTTGCCTAAGATGCTTTGCACCAAACAGATGTCCATTTGTCGAGCTTGGCGATACGGCCATTCGGCCATGCCACTGGTGCATGTGACGACCCGCAGCATCCTAGGGAGCAGCGGCGTGAAACTCTACGGTGCCCAAATAGTCATTAGCAGCCCAGGGCGCAGTCAAGCTGAAGGCCCGCACGGCTTCCGGACCGCAAGCCGATCTTTCCGTCCCGGTCGACGGTGCCGGCCTTTGAAGCAGCCTCGCCGACACTCCGTCTTACCTCCGGGCCTCCGTCTCCGACCCCCGCACCCCCGACGGTCCGCTCCTCGAGCTATCTTCGGTCTCCAGCTTCCGGGCGCTTTTTGCTTTATTTGGATTTTTTATTTACTTGTTCATTCATTTGTTCTCTATTTTTTTAATAATTGCGCTGCCTAAACTGAACCCTACATTTACATGCACCTCAAATGGCTGCCTACACAAGACGGAGGGCCTGGAAGGGGCTCCCGCATCTTTGGCTGTATTCTCCTGCTTTTCGCATCAGCGAATGTCCCTGAACAAAAGCCAAGATGTGGTGGAAACGGCTGCAAGTCAACAAAGACACCAAGCAGTGGCTGAGTAGTCCAGTCGATCGCACCATCGCTGGCGCTTTAAACCGCTGTTCCGTCGGGCCCATGTCCCTCCTTATATTCCTCCCTGCTTCGACATGTGTTGGTCCCCCATTTCCAGACAACGTGCCCGACGTTGCTGGGGTTACAAGATGTCTGCCTGACTCCCTTGTCACAAATCCGATGCTGTTGGTTGAGGCGACAGGGAGCGACGGCCAATGAGAGACTATGTGGCCTTCTCTTCGCGGCAGGTCGTTGGAGTCGTGCCGCACAGCACGGGCACGATGGCCGTTGAGATTGTTGCCTGCCCCAGGCATCACTTAAGCTTGAAAGGAGGACGTGGTGTTATGCGATGAATTCGGTCGGGCGCATCAACATCTGCGTCTCGGTTCCGAGTTTCGAAATCATTAATTGTTGGTTCTGTTGCTTGCTTGTTGAGGTGCTTGCTCGTTAAGGTTATTGCTTCGAATACAACAAAAACAAGTGGTACACACATTTTGCGTATTTGTATCCCCTCATCGCCTTTGACCTTTCGTTTCCAAGCCTCGCCTCTTCAAACACATCTTTGAACCAACAAACCACGAATCCTTAGTTCATCTTCCACGATACCCCCAAAAGCATACACCCTACAATCATCATGGCCACCGCTGTCGAGTCTGCCCCTTACACCGGCCCCTCTCCCCGCGAGATGATCGAATCCCACACTCTCGCCCAGGAGATCATCGGGCGCAACAACGACCCCTGCCCGATCCTCGACTCTGACGAGCTGGCCCTGCTCTCCCAGTTCGTCGCCAACCCGTCGCAGGCCCGCGCCCTCCTCGAGGCCCGCGGTCTGGCCGACGAGCCCACCAAGTCCGGCAGCCTGGTGGCCTACGTCATCTCCCTGCACGGCACCGACAAAGCTGCTCTTACGGAGGAGGAGATCAAGACTCTTAAGCAATGGTTCGAGGACAGTCAGAAGGCATAGGATGGGCGGTGTCGATCTGGAATATCGCAAACACTCATCTCTCGGCGGCGAGAGAAGCCAATCGAGTTCGATCTGTTCACTTCTTGATGTGGAGGGCTGGGGGCGAGACTTTGGTTTGTTGATGCAAGGCTTTTGTTACTCAACGTTGCAGCAGTCAACTTTTGCACAATAAACCGAATCAACCACCTCACAAGCATATTTTCAAGACTCCCTTGACGATGGCTGATTGAAGCTACGAGACTCCTTTGTAAAGGGACACGAGCTCGAAGAGACTCAACGTACCATACTGCGTAACCCAAAGCTAACACACGGGTTATAGTGCAGGTAGAGTTGAAGAATAGCATAAGGGGTCACTGCGTAGTACATATCGGAATATATGCCACACAGGAGACCAAAAAGCTCACATGAAGATCAAGTCAGAAGGAACTTAAAGTGAGCGAGAACCTCCCACCCGGAACGAGCTTTCCATTGGACGTTGGGTTGATGATCAGGTTGAAACTTGGCATGAAAGGTAACAATTAGCACTTGCCCAGCTTGCCTGCATGGCGGACGGGGTGACTGGCTGTGACTTTGGTGGTGCTTCTCCCAGAGAGGAGGTTCATGGTCGAGGCAGTGTGAGCATGAATGAAGTGCCCATGACTTCTCTTCTGCTTTCCTCGCAACGTCATCGTCGTTTCCAGGCTAATAAAGTGCAAAGACGGAATCCCTCGCTGCCCTTGGCTTCGATAGTGGACCTTGGGTTAGAGCAAGTGCCCCCAAGCCAACCCTTGACACACACCCGCATCCATTCCTGCCCGGTAGGGACCAACCTCGTAGTTGCTCCTCTGATCATGAGGGTAATAGGTCAACCTGCATCACTCTTGCGTATTTTCGCCAACAGGCAATAAGCGTTGATTATGGGAAAGAACAGAGAATGCAAAAGGAAACGCCCTCCCCACAGCATCCTGCGTTCTAAGCACGCACAACACACCAGCAACAACTAGGAAGGATGCCGATGTCATCCAGGTTTTCCAGTCTGATACCCCCGTTTCAAGGCACCACAAGCGACAAACGCTCCGATCGATGTGCGATACCATGGTTCAGAGGACATATCTAGACACAGGCGGTGGTGGCCAGCCGGGATGTGTCTGGGTACTGCATCGCTAACGGGGGATTCAGATATCAATTCAAGTATCTAGTTCCTCTGGTTACTAACGGCTTTACTGACGCAAGCCCAGGCATCCCGCTGCTTATGCCTGCATCAGCAAGGATCGGTACCGTCGACTGCGATTGGACCAAAGCAACACAGTCAGATTGACGCCGCCTTTAACACTTTGGGCAACCAAAAGCTCACAAACGCGATCCACACGCGCATCGCATCGCATCACTAATGTCGTGAAGCAGCGCGGTAGAGAACCCATGCCCCGGGCAACGCAGTCTGACCACGGCGCCTCCACCCTCGACGCAGGTGATTTACGAGCTTGAATAAGCTCTCCCATTCGGTTGATTGCGAAACACATCCAATTTGTCAAAATGCGATGAGGGATTCGTCAAGATCCTGCAGCCTGCATGCAGGCACAAACGTTGGGGATCTTGACCATCCCTGCCTGCGCAACAAGCCGTCTGCAGGCCGTCGATGCTGTACTCCGTGCCATGGACCCAAGTTCGGACGTCGGGCGTTGGCTAGGCATACCAACGCCGCCTCCACCGATGTTCACAGCCAGGGGGCCCGGTGTCAATCCAGGCTTACGACGGCCAACCCATTTGCATTGCAAACCCTCTTCACTTGTTGTAGCAGTCTCGACGAGTGTTGTCTTGGTGCCGTGTCATCCCTAACTAGGCGCACCGAGTTAATCATGCGATCTGTCACTCCCTTCCGGGACACGGCTGGCACATCAGCCATCTCGGAAGGACCCCAAACTCGGCATCGCAGATCCCTCGAACGGTACCCAATGCCTTTGCCAGGCGTCTCCCTCACCGGACCATGTCAGATCGCGCCCATTGGAGGCGATCCAATGACGAGGCGCAGAGCGATAAAGCAAAATCCGAGTCTCGGTCACAACCGCAGGCCATCTCCATCTGGTGGGATTGACAGACCTGGCAGGCATCTCGATCAAGAACCTGTCCTCCGTAGCGCATCCCGTTCTGCACCCTGGTTTCGTACGTCGACCAATGCGGGCGCAGGCCTCTCCGCACCATTTCAAACGGCATTCCCGTTTCTGCTTCTCCACAAAACGTTTCGTTTTAAGGTGGGATGGGGTTTGGAGCGCAATCTGCACAGCCACCAACACCACCACCACCACCACCACACTTTGCCGTCCGTCAACGAGCGGGAACATATCGTCGATAGAATGCGTAGTATTGCGACACACGCGCCCACCCATCCCCTTTTGGCGACTCAGCCGCAACTCAGGCTCTCATCCCTGCTAGCCGTGAGTGGCAAGCCACATCCCCCCTGTCTGCAGCTGTCCTTCACCGTGTCCAGGTTTACCCCTTGAAGTGTGTCAGTGCCTTGTGACCTTGTCACTGCCGTCGCTTCCTCCCCCGTTGTCGATTAGGTACCGATTCAGCACATGGAACGTTACTGACGCGAGAAGCTAGAGCTGGCCCGCCAAAACTCAACTCCATCGATATCGCGGCCTCAGTCTCTACAGAGTTTGGCGGCCGGCACGCGGATTCCGCTTGAGAGGAAAGCCAGAGGAAACCTGATTCGGCTAGCCGCCGAGCAGATCCCTTCTTCATGCGTCGCCCGCCCGTCATCTCCACGCAGCCGCTCCACGCACAGCGAGCCCAACACTGCCTGCCAGGTTGCAGCAAATCTTTGCTGGCCATGGAGACGCCCAAAAGTCAAATGCCCAATAATCAAGATTCAACGTCGCGTTTCCCCTTGGGGACCTTCGGCCCAAACCTTGCCCAAGAATAAACAACAGCCCAGACGTCCCTTGGCCCCCTCGCGTAGCGTTTTCCAAGGCGTTGATCCAGCAGGGCCGCGTAACTCGCCACTCATTGCAGCCTCAAACATCTCAGCGCCGGATGGTCCATCCCCAGAAGCCATCAGTCGACGCGACCCTGTCACCGTAACCTTTGCCCTCCTAAACATGATAGATGCCAATCCAAATCTTATATATCAAATACTATTACCCTGGAGAACACCATCTCCCCACCCCGTCTCCAAATTCGGCCGGGTTGCAGAGGCCGAGACAATTGCGGATTCCGATCCCTCGTCTCCCTCGCTCCGTTTCTACACTTGTCATAGTCATAGTAACCCTTGCGTCTCGTAACCAGAAGGTCCAGCTTCGTGGTTGAAACCGTCTCGTCAAAAGTTCCCGCCCCCTTAACCCGGGGACGGGGACCGGTTGAACTCATCTGGCCGCCGTTACATCTGGCGTTGCCTGTCGACATTGACAGGACCAAATTTGCTCCGGCGTTTATACGTTCCCCGTCTGTGCGAGCGCCAGCCCGGCCAGCAAAGGGCCGACTTCGCAGCTGGACCGTGTCCCGAAAGGGGTTGGTGTGAGTGTGTGGCCGGTGTTGTGTGCATGCCCCCATGTAATAGTATATACCACATGCGAGAGTGTAAGCTGGGCTGGGCGTCGTAGAGCACGCCCGGCCCAGGCCCAGCGACGATCACTCACGCTCGTCGGCAGCAAGCGCTGAGACGCTGGTGGTGATCAGTGATGGGCGCCGATCATCCATGAACCCCGTCTTCTAGAACCTCGCGCCCAGCGCTCGGCCGCCCCTGGAGAGCCAGCCCGTGCTGCTAAACAGCGCCCTGCCGCGTCTTACCTGCGTGTGAGAAATAAGCCTAAACCGGCGCAGCCCCCCCCCCCCCCCCCCCCCCCCCAATACCCCTCCCCCCGAGATGCCGTCCGGCCTCCCAGAGGCAGAAGGACCTGGGCTGTCGATGCCCTCGGACAAAGTCATGACGGCTACAATGTCTAATAGGGTTGTCGCCCGACAGCCAGGCGTCGCGTCGCGTCGCGGCCCTCCCACTGCCGGAGCCCGCCGGGACACGCATGCTTTGCTCCCGAGGCTGCGGGGAGAGCCGACGCGGGACGCGAGATCAGGATGCCCCAGCGGAAACCACCCGCCGAGACGACGTTCGACAGCTGGTCGGACGCCGCGGCTGAGGGCATCGTCACCGGGGCATGGTCCCGTCTGGCGGGCGGGCTGGCTCGTCATCTCTCTCCTGTCTCGTTCAGTCCCCCCGTCCCCTAATCGCGCCACATGCCCGCCCAGCTGTGCCTGTCAAGAAACAAAAGGCACCGTCAAAGGAGAAACGGCGCAACAAGGCGACGGGCATCTCGCTTGCGGCAGGAAGGGGCGGGTCCCGTCGAAACTTGATGCCGGAAATAGAGGACGACGCAGCCTGCAGAGCGCAGGATGCGGGGGAACCAGGCTCTGGCTCCGGCTCCGGCTCTGGCTCGAAGGGGGGAAGGGAGAACGTGGTGCAAAAAGCCTACACCACCTCGGCCCCCCCCCAGCTGGACGTGTTGGAGGGGCAGATCCGTTTTCTTGATTTTTTCCCGAAATTGCGTGAACATGCGAGCGTCCCAACTCTGTTCTTGTCGTTCCCTCCTCGTCTCAAGAAAGGGGGGGGGGGGTGTTTGTTTCCTTGTACTCTTCCATCTTACTCACCCACACACTTGCACTCACACACTCTCTTCAACACACTAGTCACATCACACAAAGGGACGATGCCAAACCACGTATTTGTCGAACAAATCTTGTTCGGATTAACTACTAGCTGAAAATGCAAAAAAGAGTAACCCGTTTGAGCTGCGTGTAAGCCAGACGTTGGCCGGGACCTCCAGGGTTGCCAAGTCGCCCATACTTCCCATTCACCAAGAAAAAGAAAAGAAAAAAAGAGTTTCCAGCGCCCTCTGCCGCCGGAAAGTCAGGTCTGTCATGCGCAGCAAGGCCAGAATCCCAAAGTCTTTCCGACGACTTGTTCAGCCCCCTTCCCCCCTTCCGGCCAAGCAATCCATTGCTTCTCCGAACGTTCTTCGGCGGCGCGGAGGAGGAGGGAGGAGGGGGTTTCACGCAGGAGAGCGGACTACATGTCGCCTCAAGCCTCTGTTCCACTGACCACATCCGCCCAGCCCAAAGCTGCCGCGGGCGCGACCCCCCTTTTCCCCAGAAATCCACACAATGACCCCCATCCCGGCGACTACGTTCCGTTCACGTCCAGCCCCGGCTAGCAGGATCCGTAGTGTCGTACTTGTAGCCCCGGGTGGGGTAATCAGCATGGCCTGGTGTGGGTTCGTCGTTGCCGCGCAAGTCGAGCGGGCGCGTGTCGTCGTCGTCGTCGTGGTGAGAGCAGAGTCCAAGGCTTCGGCAAGAGGTCTTTGCATCGTATCCTGCGCAGCAGGACGTCTTTTCCGCGATGCCCAGCTTCTGTTGTTTTGTTGGTTTGATCCCACCCCTCCTTCACTTCCATGCCGGCCGCCCTCCCCTGCGTGGGAGGCGGCCGCAGCCAAGATCCTGTCGACAAGCCAGTGTCTGCCTCGACGGCCGTATGCCAGATACGGCCAAAGTCTCAGCTACGAGATGATTGTTTTTCTTGCAGATCGACCTTGTGCGAAAGAGCGTTGCCATTATTGGATCCAGTCCGGGTTGCAAGTCTTTGCCGCCAAAACCGAAAACCCGAGAACATGTGCGAAGCGGAAAAAGAATCAAGAGTGTCGTATGTCGTGGCATCAAGCCCGGAGAAACGTCGTTCTTGATCCGTATCGTTCATCGCGCAGTCGTGAATCTTCGTCATTCGTCGTGGAACGGTCGTCGTGAATCATCCGCAAGACAGGAACCCAAGCCCAAGGAAATGAAAGAAAGCAAATGCGCAGCGGTTGGTATCTTCCGATCCAGTGTAATGCCGATGGGGGTATCTCTAAGAAAGCCTCTTGAACCAAAAATGGACGAAAAAAAAAGGGGGAGGAAGACTGAAATCCAGAACGGGGGAATCGAGAATCCAAGGTGTCGGTTTCTTCTGTCTCGGGCTCCAGGCCTGGAGCCGAGCGGGGGTGTTGCATTGCTGCGTGTTCCTCTTGTTTAGATGAGAGAAGACCCAAAGGAAAAAAAAAAGAGATCAAGTATGAGACACAAGCCGCCTATGTTCAGGAATCCCCCAAATGTAAATGCACTCAAATGCCCGCCCCGGGCCCAGCCATGATGAGATCATTTCGAATGAAAAGGTGACCGAGCTTGCGGCAGAGTGAGTGGTGGTTGTTGTTCCCCGGATATCGAAAAGACGGAATAATGAAAAAAAAATCAAACGCTCGCTTGCTGCCGACAAAGGAAAACCCGGATTATATCTTTTTTGTTTCGTCGTTGGCCTCGCGACATCTCGTAACACCGTTCGCTCCCCCCTTGTTGATGCAAAACGCCGATATGCCTGTGGATGATTTCTATGCCGAGCAAACCGAGAGGACTTCAACTTTTCTCCGGGAAACATGGACCAGTCGTGCCTTGGCAATGCTATGAGGTCGTGACGACGGGGTCGCTCTCAGTCGTGACGGGCGCTGGTTGTCACATTGTCGTTGCGTACTCCTGGTAGCGATCCCAGCCGAAGCCGCCGTAGCCGACGCTCACACCGCATTGCGGCGTGAACATGCTGGGAAGCGGCAGCGCCGGGATGGGCGCCGTGATCGCCGGTGCACTGTAGTAGAAGCCGGCCGTGGAAAAGGGCTGGGTGAAGGACGGCGTCGGCGAGGGGATTTGCACCTCGCTCATGCCGATGTTGGCCCAGATGGGTGTTGATTCCTGAGACGTTGATGCGATGCTGGGGCTCGAGGGCAGGACCCTCCACGCGTCGACGGCGGGCAGGTGGGCTGGCGTAGGGGGTTGCGACCAGATGCTTGCGTTTGCGGGTGAGCTGGGGAGCAGGGGAGGTTGTCTGATGACGTCGACAACGCGGGGGGAGGAGGCAGCAGGGGCTTCATCAGGCCCATGATGTTGCTCTTGACCTCGTCGCTCTTGCCGGAGAGCAACTCGCCGGCGCCTTCTTCCTCGAGACCCTCCAAGGCGGAGACGTGGGTGCGGTAGACAAACTTGTTGATGGCCTGGACAAAGTCCTCGTGCAGCTTCTTGCACTGCTGGTCCTTCTCAGACCAGTCGTACGTGTTTGCCTTGGAGTCGACGCAGTGGATCTCCTTGTGGTACTCGACCAGAGCGTCTATCGAGTCTGTGGTCAGCTTGAAGGCAACCTCGTTGCGCAGGACCATGTCGACGTGGACGATGTAGGCCTCGATGTGGAGAAGCTGGTAGTTGAACAGGGCCTCGACGAGGGGGTTGGAGTCCTGGCGCAAGTCGGATTCCGGGGCCTTGGGGAGCATGATGGAGGTGAGAGTCCAGATGGCGTTGGGCGAGGACAGAGTCTCGGTCAGACATCTTTGGTGTTGCGGGACGCTGTTGAGAGGGCGCTTGACCCGGTTGATGCGCTTCAGTGTCTGAGTCAACCACGGCTCGACCTTGGATCCCAGCACGACGTTGACTGATGAGGCTCTTGGGGCAAAAGCCGCCGCCGAGGCCGGTAGCAGCTGGACAGGCATCTTGTGCGGAGGGTTTCTAGGGGAGTGGGGGATCCGTAGAAAGGCGAGGAAAGACTTTTTGGCGTGATGAGACGGAAAAAAAAAAAAGAAGAAGCCGGTTTTCGTCAAGAGGTATATCGTAGTAGAGGACCTTTTCGTGGTGTTGTCGGTAGCTGTGGACGGGGGGTTCTAGGTCTTGATCTTGAATCTTTGTCAGGCGCCTCGATAACCGGGGGGAGGAGGAGGAGGAGGATGGATAGATGGGGAGGGAAAATGAAGTAATAAAGGAAACAAGTGATGACGGAGCTGGGCGGTCCCAAGAAGATATACAACAAGGGATGTTTTTGGCTTGCACGCCTGCTACCGCGAATAAGAAGAAGAAGATGGTGGACGAAGAGCTCGTGAAGAAGGAAGAGGGAGGGTAAGAAGAGACTGGATGTGGTGCGAGGGTGGTGGGGTGTTATAATCGACCCGACGAGGGACTTTGTCTGCCCTCTACTATTACACTACCCTCCTGCGTCTGCTCACTGTCCAGTCGAGAACAGTCCCCATTCAGCGCAGTCGGGCCCTATCACAGAAGAGCAAGGTACCTTGGTGACTGCATCTTAGTTCCGCTTGGTGTGCGCTGCGGCTGGGTTGCGGTGAAGGTTGGGTACCCGAGACTTGATCAGACGTGCTGGGCAGGGGTGCGATGGGCGGCTAGGTCAAGTACCGGGGTACGCGGGGCTCTGTCTTTGATTTTCCCTCTCTTCTCGCTTCGCACATTGCTCTCTCTGTCTCTCTCGCTCTTCCCCCCATTTGCCTCGACCATGCTGGTGGGCTTTCGGCTGGCGGACCATGGACCATGGACCATGGGCCACAGGAGGAGGTGGGAAGGCGCAAGAAAAGAGAGAGGGGGGAGGGTGTGGGAGGGGGGTGTGGGAGGTTCCTCCTCACGCTGCGGTACACTACGGGTGCAAAGAGCAAGGAGCAAGGAGCATGGGGCAGACAGTGAGTGAATGACAAGTGGGAGAAGGGGAAGGAGGGCCCGGAGGGAGGGCCGAGGGACGTCGAGCAGCGGGAGAAGCAAAGTGGAGCGAGGACGGAACCAGAAGTCAGAAGTCAGAGGCCCAGAGGCCGGGAGAGACACAGGCGGAACGAGAGGGAGGGGGACGGCAACTGCCCAGTGGACGGCAAAGACGAAAGATCCATGGAACGATGCACGCCGGCGGGGGCAGCGCAGCGCGCTGTGCAGTAGCATCGGATTCCCCCCCCCCCCCCCAAGGCATCGAAAGGGCTACAGGTACCTGCTATAGGTACTTTTAGCAGGTACTTCTCCAGAAACGGGCCGGTACTTCTCCCGTCGTCCAAGGACAAGGCCCCAGGCAGGCAGGCCGACGCTACGTTGCTGGCCTACTACCTGTACATACCATACCGTAGTACCTAGTATTGCTGTTACATAGTATGACTAGTACATAGTATGCAGCTGGCAACGGGTAGTGTGTACAGGTAGGCCTCAGGTTAGGGCACGGCATGGTGGCCCGGTGCGCGGTGCATGCATTTGGGCCGGATTCCAGGTCTGCTTGTCGCCTCACCCGGGGGCTCCATCCATTTTACTGTAGTTTACAATGGGCCCCCCGTTGCGCCCATCGAGGGGACGCTGTGGAGCTGAGACCACCGACGGAGGCGGCGGCGGCGGGGAGGACCTGCCAGCTGAAGCCATGTCTGCTGGCCTGGCGTTGGTGTTGGCGTTGGCGTTGGCGTTGGCGCTGGCGTCGCTGGCGTCGCTGTTGGTCCTCGTCGAGTCTGTGAGGCATCCGAAAGCCCATGCCTCCTCCCTCGACCTACATCGTAGACGACGTCCAGGTGAACACACATACACACACACGTCCATGATGGTGGATTGGAGGACCCCAGCAAGCATGGACCTGCGTTGGCCGTTGGCCTCTCGAGTCCGTCGAGGGCCGTCATTCCCTTCATGCGCTCTTCGTGGCGTCGTCTTCTCGCCCACTTGCCAACCAACCTCATCCTCGCCTCGAGTCCTAGCTTGCCTTGATCCAGCGCCCCCCCCTCTCGTCCCCTCTCACGGCATTACTCTGTCGTTGCCCTGCATGGACCGAGCGAACAGCTAGCCGTGTCTTCAGCCACCGTCCGTCGTCGGCTGGGTACATCAAAAGCAGGCGAGTGAGGCAAAGGCAAGGGTTGACAGAGTTGGCATGCATACCTAGGCAGGATCGTCAGATAGCCTGGGGTAGGCCAGGTATTCATCCCATGGCTGCTTTAGTGCCGTCATCTGCGCGCGCGCGCGCGCTCCGCAAGCTTGGGCCCGTCCTTTCTTTTTTCTTTCTTTTTTTTTGGTGCTACCACTTGAAATTCCTCTTCTCCGCTGTGAGTTTGATATAGCGAAACCTTGCGCCGATAACTGATGGTGAGGTGCTGACTGAGCCGAGGTGGCTACAGTAGGCTCAGGCTACCCGCTGAGTCGGGACGTTTCTTAAACGGTCTCGTTTGCTTCTTTCCGCTTTTCCTTCTTCACCAAGGTTTGCGGGCGACTGTTTCCCATGTTTCCTAGAGCGGTCTAGCCTGGGGAGACTTTAACAGTCCGCGGCTTCTGGCTGGAGTGTGTTGTGTGAAGTGTTGCGTGGTCTGGCTTGCCCCGGCGTACGCCACAGTCGGTTATGGGTCTCCAAGAAGGACGTGCCAGAACCACTGAACCCCGGAAGGTGATCAGCAACTGACGACCTCGGGCCCGGTTCTCCTATGCCAGGCAAAGGAGGCGACATATGGCCAAAAAGAAACACACCTAGCCCTCGGCATTCAAGGCGACCCCGGGTAAGGCTGGGCGAGGTCGGGGCATGGCAAGGCAGAGACATCCTCTCCTATGGGCCTGGGTACGGGTGCGGCGCAAAACGCTCGACGCTTTGGTACATCGTCCATCTGTCTTCGGGGTCTGAACAGAGTTCCTACCGTACCCTTGATTCTGATCCATTCCGCCCATGTAAATACAAGGTATCTGTCGACCCAAAGTGTACGCTACATACGAGAGCGACACGCTGCTTCAGATTGTCGTGCGTGTTCCCCCGAGCCCGATCCCAGTCCAGAGATTCGCGGCCAGCTTTGGTTTGGTGGCAATGAAGAGAGAAGCGAACTGTAAATCTTCCCGCTTTTTCTGGAGCCAAATTGATGGGGCGCTCTCTAAAAAAAGAGTTCACTAAAAACACAACGCACTCGACTGCTTCATCCCTACACGCTGCTACTACGGTACATGAAGCGAAAGCGACGGCGGAGCGACGGCGGCGGAAAACCCCCCCCCCCCCCCCAAAAAAAAACACCAACAACTACAAGCCACAAAGATTGGGCAGAGACGACGGGCCGCGGAAGACGAGGGGCTGTGCTGCGACTTGCATATGCTCAATGACAGAATCCGAGGAGGCCAGGCGAATGGGAGCCGATGGAGCCCGCAGGCAGGAATTTTCCCAGCAAGCGCAGCTGAACGGCACCGAAAGCCACTGCTACTGCGTGGGCGCAAGCCTCACGTCCGGTACCAAGCACATGTACCGTGCCTCGTGCAGAACGACGTCGTTGCTTCTTGCGGGTTGGATCTCACCCAGGATTGCCATGCCGCATCCGAATTTTTCCTGCTCGGTTCTTTTTCAAGTTAGTGTCCGTGTGTCCCTGCTCTGCGGGTCTGCGTAGCACGCCTGTGGCTTCGTCGGTAGCCCGCCAAGCGGCCTGTCAAGGCTCTCGGATACTCCATGATCTTTGGTTTTCTTTGGGTCTTGGTTACCTATTTCTTCCTGCAAGCTCACGTACTTCGGGCCAGAATCCAGACGGCCCGGACGCACTGTTGTGAGGTGGTGATGTACGCGCCAGGTGGCCTCCCGTCCAGCTGGCAGCTCAGGCGGCCTCAAGCCTGACCGTCTGTGCGCCTCGTCTTGTCGTGGCCAAGTTGACGAGTCTGCTGTATTCGTATACTGCACTCTTGTGGCCTTGGTAGCCCGCGGCACGTGCAAAGATCGAGCTGATGAGGTCCAGAATTCGGGCCTTGGTAGCGACCCGATACGTCCTCTGCTAATATCCAGACACGGCAAGTGAGTCGTCGTCTCTGCGTCTAGTCGTACTTCGCCCCATGGACCAATGTGCTCCGCTAGTTAGTGCGAATACGATTGCCGCTTCTTCCTCCTTGTTTCTCGAAAGATGCCTTATCTCTCGGTTGGGTCGTGAGATGGAATCCGGACTGCCAGAATTTTTTTTGTTCATTTCATCGTCCCGTCATCGCATGTCCCCGCCACCCGAGGGCCAAGTACCGTCCCTGCAAAAGGGACGCGCCTCTTTAGGTACCATCAATACTTTTCCGCCGTACAGTTATGCTTTTCCTCTCTGTGGTCTGTTGCACTTGCAAAAGTCCACGGCCGATTGTCCTGATTTGCGAAACCCCGCGACAAACTCGTCGTCATACCCTCTGGATTGCAATCCTGGATCAGTGTCTCTCCGGCTAGAGACAGGCCCGAGGAGAGACATCGCCGAGGTCTAGCGTCGTTTGCCCTTGCACGAACCGTCACCTTAGTACGAGCACCGGTGGGTAGCCCAACTGTCAGAGTCTTACCGGCCAGCGGCTTGTCAGAAAAGAAAGAACGACACTTGTCACTGCTGTCAGGAATGCTTCTGTCCCAGAGAAGGCTTACCCCTGCTTGCCGGCACCCACCAACACCAGGCGCCTTCTTTCACATGTACTATGTCTCTCGGTGGAAAGCCACCCCTGTCCTCACCACCACAGGGTCCGTCCCAGCTCCGTAGCTGCCAACTCCTCCCCCTTAGGGAGCAAGCTCAAGCAAGGTGGGGGGGGGGGGGGGGGGGGGGGGGGCAAGAAGAGGCGACTGCGTGACGACTTCCACATCCGCGCAGGTCTCCGGGCGCTTCGTTTGACGAGATGGTGTTTACTATAGTAGCATTTCCTCGGATGCCACCACCACTGCTGACCGGGACCATTGTGGTCTGCACCGGGGCCGTGGGTTGTGCTTCCGCGGCATTTCGAATGATCCCAACCTCTACCAGCACGGGCTTTTTCGATATATCATTTTGTAGACATTGCCCATCCCGCCCTTCACTGAGTGGCCTGTTCCTTGGCCATGCACCTTGCTCTTTTGCGAAGTATCAGGTCTGCTCGAGGCGTAGGACTTCCAGTGTGTAATCATCGCGAGGGTGAACCATGATTGGAACAATATGTGATTTCATGCTCTGCCGCACACGCCCACGCAGGTCCGGGGCTTTTGTTAGCCGGAAATGGGCTTGGGTGTTGTGCTATATCATGCAGGTGCATGAGAATTCGCAGTCTCTCAACCCGTCTGCCGCTAGGAAGCTATCCTGAGCTTCCGTTGGCTGGCTGCGCTTATGCAGCCCACCAGATTCGTCAACCTTTGATGATTGTGTCGTCCGGCTCGTTTCTTGCTTGTCAGATCGGGGACAGGTCTGTTGCCACCATCGACAAACCCCTTGCGCCGTCACCGCGACCAAGACTGCCATCGCGATGGGGTTTGCTCGTGACGATCGAAACCGGCTAAGATGAGACCTTCTCGGAGATGAACAACACGGCCTTTGGCAATCGTCATGCCGCCGTCTCTCGGTATTGACCAGTCGTGTGGTCCAGACGCTGTTCACCTCGCGTCTTGAACATTAGTAGCAGTATGACTCGCATGCGCCTACAGGACACTTCTGCTTGTCGCCCTGCATCATGTCGGTCTTAGCAGAAGATCGTCTCTGAAACGATGCAGGCGCGGCCGCGACGGCGGGTAGCCCCCGTAGCTACATGGCATCATATCGGACATTGACTGGCCATCCCTATCTGCAGCTCGGACCTCTTTCGAATGCAAAGTCGTAGTTGCTGGACCGGCTCGACTTTCTCGACACTCAGGGCAGTGTCATGATTGGAGCGGCCCAGGAGTCCGTTGGAGGAACCGCCAAAGGAACCATCGCTAAGCTTCACCCACCTGCCATCGCGGCCGGGCTCCGCTTGTGAGGGGGAATGACACCAGACGGCGCGGCGTACCGTAGTGGCAGAGTTGTTGTTCCGTCTAAGAACTGGCTTGGAGGGCGTTGTCCAGAAGCGTGGTACTTCCTTCCTCCCTTCTAAACTTCGCATGGACACCGAGCCGAAGGGGTTGGTTCGTCGAAATGGAACTGGCTCCAACTGAGCTGTGGGGAGAGACTGGTCGGTCGAGGGTGTAGACATCGATCAACGACAGCCTGTAGATGGCTTCTTACAGGGATGCTGCCCTTGCTAGCGGCGGAAGGTGAGCTAAGGTGTGTCTGCCAAAAAGCCCGTTTCTATTACCTCATTGGTTGCTGAGCTGACAGCCAGATTTGGCCGATGTGGGTCTAGACGGAAACAGGCCGAAAGCCTCGATCGTGATTGGCAAAAATACCGAATATCATCCATTATATTTGACCAATAGCGGACTGTATACTGCTCAAGTCCATGATGAGGAGAGACGGTTGGAGTCAAGAGGCCCCGAGGGGTCTCCCCTTAAGCATGCAGCGATGGCTAGCCGAGTAATGATGAACCTGTTAATGGCGCAACGCCTTCGTGTCAGGGTTAAGGAGAAGAACACCCAAGGTCATGGGCATCAGGAGAGAGTTACAGACCAGATACCCAGATAGGGGACGAGCCTGTCCCGTCTACGGGTGCCATGCTGCAGAAGCAACCGTTCTCGAACCTCTTCAGAAGCGGATAGAGATCGGTCGCCAACCAATCTGCCGTTCAACCAAGCCATCAAAACGCTGACCTACTCGACTTTGACTCAAACCAGGGGTCATTGCCCAGAAACGTGCCCGGAAAGCAAACAAGGGCTACCTGCCGCGTTGTCGTCCGTTGGGGCGTTCTATCGCGACGTATTGGGCTTGTGGCGAAATTGACTACTTTGCCAAGAAGGTTGACGAAGTTATCCCCTGTTACTGCCAGGATACCGTGCTGCCGGTAGCTGGCTGTTTTGCGACCCGACGGCGGCATCGCGGCGAGCCAGTGGGTGGGTTCACAATGACACCTCAGACGGAGTTGAATGCTCGCCTGGGGGGGCGGCGTTTGTTCGGTCGTAGACGCGGCAGAAGGCGACCTTCACGCCGCGGAGGCACTGGTGTAAGTCTGCTGACTGCCTATTTTTGGCCCCCGCGGCCCTCGCCTGTCATTGACGCAGGCGGGTCCGCCGTTTGCCGCGTCTGCTCTGCAGGAGTGCAGGAGTCTGATTGCCAGCATGACAGCAGCCAGTGCGCGCCGGCCTGCCAAAGCTCGTGACCGCTTGTCATCGTCAGTTGACTCAGGTCACATGAGTTTACCCGCCGAGATGTGTGATGCTGGTTTTCGTCCGCAGCGTTTGAGCCTTGACAGGCCTGCCGTCGTGTTGTCTACAAGGGCAGAAGTGCACCTAGCCAAGCTTCACGAGCCGTGTCGGTTCCGGCGTCGCCGTGTTGCAAGGCTGATCCCTACCCCAGTGGATAGACCCGCGACCCGTAAACCCTGCTTTGCCGCACGGTTGCGCGGGAAGGAGATCACTTCGTCTTTAGGTAATGGCCGTCAAGTCGAAAAACGCCGAGGAGTAATACAGCTCGAAAACCGAAACCAATCTCCTGCAAGATGGCATCTCTGCCTTGCCATTCGTTTCTAGTCTTCGCAGTGGTCTGGATTTAGGAGGGCGTCCTATGCGTTGAGCATCGCTGGACTTTAGGAGAATTGCCCATCACAGGCGACGCATTGCGTAGTCAATATCTGTTGAGTCAATTCAACAGTATCCAAAAAAGCAGGGCAAGCCTTGAGCCAAGCAGTAAGCATGTTTGTTTGTTTCGCATGAGTATTCCTTGGGAGGGCATTCCTGGTCTTTGAGCTGAGTTGTACCGATAGTCGCCACCAACTATCGTGCCTGGCCCATTCCGAAGCTGCAGCGAATGCTGAACGCTGCCACGTCGAGCGCGTGTCGCAAACAACACTCAGCATGCCTGCAAAAGCGCGGCAAGGCTTGCGCGGCGGATGAGCTGGTGCGTGTCTTTCTCTGATGGTGGAATGGCAACACCCACCGAGAACCGACGATCGTAAGGTTTCCCCAGATCTCGAAGCTCCGAAAGGTGTCCAAAAAAAGAACAGGGCCTGCCGGCATTAGGAGAGACGGTGTGGCGAAAGCCCCACTATTGGAGATCCGCGTGTGGCGCAGGCACCGGGAGACTGGTGGAGGAGGGTGGAGGGAGCCTGCCATTTCTTCCTCACTGAGATTGGGAGACACAGCAGGTTGATAATGTGGCACCTTGAAGAGTGCGAGGAGTCGAGGGTTCCCGAAAAATGCATGTTAGCAAATGCACAACTCAGGGGACCTACGTTGGTCGTACATAGTATGCTGAATACGGGGGCCCCGTGGTTGGGCACGAGTTGCACCCTTGAACAGCTGAAATGTGCTGCTACCGATGCAGAAGACCCGCTGATCGCTTTAAGCCGATTGCTTGTTAGTGGTCGCCGGACCTCGATTCTGCATAAGGGAGAGACCACGCGGGAGGGGCTGAGGGGCTGTGCTGCCCGCAGAAAACAACGACGTTGACTCGCTGATGGTCGGCATTTTAGCATTGACCTGACCCTCCCTCCTTGGACGTTGGCACAGGACACCAGACAGTCTGGTCCGTTGTCTGTTGTCGACAGCCACGCGGCTCCGAGAGGATGCAGAAACGGCCACGCGACAATCCATACCAATCTTGGCCGGCATGGTGCCATCAGAGTTGTTTCCCCCAAGTGTTAATGATGGAGTTTGTTTCACCAAGAAAGCCCACTTCGAAGAGCCTGTTGCGGAAACAAGCCAGTGTCTGGGGCTGGGTCGGGGATTCGGGATTACCTGTCGTGGAAGTGTGTCGTGATAACGACGACGTCCCGGCCAGTCATCATGACCCCGTGTTTCGAACATAGAGGCTCGACTAAGTTTGACGGGGTGGGCGTGGGTGCGGGTACACCTTACGCGACAAAACATCAAGGAGTCCGAATCGGTTTGTTGGGATTTTCTGATGTAGCTCTGTCCTTGTCAAATATCTGACGACAGCTATTGATGCAACTCGTTGACTTCTCCATGACTCGATTTCGACGGCGGATGGCTGTTGTGCCCCAGATGCCATAGTCGGTGGCAGACACCCTTAGTAGGATTGGTGTGGTTGCATGCATGTTAGGCGTTGGGGGCGGTATCGGAATCGAGACGATGCACAAGGCAAGCATGAGCCTGTTCGTATGATAAAAGTCATGACTGCCTCGAGTTGTTTCGTGGGTTCAGGTAATAGACAGCCGAATGAAGACTGCATCAGCTACTGCGTGCCGAGCGACTTCAGGTGAAGGGCGTATTCGTAAGGTGTAGATGGTCCTTCTGTATGAGCTGGGTGTCACGCTCAGGATTGCCATGCCGCCGCCGAGCTCCGCAAAGCTCCATCGGCCAACGTAAAGAGCATCGCATTGAGACTTTACCAAGTGCAAACTATGTCCCAAGCTTGTTTCGCAAGATGCCAAAACTCGTACAGTAGGATGGGGGATCGTCGAAAAGTTTGTGGGTTGAGGAAGGGAAGTGGCGCCTTTGGTCGATGCCTGGGCTGTCAGTGCCATCAATGGCATGGATTGGCACTAAGGGGAGCTTTGGCCACTTCTTCTCGCTAAGGCCCGAACTAGAGTATTGGTCCCCTCAGGGTAGGTAATGTGGCTAGGTACAGCGAGTTGCGGGGTGCTCTCGGCCGAGTTCACAGTGGAGCGGCCAGTGAAGACTGAGCGTGAAGCGCGAAGCGAGGCTGTCCCATTGGCCCTCTCCTCCCTGGCTTCAGCCTGTTCTCCAGACGAGGCTTGACATTGACAGCACACCTCCCAAAAGTCGCAACCTCCCAAATGCGGCATTCGCCGACGTCATCACAACCTCACTTAGCATCTTAGTCCTGTCGCTTCCTTCGAAATATCCTCTGCACACGACCTTCCGAGCATGCATCTTGCATACCAAAGACGCCGATGATATCCTTGTAGACAGCGATCTGAACGACTCGAAGCGGCCTTGACTCCTATATGATGACAGAGCCCGCTCCGGCGGCTGCCCCCGGGGCTGCAACGACCCCAGCGCAGAAACAAACAAGCCCTGCGATCCCCGTTGGCTTGAACGAAGCATCTCTCGACTCGCCGACCTTTCGGTCTACCGCTCAGCATTTCGGAGAGCACATCGACAATGTCGAGAAATGGCTCGATGACTACGTCCGGTCAACCTCCCGAGTCACTCGTGACGTCCTAGCCCTCGAGGAGAGCGTCAACACCTACCTATCCAAGATCTTCCCGCCTGCCGCGACAGCCGATGCTATCATCGACCACGATTACACGCTGCTTGCTCTGCGTCGCATCAGCGACGGATCCAGAGAATGGTGGACGCAGATCATGTCGACCGTGCGAAAGATGGATACCATCTCCGTCGAACCCATCCGGTCTTTCGTCGCCTCCGACTTGCGTTCTTTCAAGGAGGTCAGGAGAGTGTTGGAGCATACGCAGAGGAATTTCGACCAGGCCATGGCCCGGTATATGAGTCAGTCCAAGACGAAGGAGCCCTCCGCCATCCGGGAAGAAGCGTTCGCCGTGTACGAGACGCGAAAGGCATACCTCAAGGTCTCCATGGACTTTTGCCAACTCGCACCGCAGATCCGTTTCAGCCTTGACAAGCTTCTTGTTCGTGTCAGCTCCGACTTTTGGAAAGAGATGAAGCGGTCGCGTGATGCCGCTGCCGCTTCGATAAAGTGGGGTTCGGAGATGGACCGCATCCGTGGCTGGTCTCGGGAGATGGAAACGACAGAGTTTGTCTTCAAGAGGGAGCTACAGATCGCCCGCCGCGATATTGGAGAGATCACGCTCCAGGCCTTCAAGCCGTCCCGAGAGTTGGAGGACTACAGTGCTTCGACCGTTCCGTTCCTCGGTTCCCGAGGCCCGGTTAGTGTTCAGCCGCAAGAAAGCTCAGGCGTGGTTTCGGAGAAGCAGGGCTGGCTCTTCCTCAAAACACTCTACGGAAAGCCGGCCAGGTCCAACTGGGTCCGCCGTTGGTACTACTGTCGAGACGGCATCTTTGGCTGGCTGATCAACAGCCCCCAAGGCGTGCTGCAAGGCGACGAAATTGGCGTTCTTCTGTGCAACGCCAAACCCGCCGTCGCAGAAGATCGCAGATTCTGTTTCGAGGTAAAGACGAAGAGCCAGACGCTTGTTCTCCAGGCAGAGACTCAGAACCAGCTCACCGAGTGGCTCGAGGTCTTTGAGGTCGCTAAGAAGAGAGCATTTGAAGCCAGCGTGGACAGAGATAGCAGCTCTTCGCCTGCTGGAACCGACCCGGCTTTCTCCATCACGCCGCCTCCCCTTCCGGAGTTCTCGGCGAGATCCTTGGACGCGGTGGTCGCGGGTGAAGAGCCTGTGGCAGCCTTCGACAGGGCCGGCACTCTTCCGGTTCCTGGAGCCGATGGCAACATAGCTGGTCGTGCCAGTTTCGACGTGAACGGCGCGCCCCGTCGTTCCATCACCGCTTTGGGACGGGATCTAGGTCGAGAAATGGTTCGCGAAGAAGGAGAAAGCAATCGTGATCATGCGGCGAGGATCATCCAGAAGCTAGATCTTCACCGAAAAGCGACATTTGGAGCCGGCGCTGAAGCCGCAGTCGCTGCTGCTGCTGCACCAGGTAGCGGCGGTATCGCGGGCTTGATAGCAAGCCACGGCCACCTCCCCGGGTACCCTTCTCCTCCTCAAGGCGGGTCAAAGAACTCGTCGACCTCAAGACTACCCGCCCAGGACCCAGTCCACGGGACTTTGGCTCCATTGACACTGGCTCGACCTCCTGCAGCAACCAATCTAAGCAGAACAGCCGTCATGTTCTCCGTCGACAGGGGCATGGGAGGGGACAACACCAGCCACATGCCCACCGCCGTCCTCGCCAACTACTGGGGAAGCAGTCCTTGGAGCACCGTGTACGGATCGGGTCCGGGCCGTCCTCACACTCCAGGGCTTCTCGAGGAGAACCCTTTCGGAATAGTCGTCCGTGAGATAGGCAAACCCGGGGAAGAGAAGGCTCCGACCCCCTCGACCGGACATAGAAAGACGGTCAGTGTCGATGCGAAAATCAACCAGCCTCAAATGCCGTTCAAACAGCCGGCCGAGACGTTTCCCCCGGGCTACCCGCCCGAGTTAAGAATCCAGCATCATCAGTTCCGCATTCTCTTCCCCACTGTCCCCCTCGACGAGAAGCTTGTCCTCGTCTTCCGGGCTGCTTGGTCAAGTTCATCAGGCAAAGACTCACCATCGCACGGACAGGGGCTGGCGGGCAACGGTCGGATTTACATCACCCCCGACAATATGTACTTTTACGGACAACAGCTGGGCCTTGTCGTCGCCTATGCTATCAGCCTCGACATCATTGCCGAAGTCACGGCGGCGCCTGGAAAGGAATGCGACTTCATCTTCCTCCATCTCGGCGAGGATGGCAATGAGACGGGGTACACCAGAATCACCATCAAGATATTCCTGGACAATCTCCAACTGCTGCACGCAAGACTGAACTTGCTGATCGACGACCTCCAGTCGGAGGAGCCGTTGGAACTGTCAGAGCTCATCCGGGCTTTGATCAACCTCGAATACGAAGACTACAGCAAGCGCAGCCCGAGCGTCGAGAGCTGGGAAGAGATTTCCTCAAACACACCATTCGATGATGGCACATACTCTGGCCGTCCCGCCAGACGCCAGAGCCAATTCGGACCCAGGCTTCGCGTGTCAGGCCCAGGCTCCCGACAGACTCCCAAGGTGCAGGTGCCTGCGCATCCAGTCATGTTTGAGCCGGAGGACATGCAGAGAAAGGTGGCGGAACGGCACTTCGAGATCAGTGCCAAGGCGTGCTTCCACGTGCTTTTCGGAGACAAGAGCTTCGTCTTCCCTAAGCTCTACTTTGAACGGAGAGCGCAGCAAATCGCCCAGGGCCCGTGGGCACTTGCAGACCATGGCCGGATGAAGCGGGAGTTCCACTTCAAGTTCGACTACAAGGACATGATTGGCCGACCCAAGACCGTGGACGTGGTCGACTACCAGACAATGGACGTTTTCCAGGAGCATGTCACGTATGTTGTCACGCACACCAAGACGGCATGGCATCTTCCTCATTCGCAGGACTTCAAGCTGGTGACCAAGGTTGTCATCACACACGTGGCCAAGTCCAAGTGCAAACTGGCGATCTACACAAAGGTCGAATGGTCCAAGGTGCCGACGTTCTCAAAGAACTTGGTTGAGCGCCAGGCTCTCAACGACGCCGAGGGCGATGCCGAAGAGCTAGCGGACGTAGCGACAGACCAGGTGCGCAAGCTGGGCCCGCACAGTCGGACGAAGCGGGCGATTCAGGTCTACGGAAACATCGGGCAGCAGACCCAAGTCGTCGTGTTCTCGCCAGCCGACGCCGCGGCGTCCAAAAAGCAGCTCATCAAGCCGCGCACGCTGACGGCGATGCTCTTGGAGACGCTCCGTTCCTTTGGCGAAAGTGCGGTAACGTCGCTCATCATGTGGGCCATCGCAGCCGTGAAGACTCTCTTCAGCGTTGTCTCGGCTCACAGACTGATTCTCCTTGTGCTTGCCGTGAGCGCGTTTACAAACATCGCCCTGACCTCCAAGGAGAGCTCGACATGGTGGACAGAGAGACGGGCAGTCAAGTTCATGAGCCGCGTTGGCGTTGGGCCGAACGTGATGATGAGCAAGGCCATCTACATGGCAGACCTGAACGAGGCGACGGGGGCGGTGGGCCACAACAGCAGCTGGCCTACTGATAGCGCATGGTTAGTTCAGAGCGAGATCGACAAAGAGTCTCACGCTAACGCATCACAGCTTCACCACTTTCCAACTTGTTGCAAATGCCACCGATCTCGATGCTCCGTACGAGGACGCGGGGTCGACCTTGTCGTCGGCCACGAGCCGAGCAACCGCCCGGCGGCTGCGCCGGACACGGCAGCGACTCGGGTCGTACCGACATGACCTGCTCGTCGCGATGCGCATTGTCAACAGTATCGAGCGGGAGATGGTGCAGTCAGAGTGGGAAAACTGGCTCGCGGACGAGAACGTCCGTTGTGACAAGCTCAAGATGGTGCTGGAGGAGAACGGGGCGGGCGCCAAGACCAAGCGCAGCGGCAGCCAAAAGGTCATGACGTCCGCTATGGACGAAGGCAAGAAGGAGACGTTGCGTGAGTGGTACGATACATACTGCGGAAGTTGTAAGCTGGATCACCAGGCGTTAATGAGCGAGCGAAACTCGTTGGCGAGTCTGTAGAGACAGCTGGTTGCAGAACCTTTGGAAGCGGCGGGAGGCTTTCGTCAACGCACACAGTCTACTGTTTGTCTCCGATTGGGAGGATAATTATTGATTTCATCATTGTACAAAACACGCCGCTTCACTTGCAGGCCCTGATTTGGGGTCTTTTGTTTAAGTTGGAGAGGGATCCACTGGATAACGGTTGGGTTCATTGGGCAATTCCATAGCACCATTTGGGATTCTGCAGTAGGGCGACGAGGCGACAATTGACCAAGACGGACCGGCGAGAAACTAGAGGGCATGTCTCGGCTATCTCGGCCGGGATTCTGGTGTTTTGGAGGTTGCGAGAAAACTAGAGTATACAACCTAGATCACGATGATGCGATGGGATTGACGACCTGATACACGGACAATAACAACAGGCTTAATTAGTCGATAATACCCGTACCCCGGATCAATTCACCTCGGCGGAGAAGCGGATGAAGATCTCACGTGCCCCGATCCTCGTTTGAGAAACGCAAGACGGAAGTAGAAATGGGCCAACCTGATGGACAGCCTACGTAAGACAAGACAAGAATGTAAAGAACCCCTCATGTCTCGAGCTCTAGATTGTAGAGGGGGTGCATGGCAAGAAAGGGACGACGCAGTGACATGGCTGCGAAGAAGACCCAGGCGGGAGAGGCAGGCCGCCTTGGGCGACGTAGCGTAGAGAGCCTGTCTAGAAACGAGGTCTTGGTCCGCGAGCAACAGAGCAAACGGTGAACAGGGGGAGGGGAGGAGCCGCACTTGACTTCATCATCGCTGGAGACGGTCTCCAATGAGAGGGAACCGAGAGGACGGAGGTCTAGCCCAGAATACGCGGATTCTAGACGATCTCTAGCGCCATGGCTCCACCCATTGGCCGCCAGATCGAGAAATGGATCCTGCGACCACCAATTGTGACGTCGGGATGAACAGGGGGGCGGCCCTCCCGACAGCGTCTCCCCCACCTCTGTAGGGAGGGCCGCACATGGGCAGGGGGTGACGTCAGCGTTAAGCTCGGGTTCAAAGTGCAAACGCGCGGGTGAGCGAGGGAGAAGATGGAGAAGCAGGGAAAGGGGAACTGCGCAGGTTGCCGTACTATACTGGGGGTCAAAAACATTGGGCGACGATGCAATCCCCAAAGAAACGGACGCAGGCTTGCAGCTTGCAGTAGCACGAGGCACGCAAGGAGAAGACAGCCTCGAGTTTGCAAGAGTCTCCCCCGACTGTGACACAATGGGACGTGATGGAACTTGGACGAGGAGCAATAGGTCCGTCCGGGGCCGACAGACGTCAAGGCCCCCTCTACGTACCTGTACCTACGCAACCCAGCACACGCAGTCGAGCCAAACACCGGTAATCCACCCGTCTGTACCTTGATTGCCGGGGCTGGTCATTCGTGTCCCCTGAGACCCCGACAAGCCGTGATCCCCATACCGTTGACGTCCGTCTTACGGTACTTTAGCACAAGCAGGCACAACTGTGGCTTACGCACGACTGCTGCATCCCCCACCGTCGCTTGATTCTCTCTCTGCTCCCTGACCCCAACACGCTTCTTCCATTAATTAAGCCACACGTGGGGCATCACTGCAGACAGCTCTCGACCGTACCCGAAGCTTTATTTCGTCTCCATTTGCACAGCCATCAACCGCCCTCCCAGCATTCAAGCAATTAATCGTCCCCATCCCACGAAACAGCATCTACCTTGCTTTCCCCACGACCACGAGCAATTCCCCTTTCCTGTCACCTCGGTCGCTTGCGGACCCCGACGACAGTTCCATTTTGCAACACCAGACATTTTGGAAATACCCGTCCGCGTCTATACTCACTGTACAGCATCAGCCCGGCTCGGTTTCATTAGGCGGCTTGGGCTATGACATCGTTTTAAACACACGACACACCCCCGATCCCCTCCTCCAACGCCACTCGCAACTCTCACGAACGCAATGGCACCGCATCACGAACCCTTCAAAGGCCTCGCGCCCGTAAAGTGGGAGGCCGTCGCCCAGGAGGACCCCAAGGAGTTCATGAAGAACGTCTTCGCCGACGCCCAAACGATCATCGACTCCATCCCCGTCCCCGCCGCCGTCAAACAGGCCACCGCCTCCCACGGCCGCACACGCTCGCACACCGACCCCCCGCTGCCCGTCGCCGACATCAACCGCTCCCTCTCCCAGCGTCAGACGGGCGCCGCCCTACGCCTGTCGCAGGACCTGTCCAAGGAGTGGAAGGAGGTCAAGGTCAACGCAAAGGACAACCCGCTCGCCATCAACGTCTACAAGCTTGCCTCCAAGGACGGCAAGGGCAGCTGGTTCGCGCGGCGCAGCATCCACGACGGCCTGACGTTTGAAAAATGGAAGCTGGGCCTCGAGAGGGAGTTTGCCGAGTCCATGAAGGTGCAGAGCGGTCCCGGCGCCGGCGCCATCCGTGGCATTGGAGCCGAGAAGTGCGTGGTGCACGAGGTCGTCGAAGGATCTGGAAAGATGGAAGGTGAGCTTTGCCGACGCCGTTTGCAGCGTTGACGCCATTCGCTGACAATTCCCACGCAGTTTTCCAGCTATCGGCGCAGTTCCCAGGCCCGACAGCTCCGAGAGACTTTGTGACCCTGCTTCTGACTTCCGACTTTTCCGGCAGCGCCCCGCAGGAGGGCGGCAGGCGTCCGCTGAGGACGTTCATGATTGTCTCAAAACCGTGCGTGCACCCCGAGTGCGCCGAACGGCCAGGCTTTATTCGAGGTCAATACGAGTCGGTGGAGATCATCCGCGAAATCCCGTCCGACAAGCCCGCTGCCATCACCCGCGCACGATCCTCAATTGATCTTAGCCAAGAAGGCGCAAAGGAACGACAGGCGGTGGCCGAGTCCATGAGCAAGGAAGCTGTTCTGCGGGCAGCAAAGAAAGCAGCAGACGGCGAGGGGCGCCACCGGGGCGTATCCGTCGACAGTGCCCCGGCCAGAGACGACGCAGGACACGCCGGCGAGAGTGCTGAGGAGGAGGGATCGAGGGCGATCGAGTGGCTCATGGTTACCCGCAGCGACCCCGGCGGCAACGTTCCTCGTTTCCTGATTGATCGAGGTACGCCCGGGGGTATCATAGGCGACGCCGGCAAGTTCATCAAGTGGATGACTGCCAAGTCCGCCGACGACTTGACTGCCTCGGACACTGAACAGGAGGAGATGAAGCAGGGCGCTAAGCAGGCCGAGGACAACAAGAACGCTTCGCCAGTGGAGATGGCTAAGCGACCGACGCCAAATCTCGTACCCGAGCCCTCGGCGCAGGTACGGGACGACTCCGTTCCCAGCAGCAACGGTCTGTACGGCATCATCTCTGGGGCATTCGGCATGGCTAGCTCCGTGGTAGCAAGCCGCATCCCGGAAGGCTACGCTCTGCCGGGCATTTTCCAGGCGCCGAGCACCAATGGCTCGATAGCTGAAGAGGAGGAGGAAGACAACGACTCGGACGAGAGCGACACTTCGTCCATTCGAAGCTTCGCCTCTGCCGTTGAGAAGACGGACGAGGGTGAGGCCGTCACACCCCCCGAGATGACGCAGCCCGATACACTGTCGCTGCACTCGTCGGGCTCCGGTGCCGGGTCCCTCCGGGGATCCAAGACGTCCTCCCACCACGAGAGGGAGCTCAGGAAGCTCCAGGAGCGCCGCCAGAAGATGCAAGACAAGATCAACAAGATGCAGGAGCGCATGTCGAGCAAGCGGGACCAGGACTCGCAAAAGGAGGCGGCGAACCTGGTCAAGCTGCGCGAGAAGCACGACAAGGAGATGGCCAAGCAGGAGGAGAAGTACAAGCGCGACCTGCAGCGGCTCGAGCAGCGCCGCGAGCAGGAGCAGCGCAAGGCCGAGGAGAAGCGGCGGAAGCAGGCGGAGAAGGAGGAGAAGAGCAACCTCGCGCTAGAGCTCGAGCGCGTCAAGACTGAGAGGGACGTTGCGCTCAAGGAGATTGACATCCTCAAGGAGCAGATTGGCCAGCTGCAGAGCCAGAACACCATGCTTGTGGTCAAGTTGGGCAAGATGGGCGGGCTCAAGAGGCAGGACTCGTCGCTGAGCGTGCCCGGGGAGAAGGTCGTCCATACCGTCTCCAACTGAGCCAGGAGGCGGTGGGACACTTGAATACGGGCGGTGTAGCAGCGGAAAAGGGGAGGCAAGTAAGCTGCAGGACAGGATACCCAGCGCATTGCGTCAAGGAGAGGGAGAAGAAGATTGAGAGGGACAACAACAGCAAGCATCAAACGGCGTCGGGGCGTCTTAGCCTTCCTTTACAAGCCTTTTTTTACCACTTTTTTACTTTTGTTTCTATTTTCTTCTTCTCTGTCCTTGTTGTTTAACCAAAGCATTGTATACGAAGCATGTCTACCTAGCCAAAACTGGACTAAACCTTATTCTCTACCTTGACCAGATTTGAACGAAGCCAATGTGTGTACCTTTTTTTTGCGTGACCACCCCATAACTACGTGAACCGTATCTACGCGGCCCCCCGTTTTTAGACGGCCGCCATCTCGAGCAGCAGCCCGTGCAGCCGCCCGCGCTGGCCGGCGCTCCGGAACTGCTCGAGCTTGCTCCGCAGCAGCTCCGAGCCGGTGGCGCGCGTCCGGGTCAGCGCCGTCGCGCAGAGGAGGATGCGCGCGCAGACCGCGTAGACCTCCGGGTCCGAGGCCCAGCCGAGGGGCCCGTCGGTGGAGTGGCGGTCGGGGGAGGTGAGGTCCAGGAGGGCGTCGAGGCCCGAGGACGTCCATCCCGTCAGGGCCATGGAGACGGCGGTGGGCGAGGACGAGGGCGCGGACGCGGCCGGGGAGGCGAAGACGTCCTCGAGGACGGCGGCCCAGCGGTTCGACTCGCGGACCTCGTCGATGAAGAGGTTCTGCTCCTCGATCGCGAAGAGGGAGTCGTCGAAGCGCAGGGCGGTCGCGAGCTGGGCCTCCGCGGACTCCCATGCGTCCTCACCGCGCGCGGCCGCTGAGGCCTCGGACTGGACGTGGCCCGTGAGGCGGGAGGCCAGGAGGGCGTGGAAGGCGGGCGCGTCGCGGTAGGTGGCCGCGACGCGGGTCAGCAGCCTCGGGGCGGCGTCCAGGGGCGCGAGGGGCTGCGTGAGGATGTGCTTCGCGGAGACAGAGGCCAGGTCGCGGACCTCGTCGTCGTCGTCGTTGAGGGCGTCGTAGAGGGCGACCAGGGCGGGGAGGTGGGCCGCCTCGGGGTCGGCGGCGGGGAGGGGGGACGCGGAGGAGAAGAAGGAGGCGAGGGAGGCCGTTGCGGCGATGCGGGTGTCAAAGGGGCGGGAGTCGAGGAGGGCCGAGGACATCATCCGGCCCCAGCCGCGGAGGGATTGTGCGGAGGCCGAGGAGGAGGCGGCCAGGGTCGCCATTATGGGCCCGCTGGCGCGGACAACGGCGTTGGAGAGGTTGGGGTTCATCGTCTTGGAGGTGAGATCCTGCCAGAGCTCGGTGAGTTTCTCCGAGGACGGGAGGCCTGCGAGGGATTGCTTGGTGTCCCGGGACGAGAGGACTAGGTCGAGGACCTCTGCGAGGTTGTTGAGGGCGGCGGCGCGCGGATCGGGGTGCGCCATCGTGAGGGCCAGGTCAGTGTACAGCGCGGCGTAGGATGCTGCTGCCGCCGGGGTAAGATGCGGGTGGTGGATCGCGGCGAGGGTTTCGAGGGTCGTGATCGTGGCCTCGACGCTGGTCGTGCTCGTCGACAGGAGGATCTCGCGGAGGGAGCCGGAGGCGGAGGAGCCGGAGGCGGAGGAGCCGGTGGCAGGCTGCGTTGCGTGGACCGCGGCGATGGCAAGCTGGGTGCGGAGGAGGGCGCTTTGCGGGGGTCGGGAGATGGACTCGGGGGTAGAGGGGTGCGTGGCGGGCTGGGAAGGTGGGTGAGAGAGGGCGAAGAGGGAGACGAGGTTCTCGACTTCGAGGTAGGCGGCGCGGATGTCGGGGCAGTGCTCGAAGGATTCCGGGTCGCTGGTCTCGATTTTGCCGAGGATCTCGGCCAGGCGCGGGACGGCGGACGACAGCTTCTGCGGGGCGACGTCCGAGAGCCTCTCGAAGACGGCCTTGACAGTCAGCAGTGCGCCGTGGATGTGGTTGTTCCTACTCGCAGGCACGGCGGCCAGCGAGTCGTCGACGATAGCCGCCGCAGCGGCGACCCAGTCTTCGTCCTTGAGTAGGAACGAGCACAGCGCGCGGGCGGCCATCTCGCGGACGTGCCAGACGGGGCTGGCGAGGTAGCCGGCGACGAGGCCGTAAAGCTCGTCGCGCGAGGCGTCTGGTGGCCCGGCGCGGCGGACGATGTCGAGGGCCGGGAACACGGACTCGGCGGCGATGGTGCTGCCGAGGGTGGTGGGCTTCATGACCTCGCGGCCGGAGCGGAGGAGGTTCAGGAGGACGTTGGGGAGGATAGGGTACTTGTGGTACTGCAGACGCGTCGTCTTGCCGTCCCAGCCGGCTTCGAGGGTGGTCTTGCTCTCGTTTGTGCCGAAGAGGTTGTCGAGGAGGGAGCGGAGGAAGAGGAGGCCGCAGTTGCGGATGCCCCAGCTGGACGGGTGTCAGGGAGGGGGAATTGAGGAAATGGGGTAGAGAGGGTCAGCTTACACTTCCGATTTGAGACTGCTGGCCGCGAGCTCGAGGCACTGCGGGATGTGAGGCGCGGACTTGCCGAGCTGGGTGATGAAGGAGCTCTTGAAGATGTCCTTGAGACAGTTGAGGGCGTGGACCTGGGGCAGCTTGGAGCCGTCCGACTCGGAGTTGTAGGCGGGCTTCTGCGCGATTGTCACGAGCTCCTCGATGACCTTGTCGAAGGAGGGCTGGGGGGCGTTGGCGGAGACGATGCCCGTAATCATGGCCGGGATACCAGCGGAGCGTCGCGTGGTGGAGGCTTGCGCGAAGATGCACTCCTTGGTTCCCTACAATGGAGTCAGCATTTGAGGCACTGTTCCACGGATAGGGGTTACGAACCTTGTACCAGATGTCGAGGAGGGTTTCGTCGCCCCCGTGACTGGCCTTCGGGTCGTCCAGGTGCTTGACCAGCTGGCAGCAGGTCGCGAAAGAGAGCGAGACCGTATTGAAGGCACCGCGGTGTCGCAGGCTGGACAGCTGATCAAAGGTCAACGAGCCGACGGCCGTGAAGAGATCTGTTGAGGGGCGCAGAGTCCCCTCCTTGGCCTTGGTCTTGAGCGGCAGGACCATGACGCGCATCAAGGCGCTGGGATCTGTTAGTTGTGTTTTTTGGTACCTATGGAACGGTTCTTACCTAGACTCGTGAATCGCGCGGAAGCTGTAGCTCAGCAAGTCCTTCGTATCAAGACCTTCGAGGTCCTCAAGCTCCTGCGGCAGGTGACCTTCGGGCGAGTCGTCGCAAAGAATATCCCTGACTGCAGCCCAAATACGCTGGCAGCACGTAACGATGCGGCCCTGGAGCGTTGTCATCGATTCGAGCTCGGACTGAGAGAAGTACATGTCGACAGTGGCTTGCCAGATGTAGCTGATATGGTTAGTCGTTATACGTTGGACGAACTGTGTCTGAACTCACCGAAGAGAGGCAAAGTAACCGTGAACGGGGGCCTCCAAGACGGCATTGCCCAGATCAGTCTCGGCAAACGTGAGCTTGCTCTCGAGAAGATCCACCAACTTGGAGATGTGCACAATCTGCGCGTTCCTGCTGTCGTAGAACCTGAACAGCAGCTCGTTCGTCCGAGCAACACCGTCAGCGTGGTCGGCGCGGGCCGTCCTCCTTGCGATGTCCTCGGCTCTCAACAAGAACTCTTCAAGGGTGTGCGAGACACCCTGCGTGCCGACGAGACGCTTGAAGCGCTTGTCGGCGAACAAGCTCTTGAGGACGCTGGTGCCGTTTTCTCGGACGTCGTCAAAGGGGTCCATGATGAGGTCGAGAAGCGTGCGCGTCCACCTGTCGTCGAAGAGGTCGAAGAAAAGGGCCTCATCGTCCTCCGTCTCCCAAGTCTTGGAGAGGTCCGCCTCGAGCTTGAGGATGAAGGCGACTGCCCTCAGTGACGTGAAGTGGCGCTGGAACGACGCAGTGGGGATCAACTCCGATCGCAGGAAGCCAATGTACCATGCCAAGAACGCCTCGTGCTGCTTCAGGCTTTCCCGCAGCTTGTCCTCGGGCCAGAACAGAATGTTGGTCCGGTGGTTCGCCTGTTTCGGTGCCTTGGGGGCGGCTTTCGGTACCCCGTTCGCTGCAGCGGCCGCGCCGTCAAAGGCCTTGAGGCGGGCCAAACTCTTGTGAAGGATGAAGATGGCACCTCTGTTCCGCTTGAACATGTCCTTCAGCTTGCTCAGCACCTCCATGCGGAACTTGGCGTCCGATTCGGAGAAGTACGTGGGGAGGTGGACCTGCAAGAGACGGAGAGCAATTGGAGAATACGGCCTTGTCGTCGAGGGAGAGGCAATGATGAGGGACAGCGCCAGCGAGCGAAGCTCGTGGGAAGGATGCGAGAGCACTCTCTCGAGGACGGTCTCCTCCAGGACTACTGCAGAGGACTCCTCTCTGTAGATGGCGCCTGCATCAACGGATGTTAGTACCGTCACTTAACTCATGGGGCAACATTGCATACCGGGCTCCTCGACCATGCCGACCTTCTTGCCAACTTCGAGCACAGCGAGGTTCAGCTGGGCCAATGTGTCCAGCTCAGCTACCGCCGAGCCAGACGCAGACCACATGCTGTTGATCTGCTCCAGGATCTGGACCGAGTCCTTGCGTTCGTCCTTGAACAGCGGCAGAAAGACATACGTCTTGATGCCCTCCAGCAGGGACGGCGTCTTGGTGATGGCGGCCTGCACCCAGCGGAGCCACGTCTCGACGCTGAACTGCTCGGCGCCAGCGGCTTGCGGGTTCTTCAACGACCGCTGCCGCAGCGCCCTAAAGATGGTCACGATGAACTTGCCCGCGGTGGGGCAGACGTAGTGCATGGTCATCCAGTCGAGCATCTGGCCGAAAAAGTCCTGCCACAGCTCAATGTCGGACTCCCAGCTGCACGACGGCTGCGTGCGCCTGTAGCTCGCGGCGATGTCGTCGACGGAAAAGACCGACTTGGACGCAAAGTGGTCCATGGCCTTGAGCGACGACTTGAGCAGGGGCTTGGTGGACTGCGGCCCGATGATGGAGATGAGGGTGTCGAGGACGGTCGTCTTGACGGCCTCGGCGGCGGCCGGGTCCGGGTTGCGGCGGATAAGTGAGGGCAGCAGGTCGAGGACCAGCTTCATGGACCGGTGCTGCTCCGTCTCGTTCCACTTGATGTAGAAGTTGAACAGCCGCAGACTGGGCTGCTCGGAGAAGGCCCATTGCCGCAGCGCCGGCTTGTCCGACTTTGAGCTCTGCTCGACAAAGCCGCAGAGCTTCACGCAGGAGTTGCCCGAGACGCCTTTGGGCTGAGCGGCAAGAGACAGGAGGTGGTCAAACACATCTTGCGCGATACTAAACAGGGGGAGATGTTAATTCACTTGTACATTTGAAACACGGGTTTTTTTTGGAAGGGCTAAAATTTTCTCTTACGAAGTCCATGACTCTTGCGGTTGCTCTTCAAGCCATTTGAGCAGGTCACTCGGGTTGACGAAGCTCTCGTACTGGGGGCCGTATCCTTCATCGCTATCTCATAACTTGGGGTTGAGGGCTGCCCGGCGAGTGACGCTGAAAATTGAATGAGGGGCACCGAGGGGCACGGCAGGAGCGATCGAATGCGCTGCTGGGTACCGAGCCAGTAACAGGGGTATGAACTTCTCAGTGTGTAAGTGGCGGGACGGCGTGCACCCAAAACTCTGATTTTCAACCGATCTTACATAAAATTCCCCTTATGCAGAGTGAGTCCGTCAAGGTATCGGGTCACTATGAATTTTCATCGAGGGGCATAGGCATAGGCGCAGGCGCGAGACGGGGCTTGACTCGGCGCGCCGGCGAAAGACTCATCGGTCGGTCTGGGGCCTTTGCGCAACCAATCGTCCGCGTCTCAGAGGACGACACGCGCACGGACCACGCCCACACAGGTGTGCCCTAATTGAAAAGAAGTTGCGCCCCGCCGAATTTTTCAATCGCCTCTTTTTTCTTGCTCCTCCAACCCAACTAACCCATCAGCATCTACCGTAAGCACCAGATTCCTGGGAGATATCGCAAAGATGTCGAAAATTACGGTCGCCAACGTCCGCACTCAGGTTGCTGAGCTCCTCGAGTACTCCCTCGAGACCAAGAAGCGCAACTTCCTTGTCAGTATTCCCGTCCCTTGGGCCCGGCGTGCGACCGAAAGACGCCGCCACTCGAACCGATCGCTAACCCCCCTCACAGGAGTCTGTCGAGCTCCAGATCGGCCTCAAGAACTATGACCCCCAGCGTGACAAGCGTTTCTCCGGCACCGTCCGCCTGCCCATCGTCCCCCGCCCCAACATGAGCATCTGCATTCTCGGTGACCAGCACGATATCGACCGTGCGAAGCACGGCGGTGTCGACGCCATGTCCGCCGATGACTTGAAGAAGCTCAACAAGAACAAGAAGCTCATCAAGAAGCTCGCTCGCAAGTACGACGCCTTCGTCGCTTCCGAGACCCTGATCAAGCAGATCCCCCGTCTCTTGGGTCCTGGTCTGTCCAAGGGTATGTCTACACTGCGCTCTCTGCCGAACCCCCCAAACCAGACACTAACAGTCTCCCAGCCGGCAAGTTCCCCACTCCCGTCTCCCACGCCGACGATCTCTCCGGCAAGATCACCGAGGTCAAGTCCACCATCAAGTTCCAGCTGAAGAAGGTTCTCTGCATGGGTGTCGCCGTCGGCAACGTCGGCATGACCCAGGAGCAGCTGATTGCCAACATCATGCTGGCCATCAACTACCTCGTCTCCCTGCTGAAGAAGGGCTGGCAGAACGTCGGTAGCCTTACCATCAAGGCTACCATGTCTCCCCCCAAGCGCCTCTACTAAGCGTGCAGCGTCTTTCTTTCTACGACGACGTCTGTACTAGAGCACCGCTGGGATTGGTTATGTCGAGGGCTTAAGTGCCTCTTCGCATAAGCAAACAACACCACCGCGGGACAAACACTACGGGCAATTCATAGGAAGCTCTGCGCAAGGATTAGGAGCCGGTCAATACAATTCTTCCTTTTCCAAAACATAAAAAAACATTACTCGCGTGTGTCAAAGGCTTCATAAACGTGAGATGTATAAACGCGTATTAACGAGGCTGCTAACGAGGTTGCCACGCCCAGTCATGGCCTGCTTGCTATACACAATACCATTCTGTTGGTCATACCAAGCAGGTTTCCGTCCACAGCTAACCGGTAAATCCCAAAACGTTTTCCTCACAACGCTCAGAGCGTCGGGCAGAGAGAGGCGACAGAGGTGTGAAACGATAGTGAAGAGTGCTTGAAAAGTACACGGTTGCCAAGCCCCCTATTCGGCTTCGTTGACCACAGCGGTTACACATTGAGATGCGTTGTACCACCCGCTCTGGTCCACCGCCAAGTGGTCATGTCGAAAAAGTCAACAAAAGTCCGCCTGACCAGCTACACAAGAACGCCCATGATATCGGTAAACTCCTCTGTCGGCTGAAGGGTGGAAGCCGCGCGCTTGGCAGCCCTGTCGGCGGCGTTGTTGGACTGGCGCGGTATCTTCCAGAAGCGGACCTTGACGTTGCGGTCGTGCAGCTTCTCGACGTCAAGCAGCAACGCCTCCCAGAGGTCGCGGTTTTTGACAGGCTTGCCGGTAGTCAGCCGCCAGCCCTTCTTGATCCAGGCGCGAGTCCAGTCCGTGGCGCCGTCGACGACGTAGGCCGAGTCCGTGGCGATGACGATGCTCTTGAACCCCTCTCCGTACCACGCACGGAAACGCAGCGCTGCAATGACGGCGCGTAGCTCGGCACGGTTGCTCGTATGGCGATACACCTGACCGTCTGGGCCGCGGTCCTCGAGTTTGAAGGCGACGCTACCGCTCTGGTCGTTGGCGCAGATCGGCTTGAAGATAAAGGCACAGCCTCCGCGGGCGTTGGCGGCGCCGTTGTCGGAGCAGGCGCCGTCCGTATAGATCAGGCACTCGGAGGCGTCGTCCCGGTTGATGAAGCGTGTGACTGCTGGGAGGGCCAGGACGCTGTGGCCGGTGGGGAAGAGGCTCTCGGGTGAGAGGGGCGTTTTGTTGTGCTGGCTGAACCTTGAGGCGAACACGATGCCGGAGTGCTTGGTCTTCTCAGGGGCGTAGGGGTAGGGGCGGGCCTCGGTAATGTTGCTTTTGTTCTCGGATTCGGAAGGCTTTGGAAATACTGCACAGAGAAAGAACGGGTTGGCAAGGCAAAGAGGGCTGTCGGATTTGCCATCTTCCACGTTCTCAATGCTTGCGGTTTTCAATGATTCCGGAGCAGATCTCACAGGGCGGCCGTGCCGGCTGCTCGCAACTTGGGCGACGCTGACCTCCCGGGGCATGGAGTTGAGATCGTAGCCGAAGAGCTCGTCTTCGTCATTGAAGCCATCTTCTTCCAAGAAGTTGTTGTCCGAGTAGTCATCGCTGAAGTCGAGGCAGCATTTGCCGCAGGTCACCATCTGGTGAGGTGCGCAGACGGTGACGGTTCGCCCGTTGGGCAGCTCCACGTAGACAATCTCCGGCCAGGCCATGTTGTGTAGTAATTGACCTAAGATGGAAGTGCGAAGAAGTGTAGAGAGACTGAACCAGGGGAGGCTGAGAGCAAGGGCTTTTCTTATACGCAAGAAGATAAGAAGGAGAGCGGCGGCCGGGGTCTTGCCCAAACGACACCTGGACGATGTAATCTAAGCTAAATCAGCACGATGCCCGTGAACTTGTCTTCCTGGCTGAGACATGTTCTCATATCTTACAGTTGTCGTAGGAGCCTACACTTCAAAGGATGTGTTGTGCTTCACTAAGAGTCGACGTGATGCGCAAGGCATTTCCGGTGTGAATGTCAAAGAAAGTCTGGGAATGAATTGTTGCAATCTTCTTTACCCTCCGGTCTGTCCCATATGCATCTGGGGGCCTCCAGCTCCTTCCCAAGGTCCTCTGGGCCGGGCAGTCGATCGCATATATGATGTGAATAGTGTCAAATCAGTACTCAACCCCCCACCTCCCCAAACCCGACAAAGAATCGACTCCAACAACTCAAAACCTGTACGTTTCTTTGAGTTTGTGGTTTGCAGCACTGGAGCGGCAGAAGTGGAAAGCTATTAGTAGAAGGAGCAAAACGACATTAATCTTTGTCCATCGTCTACGCCCTGGTCTTTGGCGTAGTTCGATCAAACCAACGAGCTCCACTCAGTGCCGAGTAAAGAATGTCCTTTTAAGGCCCGAACCAACTAGGCCACATACGCCGCTATCGTTGGACTGATGACAGCAAGGTTATCGTCAGGGATGGAAAGCCCGACGCCTTCCTCGAACCACGATGATATTGTTCGCCGCCCAGGGAACGCTGAAATGTGTCACGAAATTCACCAATGCTGATGACCTGCTGGCCCTGGGGGACATGGGCAGGAGAGATCTGCAGCCTGGTGGTTGTAAACCCCATACCAAAAGATAGCAGGCAGCCTTAAAAACGTATTCTCAAGAAGTACCCCATTCCCGTGCCGCTAGGCATGCCACAGGCGGGTAGGGCCTTTTCACATACAGACTTGTCATCGTAACGAGCACCGTCCATCATCCGAAGTTAATACTCGCCGCCAAACCAAAATAACATTGTCCACCCAAGAGCCGGTGGTGGGTATCTATCTAACATACTTGCTCATGAATCGTTTGTGAAAGTCGGAGCGCAGGAGATCCTAGATTTCGTGTCAGCATAATCATCCGCGGCAGCCCATCGCATGCGGGGCAACTTACGTTGATAAACTCCTTGCTCTTCCCCTTGTCCTCTGTGCCTCTTGCCTGGTTCTTGAAGACGACGTCGTCGTCCCACCGCCGCTTCATGTTGAAGTCTGGCTTATTCAGCAGCGGGTTTCCCAGCGCAATATCCCGCTCCCTGGCCTCCTCTTCGATCTTGGCCCTCTCCCGCTCTTCGCGCTCTCTCTTCTCCGCTCTCTCTCGCCGGATCTTCTCCATTTCGCGCTGCAGCTCCGCCTCCTCGTCGTCGCTGTCCTCGTCACTATCGTCGTCATCGTCCTCTTCTTCCTCCTCGTCAGAAGACGCGTCAATGTCCCGCGACTCTTCCAATATCCTCCTTCGTTTCGCTTCAAAGTCTTCCTCGCCGTCTGCTTGCGATCCGGCCTCGAGGGCGCGCTTCACGCCGCCGGCGGGCGCGTCGGTGTTGTCGTCTGCGGAGGGGGGGAGCGCGCCGCCATTCTTCTTGGCGAAGTGGGCAGCCTCGGCGGCAAGGAGCTCGGCGCGGAGGTCGTGGGCCTCGTCGTCGGCGTCGCCGCCCTGACCGGACTGGCGGAACTTGAGCTGGGTGTGCGCCGGCAGGAGGCGTTGGTGATATGCCGGGCCGCGGAGGGCTTCCTTGCCTCGGGCCTAGTGTTTGTCAGCGGACTGCAGCAGCGGCATTAACGAAAGATATTTCCATACCGGATCAAACGTGGGACGGTGAGCGGTGGTCATCCTGGCGGTTTGTGATGGGTGTAAGAATGAACGTTGGGGTCGAAAGTGTCAAAGTTGGCTGGCCAAAGTCGCCGCGGACTGGCGTTCGTTCCCCTGCAAATGCAGGCGCAGCTGGCCGGGTGGGTCCTGACTGCAGGGGCGGCAACAATTAAGGCTTCCACCGCCCGGCAGAATTTTTGCAGCGCCCCGCCAATGCGATTGACCTCACTAAACACCTGAAGGTCACTGCCAGATTCTCATGAGGCTCTCAGGTTGAAGGTCAATTTTCATAGCCACATCCACCGCGAACATGCCCAGAGAAGCCGAGCCATCAGCAAATGAGAAGGCCTTTGTCACACAAGCTCTCAAGGACAACTTGAGGCTTGACGGCCGAGAATTCGACCAGTACCGGAAAGCCCAGCTCACTTTTGGCGATGAGTTCGGCGTCGCCAATGTCGAACTCGGCAAGACGAGGTCAGAACACAACGCCCATTATGCACTTTGAACTATCTTTGCTAACACATCTCACAGGGTTCTCGTCAAAGTCTCAGCAGAAGTCACGGTCCCTTACACAGACCGCCCCTTCGAGGGCATCTTCCAAATCACCTCCGAGCTGAGCCCCATGGCGTCGCCCGCCTTTGAGGTCAACCGCCCGACCGAGGCCGAGGTCCTGCTCTCGCGCATCCTCGAGAAGACGATCCGTCGCTCCGGCGCCCTCGACACCGAGTCCCTCTGCCTCGTCGCCGGCCAGAAGGTCTGGTCCGTCCGCGCCGACGTCCACGTCCTCTCCCACGATGGGAACCTCACCGACGCGGCCTGCCTCGCCGTCGTCGCCGCCCTGCGCCATTTCCGCAAGCCCGACACCTCCAACGAGGGCGAGTCCCTCACCATCTTCACCCCCGCCGAGCGCGAGCCCGTGCCCCTGAGTTGGCTGCACAGCCCCTTCTGCGTGACCTTTAGCTTCTTCGGCGACGAGGGTGAGATCACGCTCGTAGACGCGAACTGGATCGAGGAGCAGCTGCGCACGAGCAGCGTCACGGTCAGCCTCAACAAGCACGGCGAGATCAGCCAGATCTCCAAACTGGGAGGCACCCCCGTCGAGGCGGTGACGCTGTTGCACTGCGGAAACGTGGCGTTGCAGAAGGCCAAGGACTTCTCGACGCTGGTGGACGAGAGGCTGGCGGAAGACGCGAAGCGGAGGGACAAGGGCGGTCTCATATCAGAGCTCTTGTCCGCGGAGAACGACAGGGTAGTGGATGCATAGACCGGGGTTGGAAAAAAAAGTCAAAGAGTCTAGAAAAAATTGTAAAATGATACCCATCCATATACGCTTTGCAAGATTCAGTGCCTGCGATAGTGAGAACCGCTCCCTTGGGCGGACGACTCGTCCGGTTGGGCCTCCCCAACTCCAGCAACGCCAGTCTAATGGTGCTCCCCCGTGAAATTCATGCCTCGTAAAACAACCATCGCCGGCGACTACCGCATCACCGGCGGCCGCGACTCCTTGTTCCACTTGACTCTGGATCGCACCCACTCCACCGCCTCCTTGACGCCCGTCCCCGTCAGCGCGCTGACGGGCAACACCCTCGAGTCGCGGATGCTGCTCGCCTTCTCGCCCTCAAACACCTTCTTCACGAGGCCCTCCTTGATCCTCACAACCTCAACGCAGTCCTCGCGGTCCTGTTTGTTGGCCAGCACCAGCACAGGCACGCCCTCGGTCTCGGAGTGCTGCAGCACGTCTTCGAGCACGAGGCGGCACTCGTCGAGGCGCCCCGAGCTGTCGTTCTCGAGATTCCCGTTGCCAATGTCGGTCGAGTCGATGATGAAGACGATGGCGTGCGCCGAGGCGTAGTAGCTCTGCCACAGCCGGCGCAGCGAGTGCTGGCCGCCCACGTCCCAGATCTTGAGGTACATGTCCGGCAGGGTGATGGTCGAGACGTTCTGCCCCACCGTCGGCACCGTCTTGAGCTTCGGGTCTGGGTTCCCGGGGAGGAACAGGGACTTGACCTGTTCGTGGAAGGTCGTCTTGCCGGCATTGTCGAGGCCAAGAAGAATGACGGAGTACTCTGCGACGGGAGGGAGAGATTAGCTAGGGCGACGACGGGTACAGTTTGCGGTGTTTCATGCGCGCGAACCTTCTTTGCTGGTGGCCAGGAGGTAGAGGCCCTTTGCGAGGTGGTACATGGTGGGCAACGGTTGCTCTCGAGCAGGCCGGCTGCGATGGTACGGGGCGGGTGAAGGTTCGAAAGTGTGGCCGTTGGCGCCGCGGGATAGGTGGAGGGTTCGATGGCGGCGCAATTGGCGGGATGTGGACGGACGAAGTGGACGGGACGGGATGGAGCTTGACAGGTGCGGGAGCTGGTGCTGGAGCCGGTGCTGGTCTGCCGCGCTGACACGCTGTCCGATGCTGTGGTGGTGGGGGCGCTACAGGGATTTCAGGGGACCTCGTTTTGGCGGCTTTTCAGCCCTACAGCTGTGTCTGTCACGCCACGACCCATCCATGACCCAGAAGCTGGACGGCGCACGACATCTCTTTTCGACAACCTGCCGTATAGCGTACATGGCTCTACGTAGTTGGAAATTATGCAGTCTCATGTATAATATGAAGACTCTTCAAGAGAACACAGACAAGAACGGCATATCGCATCTCGAAGCAAGGTAGGCAACTCTATTCATCCAGGTCTATATTCTTTCATGTCTAGGCACGTCGTTACCCAACAAACTCCTAACGCTTCGCAACTCACATTTTTGGGATCGCCGTCGCATAACCGTCGACCACGGCAGTCAGGAGCCGGTTGGCAATGGCCGTAGGAGGGGCAACCGGAGGCCACCCTCCTTGTACCCCTCAGGAGCAGGTTCACCAAGGCCACTGACACCGTACTTGAGCGCATCCCTGACGACCTCGAACGGATACCACTGCGCGTCCTCCAGCTCGGGGTCGTTGCCGAGATCGATAGTCTCGCCATCGGGCAAGGCCTGCGCAATGGCGCCGATCATCAAGCTCGAGGGGTACGGCCACGGCTGGCTCGAGTGGATGACCACCCGTCCGACCCTCACGCCACTCTCCTCCAGGACCTCACGACGGACAGACTCTTCAATGGACTCGCCGGGCTCGATGAAGCCTGCGAGGGTGCTGTACCAGTGGGGCGGATATCTCTTGTTGCGGCCCAGGAGCACCTTCTGGCCGTCGGAGGAAATGACGGCTGCGATCATGGTAGGGTCTGTCCTCGGGAAGCTAATGTTGGAGACGCCCTTGCGGGTGGCGCACTCATCCCGTTGACGGGGAGTGTCCGAGCCGGCAAGATCGGTGGGAGGGCACAGCCGCTTGTAGCCAGTGTTACCGGACAAGGACGGCTGTCCACAACCGGCGCAGAACTTGTGGCGGGTGTTCCAGTCTGCGATGGACCGGGCCTGAGCATAAATACCGGCTGATACGTGTGTCAGTGAATGAGATGGAAGGTGTTCATGATAAGAACTCACCGGCGTCCGGCTCAAGCGTCATAGGCCTCATGCCCTCGAGGAACTTGTAGCCCTTGCTGGCCTGGGCCTCGATGAGCTGGTTGGCAGCATCGGCGTACGAGCCCCTGGGCGTCACATCGACAGCAAACCAAGGCCGGCCCTTGAGGCCCTTGTACTCAAAGGGCACCTTTGCGCTCTCCTCGAGGCCCAGGAAGATGATGAGCGGTTTTGTGACGGTCGAGTCGAAGTTCTTGATCAGATCCTCCTCGGACGGGCCAAACGGGTCTGCCGTAGTCAGGGGCTTGACATCTTCAAAAGACACAAACTGCACTTTTGTGGGCGCGCTGGTGAGGGGGCGAGGTCCTTGAGGAGCATGAACTTGGTCTCCTTGAACTGGAATGCGGCCCTGATGAAGGTGTGGTCGGTACGGAGCCAGCCCACACGGTTGAGGACGCTGCCGGCAAAGTAGTTGACGGTCTCCCGTCCGAACTTGCGGGACAGCATGGAGTCGGGGTCGTCGACAGGTGCGGGTAGGTTCCAAGCTTGAGAGCCCATGCCGAGGTTCGGGTTGTGACGGTGAGGCTATCGCGGGGTTTCCGGGGTATGATTCTGGTGATCGACGTCGATGAACTGGATATAATGACGGTGTGTTGAACTTTGGATTAAGCAATCTGGAATGTATAAAAGCAATGTGACAGGGGAAGGGTTTGCGAAGTCTAAAAGGTGTGGGATACCAATAGACGTGCAGTGGCGGCGGGCTCCAATGGCTGATTAATCAGATTATCGACGGACGGGATAGGAAGAATACGGTAGGTTAAGATGGGGGAGTGAGCGACCCATTGCGATGGAGCCGTCACGGTGAATTGCGAATCGCCGCCGAGGTCCGATAAATGGAGCTTCCGGCAGATCCCCCTTGTCAGAGAAACCGTGCGGGACGCTTTAACACCAAATCGACTTGTCATTCAGTGGCCCGGAGTTGTCGCGGCGTTCGGGGGCCAATTGGAGGTGCGTCGAGTGGCCGCTGCGGGTGTAGCAGCCTCATGCGAGAAGCACGCAGCATTGCGAACTTTGTTGTTCTGGTGCATGGAGACGGGACGAGGTATCAAATGGCGGGAAGAATTATTTCAGATGGCAAAACCGAGTTTTGAATAGATGGGAATCTGTGGGAACAGAGTATTTCCAGGTCCTGCCCTTCCATTGCGACTGATAGCCAAAGGCGAACTCAACCGTATACCACGACCTCTATCGGTGGATGCGAAAGAAGTCATGGCCATGGCAGAGACCAAATGGCAAGTGCCATTGCGACATCTCAGATATGAGTGAGATCAGAGGGCCTATCTAAGCTTATCCACTCGACTTGGACCCTCGATATTGCCCAGAGAGATCTTGCCGAGGTGCTGGCATGGGTATGGAAAGCTTAGTCATGTAGCCCTTCTTGTTGTGCAAGGTACGTAAAACGAAAGCTGAATGCACCGACTCTGCACCAAGCCAGCTGTAAAAAGTGGACGTTTCAGCGCCCCCTAGCGCCCATTCCCCCGCGTTTTGCTCTTTTTCCGGCGGTCGCAGTGACGTCGTGACCCGTCAGCTCCTCGCCAAAAATCCCAGCTGGGCCCCGAAGAAACTTGCAAGCGCACGTGGACACTGATGGCGCGGGTGCCCGCCCCCGACCAAACGGAAGCGGAAGCGGAAGCGGGCGAAAAAGGGCCCTGGGAAATAGCGACCATCTTCGCGAAATGCAAATGTCTTGTCCATGCGAAAAAGTCTTCCTACTCCATCGTCAGATTCTAGGAGGGTATTTCTTCCCTTCTTTTTTCTCTAGCCATTACCGCCTCAGCTCCTGAAAAGGCCTTTTGTTTTTGTTCTAGAATCGTTGTCTATTATCTACGCTTCTGCAACTCCGGATCTTTTTCTCATAGCTTCATTTCCCCTTTGTTAATTCTTTCGTCGCATTTTCCTGTGTTGTTCGAAACCGCATCATGGCTCCCCCTACCGCACCTCTCAACCTCGACGTTGAGGCGATATCTGGCATCTGCGGGTAAGCACTCGATTGCCCCTCGTCATGGAACCGTTGCCCCTCCAGTGCTGACCCAATGCGTTCAGTTCCATCTCAATTGCCTGCTGGGTCGTTGTCTTCTCGCCCCAGATCCTCGAGAACTTCCGTCGCGGCAGCGCCGACGGCCTGTCGCTGCAATTCATCATCGTCTGGCTGGCGGGCGATGTCTTCAACATTCTCGGCGCTGTCCTCCAGGGCGTTCTCCCTACCATGGTGCGTTGGAGCCCTTGCAAACTTGTTGCTTTCACCATACTGCTTCGAGGACCCCTGGCTAACGCTATGACTCCGCTACCCCTAGATCATCCTCGCAATCTACTATACGATCGCCGATATGGTGCTCCTGGCACAGTGCTTCTACTACCGCGGTTTCACTTGGAAGGATGAGGTCGTCCCGCCAGCCCCGAAGCCGCGCAACCGTACGGGCGAACCGAACGAGCGGACCGGTCTCCTGCCCTCATCGATCCTCGACCGCGAGCGCCGCGGCTCGGACTGGTCCAACCTCTCCCCTGCCGCGCCAATGCGCCCCGAGAGCGCGCCCGCCCCTCCTCCGAGGCCGACGACGACAATGCAGGCGCTCCTGTGGAACACCACCGCTGTCCTCATGGTCTGCGCCGCCGGTGTCGTCGGCTGGTTCCTCAGCCGCGAGTACTCGCGCACTGACGAGCCTGGCCACGAGGCCAACGACAACGACGCCCTGACTTTCAACACTCTGGGTCAGGTCTTTGGCTGGCTCTGCGCCGTCTTCTACCTCGGATCCCGCCTGCCGCAGCTTCTCTTGAATTACCGCCGCAAGTCCACCGAGGGCGTCAGCATGCTCTTCTTCCTGTTCGCATGCTTGGGAAACTTGACCTACGTGCTCAGCATCTTCGCCTTCGACCCCCGCTGCAAGCACAACGAGTGCGCCCCCGGCGAGGCGCGCGCCATCTACGGCCGCTACATCCTGGTTAACCTGAGCTGGCTGGCGGGAAGCTTGGGCACCCTGCTGCTCGATATGGGCATCTTTGCGCAGTACTTCATGTACCGCACCGACGAGTTTGCGAGCGAGGATGAGGAGGAGGACGACCAGAGCATCGACGAGGACCAGTGGGATCAGCGCCCTCTGCTCGCGCGTGGCGACTCCGTCTACCCGTAGGGGGCGGTGCCAACCCCCTGTTTGATATAAAAGAACTGCATTTGTGAGACTGTTTTCGGGCGTACGCGATACACGGGAAAGGGCTGGTGGTCATTATTTGTTATAAAAAGCATTGAATGCATTACAGGGTTTCGAGAACTGGGTAAAGAAGGGTTTACATCGCCATCCGGAAAATAAAATAGGGGCAGGTTCGGAGACATAGATCATCTGACAAGGATCATTTGTTATCATTTAGAAGAATCAATTAACTCTTCCATCATTTATCCAGTGTTCTGGCACACTGGCCGCACATGCTGACGTGAGCCGCCACTTACATCCACCCTACTCTCTTCCACACGAAGCTGGCTCCTCCCATGAGAGCAGTCACGCCCGTGAACACGATCAACGTCCCATAGCCGCTACCGTACCCAAACCCAGCTTCCCCCTTCCATGGGGCACCGTTGACCAAGGCCTCGCTCAGCGGGCCCGAGATGACGTTCCCGATCCCGCGCCCGGCAGCCAACATGCCAAACACCATGCTCGGATCGACACCGCGCTCCCTCTCCCGCTCGTGCTCCACGACCACCTTCATGATCCCTGGCCACGCCGACGTGTACGCCCCCGCGAACAGCCCGTACACGACGCAGAAGACGTACAGCACCCCGAGGTTCGACGAGAACCCCCACGCGAGGAACGTGCCGAGGGTCGCCCCCACGCTGGCGAGCATTAGGCACGAGGGGGCCGAGAAGCGGTCCACGAGGGAGCCCATGACGACGCAGCCGAAGACGGAGGCGACGTTGACGAGGAGGATCGTAAGGGCCGAGGCGTAGGCCGACGCGCCGAGGGTGGACTGCGCGTAGGAGGGCAGGTAGATTCCCGGCAGGAAGAAGCCCAGCGCCTCAACGACGTTTGCGACCTGGTGCAGCGCGAAGGGGCGACTCAGCATGAAGCGCAGGTTGCTGAAGGGGCGCGCGTGCGTCGCCGGCAGCGCCATCTGGGAGACGGGCAGTCTCGGCTTGATGAAGAAGGCCAGCGGCGCCGTGAGGACGAAGAGCAGGCCGGACCACAGGCGGAGGGTCATGCGGAAGCCCATGTGGCCGAGGAGGTGCTCCATCAGCAGCGGGAGCACGACGCCGGCGAGGCCCGTGCCGGACCACATGATGCCGTAGGCGAAGCCCTTGCGGCGGACGAACCACTGGTCAATGTAGAGGATGCACGGGCAGTAGGCGATGGCGCCGCCGACGGCGTACAAGACGCCCTGGGTGACGATGAGGTGGGTGACGGTGCGGGAGAAGGACGAGGCGGCGAGGGCGACGCACATCACCAGCAGGCCGAAGATCGGCGCGTGGCGGGACTCGCGGGGGAAGAGGCGAAGGAGGCCGATGACGATGGGGCCGGAGAGGTACATGATGCCCTGGGGTTGTCAGTATACAGCGCCTGATTCACACGTGATGCATCTCATCGGGTGGGGGGTACTCACCATCGCGCAGGTGCCAATGACGGCAATATTGGGCTGCCCCGCGAACGGCGGGTTCGTCGAGTAGTGGCTCTGGAAAACGCCAAAAGCAAAGGGGAAGCCCCAGACGAGCATCTCGACGGCGAAGCAGGCGGCGAGGAAGAGCCAGGCCTGCTTGCCGCCGTCGACGGACGGGAGGGAGGAGAACTCGTGGCTCTCGTCGTGGGAGTCGTGGACGTCGCCGCGGATGCCGCCGACCCGGCCATTGGCTTCGTGCTCATCGCCGCTGCCGGACTCGGCCGTCCAGTACGGATCCCGGAGAGACGGCGTCACGGTCTTGGCGGGGGCCGGGACCGGTACCTGGACCTGCGCGGTGTGCGAGGTGAGGTACTGGAGCTCGGTCTGCGAGGACATGGCTGCGTTTCCTGTCTCTGAGACCTGCGGTCGAAAACAGGGTTTCTGTGCTTGGACACCCGTCAACCTGGTATTTTCGAGATCTCAAAGGTCAAACGTTGTAGGTCGGCGGCGAGCACGGCGGCTTTAAAGGTCGATGTGGCCGGGGAGCTAAAGTCGGTGTCTCGGCGCGAACCCACATCACGCCCTCCGTTTGACTTGTCGGCGGGGGGACGATCCACATTTTGGTTGAGCGGAATGCGTGCGCGACATATCTTACGGCCACGAATAGTCGGGGGTCCAATAGGATCCGGGGGCGCATCTGCATTGGGGTAGATCGTTTTGTTATACGCCCTGCGATTTTCGTTTTGCCGTTTTCGTGGCCAAGTACCCTCGAGTCCACATTCGTTGCCGCGAGAATCGTCGTGAGTGAGAGTGACCCTCACTACGGCTTACAAGAGCCGATCACAGACACTTAGTAGGGAGCGATCGGCCTCATTTCTGCATGCTCAATTACAAAAGTCGAGTTTTCGACTGCCCATCTTCCGGCAATCTGGTTTTCAGCGTTAACCGAGAAATCACGCGGTTTCAGACCACCAAACATTCATCTTTGCGATGAAATGTCCACAGACTGTGACGAGACGATATGCCACAGTCAACAAGCGACCTGCCATGTCCCGGCGATTGCTCGCTGCCGAGACATGCGCAGGTCCCGCGTTCCGGCGCCGGGTGCTCCGCTGACTGATCCCGACCGGCTCCGTAACCTGGATCCGCGGTTCGGCGGCCGGCGGCAATCTGCCAGAGATCGTTCTTTCAGTTTCAAACAGCACACATGCTTCATTGTGTCCGTCTTACTCGCCATACAGTCAAGCTGCAACTTGACAGAGGTTGTGTGCCAACACGCTAGGATCCCTATAATGATACATGAGCATCCAGGGAGTTAAGAATAGACTCGGGCAGCACAACACCATTGATGGGAATGCACATCAATACGCAAATCTGATATTCCAAACCATAGCAGCTGTCAAGTCTCCAAGGGTTCAGTATCTCTAAGGTTGATGCTAATTACGTTGCTGCTCTTCAGCGACCTCGCAGCATGCCACTCCGTTGGCTCCAATCTAACTGGGCCTCTCGTCCCAAGTCTCTTACTGTTTCGAGTTCAATCCTACAACCCTCCACCCCCAACAAACCTACCCACCACCTTGTCCTCAGGACGTCCAAAAACATCTCGCTACGACTCCCGATGCAGAGCGTCTCTCTCGAGTCGGTCCAGTGTACTTCAGCTCGAGGCTGAACAAGCACAAAAATCGAGGCCCGCGGACCGGACCCCCTGCAACCCTGTAATAGCGTCCGCAAATACCACGCCAGATCATTGCTCGGGTTCGGCGCAGCAAGACTGCTCCTCCCCAAGGCAGCTGAAGACTTGCCCGCTATCCGTGCCGCGGGGGTGTTCATTAATTGGTAACGAGTCAGCGTCGCGCGATGCCGCTTGATCGGGATAACCGGGATCTCCGAAGACAAGTCCACTTGGGCAATGAGGGCCGTCCAGGGTATCTCTGGAAAAAATCTAGAAGAAACTAGCAAGCCTTAAAATAGGTCGGGGCCATCACCCAGCTGCGAATCTATCCTCAACAGACATCGGCTCGTCTTACTGTCGTTTGTCCATCATGTTGCATGAACTCTGGTAGGGCCCAGACACCGAGAGGAAACCTCCATCCCAAGGACAGTGATGCAAGGTCAGCAACAAACTTTCTTGTCCAGTGCTACCGTGCGACCTCCAGCAACTTGTCATACCGACGCATCCCGCATTCGGCACCTCACTTTCGATCCCCCGCTGAGGTCATTCCACCCGTTCCCCCCCCTTGTGCGACCAGGGACCCCCCATTCCCTCAGCTGTTGTGCACAACCACGAGGTCAGGCGCAAGCCCCGTCTCAGCGCAGTCTGCTGGAAAGGATATCCCGAGCTCACATCACGCTACCAGACGGTGAGTCCTCACCGCGGAACACCTTTTGCGTGCGTATGAGAGAGAGAAGAGAAGACACGTTCCGCGTATCCCATAGATCGATACGGCAGCCGAACTCCAACAAACCCTCAAACACACCGAACCGGTGGACCGCCTGATTCAAGCCTCGTCCATCCTTGCATCATTCCTTTGCATTCCATGTGCCCGCCCGATGTACAGTGCCCTCGCAACGGGTGTCGTGGTCTTGCGTAGGTACAGAGAGAACACGCCCGAAAAAAAGAAAAGAAAAAAGGCTACCCGGCGAGAAATGCAGGCCGTCAGCCCACGGTCGCCAATCTGGTCCCGTCTTCTGTTCCTTGCTACCCGGGCCTCAATTCACGGTTCTGCCTCTCCGTCATGCACAAGGGGTGGCCCCGGACCGTGGGCCACGCACCTCAAACTCGGGTTCCTAACTCTTCTTCCATGCTCCCACTCTTCCTCCTACCTTAAATAAAAGATCCATCGCTGTCCCGCACGTCCGTTTGCAACGTCCTGACTGTCATCTCGATTTTCCCTTGATTTCCCCCCTCTCGTCCTCCTGCAACGCTGCGCAACCTCACTTACAGACATCACCACCCTCGTTTCTCGAACAACTGGCCGGAGTCGAATACGAAACCCCGCGAGATCCACGTTACCTGAACACACAGAGAGCAGTACACTTTGACGAGAACTCTGTGACGCCTTCGCCAATAATATATAATCACCAAAAGTCAAGATGTCGGCCCAGATCGAGTACAATCAGATGCCAAGAGAGCCTGCGCCAGCCGTGCTCTCGGAGCAGAAGTTCAACGCCGAGCAACCGGTAAGTCCTGACCCCAACACCTGTTTCACCGGCGGTTGAGAATTCAACCTGCCCCATCGAGCTGCTCTCTTCCGCCTCTGAACAGTCGGTTCAAACTTGTGCAATCCTCCGAACCTGAGCTAACCGGCAACGACTCAGCGCCCAAGCGAGCCGATGACAATGGACCAAACAACGCACCTCCGCGGCGGGCGAGGCGGCGATGGCGGAGTAAGTAGACCAACCAAAAGCCCCCCAGAGAGCCCATCTTTGCCTCCAACCCCCCCCCCTTCATTCTCGACTTCCCACGCCTGCGCCTGAAAGCCCACATCGACCTCTGTCCAGTCACGTAAAAGAAAGGCCGGGGAAGCTGATGCGCGAGGTTCTCTCCTTGCGAAGCACGATAGCTAACAGACGACTCCCACTTCATCAAGGCCCTCTGCTGCGGTATCTGCGCCGGTCTCTGCTGCTACGAGTGCCTCGACTGCTGCTGCTGCTGCTGCTAGTCCCTCCAAGGACGTTTTGAGATCGAGTTTCCTGTCGAACCGAGAGTCCGGAACTCGTTCTCGAGGATAGACCGACATTGTTTCGAAACGGAATGCGTAAGTGGGATCGAGCCGAGGAGTCCCGCACTCTACGCGAGGGAGCGGGTGGTCGGTACGGAGCGGCTATAGTGATTAGGGACACCAGGCGCAAATCATATACCAGGGCATCGGATTCATGCCCGAGACTTTTTCCATGTCGCAACTTTGTAGACTAGCATCTTGGAATAATCGTACTCTGTTTTGGGTATTCTGAGCTTGTCTTACATCGCTCTCGTGCCAGTGCTCAGCTGACGCGATCTCCCGACTACCCTTTCTTCCTCGATGGCCTCGGATGCCGCACACGTTGGCTCTGCCCCGACATACATAAAGTCGAAAGAGTGCCGCTTCCGTCTTCTGTTCTACACAGCCAAATCCATCCTCGCTTACAACTTTGAGCGAACGTCCTTGGCGGGCCTGTCGCAGTCAGCATCACACTCAGTCATCTCGAGGCTCGTCCACTTACGCGGCAATCTTCTCCGTCTCCTTCTTGATGGCGGCGCCGAGCTCGGGCGTGACCCTCGAGAACATCTCGTAGGTGCGCGCGCGGACGTCGGGGTGGGCGCCGGCCAGGGCGCCCGAGACGTTGGAGACAAAGTTCTTCTGCTGGCCCTCCTGGCGGCCGAGGACCTTCCAGAGACCGAGGGCCTGCTCGTAGTCTTCGGGCTTGACGTCTCCGAAGAGGTCGGTGACGACCTCGCCGGCCCACTTCTCGTGCGGGGTGTTGACGGCCTTGACGGGCTTGTAGTTTAGGGGGCGGAACGTCGAGGCGTAGTTCTGCGAGGGAGGGTCAGCTACGTTCCTACCAGCAAATACAGGGCGATGCAAAGACGTACGGGGTTCGCGCCATAGTTGCCGTTGACGGCCATGGCGCCGTCTCTCTGGAAGGGGTTGAAGGCGTTGAGGGGCGCGTTGACCGGGATCTGCTGGTAGTTGACGCCGAGACGGTGGCGGTGAGTGTCGGGGTAGGAGAAGAGGCGGGACTGCAGGACGGGGTCGGCGGTGGGCTCGACGCCGGGGACCAGGTGGGACGGGGCGAAGGCGGCCTGCTCGATCTCGGCAAAGTAGTTCTCGGGGTTCTTGTTGAGGGTGAGCTTGCCAAAGGGCCGCAGAGGCACCTCGCTCTGAGGCCAGACCTTGGTCAGGTCAAAGATGTTCCACTTGAACTTCTCGGCCTGCTCGGGGGTCAGGGTCTGGACGTAGACGGTCCAGCTGGGGTGCTCGCCCCGCTCGATGGCCTCAAAGAGGTCCTGCGTGTGCCAGTCGGGGTTCTCGGACGCCATCTTGGCGGCCTCCGCGTTGGTGAAGGTCTTGTTGCCCTGGTCCGTCTTCAGGTGAATCTGGACGTAGACGAAGGAGCCGTCGGGCTTGGTCCACTTGTGGGTGTGACCCGAGTAGCCGTTCATGTGGCGGTAGGAGTAGGGGGTACCGCGGTCAGAGAACAAATGCATCAGTTGGTGGATGCATTCCTGGTTTTTCGTCCAGTAGTCGAACAATTGGGACGTCAATAAGATGCATACTAAGCCTGGGAGTCATTGCTTACCATCTGTTCGAGTTAGAAGCGGTTCCATCGAGAGTTGGTGGTGAGACTTACCATTGTGGCATCCTTGAGGTTGGTTTGCGGGTGGCGCTTCTGGGTGTGGATAAACACCTAGACACATTAATACGATGCTCCAAACACACGCAATCGGCGGACTAAAGTACCGGGAACTTGACCGGGTCGCGAAGGAAGAAAATGGGCGTGTTGTTGTAGACCCAGTCCCAGTTGCCCTCGTCGGTGTAGAACTTGACGGAGAAACCTCTGGGGTCGCGCGCAGAGTCGGCAGAGCCCTTCTCGCCGCCGACGGTCGAGAAACGGACAAGCGCCTTGGTCTTCTTGCCGACCTGGTTGAGCATGTCGATGGAGGAAATGTCGCTGATGTCGTGGGTGACCTCGAACTACAGCCGCGGCGTCAGCAATCCCGCTCGCTCGCGCCCGCCCCAAACAAAGACTCTTCAACGAACCTCGCCGTAAGCACCGGCGCCCTTGGCATGGACGACACGCTCGGGAATGCGCTCGCGGTCAAAGTGAGCCAGCAGGTCGATCAGGTGGAAGTCCTGGAGCAGCAGAGGGCCCTGGGGACCGATGCGCTGCCACGCCTGGGGGTTCTCGACGGGGGCGCCATTGGAGGTGGTGTAAGTCGGCTTCTCGTTGTACCGGTAGGTGGAAGGAGGCTTCTCGTCGGAACCCATCTTGTCGGTCTGGTCTCGTCTTCGTTGGGGTGGGAGAGGGTAAAGCTTCGAAGGGGGGTCGGTTGACTTGGATCCAAGGTTGAATACCAACAAACACAGGCGGCAGACGGCAAGTCAGGTCAAAGACAGATCAAAGAGGGTCACCAGGGGTCCAATTGAAGGGAAGGGGGAAAGATAAATATTCTACGGCAGAGGAAAAGATGGCGGGACCCTCGTAGCACCTCGGCCCCTCCCTCTCTCCCACCAGCTGCTCCAGTTTCTTCGGCTCCTGGAGCCAGAAGCTCCTCCCAGTCAGGGCGTTCAAGTTACGAAGCAGAAACCCAGGGCACGACATGCGTCGGCCGGGCAAGGGGGCGTTCTCTCAGATTTGTGAAGCTCCGGCGGGACATGGGGCCAATGGGAGGGCCGATGAATGCAAGCTTGGGATGGCCGAGGTCCACCGGGAGGCTCCATCGCGAGATTTCCTAGCGTCGTTCGGCCACCCACCCCTTGTAGCTCCACCCCTGTTGCTGAGGTATGTGAGTGAAGCGTCAACCGTTTAGCGGCCCTGCCATGCCTGTGGAAGACAAGCGAACCTGTTAGTCCTGCTGGAAAGCAGCTTGACTCGAGGCTCTTGGTGTAGAGGCTCTGCTCAACTAGTAATTTTGACACATCGTGCAGCCTACTCGCATTCAGTCGTTGGCAGTTCCGAGTAACTGCACGGCATTATTCAAGGTCGTAGATAACCTGCTTTTTTCTTGCTTTCCTGGCCCCTCCGACAACGGCGGGGTTCCACCACGCACTGCCAAGTTGGATTTTGCCGGGTGCACCAGTCATGACATGGTCTTGCTGACCTCCCCAGATGTTGCGGGGGAAGACGTTGGATGCGTTGACGTCGGGCTTGGGGACATTCCAGCCTTTGGCGATGCGGAGAAAACTCGCCGAGAGCTCGCAGAGAGGAAAGGCGCAGCATGGACATGCTGGTGCTGGAGGCGCTCATCAGGCCACTTACATGCAGCTCGGCGGCCGGGCTGGCTTCCCGTCGCGTTGAGATCACCGGCGGACAAACACCTCCGATGCCGTGGCTGATCATCGCATATATCTGCCATAGGCTTTGGCGAACCAGCGTGTAACACAGGACCTTGAACCTTCCCAAAAGGCCAAAAAGCACCCGGCATTTGAGTTGACCTCTGACGCCAATCCGCACCCTTTCATAGCCTGGCCTTGGGGCCTCGCCGGCTTCACAGCCGTATCGCGCTTCACCGAACGCGACTCACCGGCCGCGCCTGCTCACCTCGTGTTTTTTGCCCAATTCGGGACAGACAGATGAGCTGCCATGACATCACTAGCCCTGGCCAGAAAGGCAGTCCAATCCGGCGGTGCCCCATTCGCCATGGCTTTCCCTCGGCCTGGGAGTGGAGCGTAAGACTAGCAGCCAGTATCGTGTTATCGCCGAGATCGCGCGAAGCGGTTCCGCCACGGCAAAGTCGCGTCCACACCAGAGACGTCCTCGCAGCGGCCGAGGTCCAAGCAAAGCCTCTATCTCGCGGTGTCACATGGCCGCACGCCAGGTTCGGCTGGCGAGCCGATGAACGTCGGTGGGATTCCCGGGCGCCGCGGGCTCTGCTTTGGAAGGGTGCTGTCGGCCAAACGCCGAGAACTAAGACGTCGCATCTCGGCGATATCCCGGGGGTGTCCGGGTTCTTGCATTTTAACCTGGACATCTATTGTTTTGCATGCTGTTGGTTTGCAAGGTCTACTCCAGTATGTTGGGTAAAGTTATTAGAAAAGATCTAATCCAAGCAAACCGCAAAATATTCTGTTGTTGAGAGGAGCAGGAACTCGGCACAATCCGACATCAGTCAGTCGGCAAGAGGCAAGTTCCGTTCAGTCCGCCAGGGACCTAGGAGACTGTAAAGGACAATTCAAACTTTCCTTAGCAAACCAGACGGTCGCTGCCGATGCGGAAAGCATCCCGGAAAGCCAAGTCGTTCCGTAGCTGCATGTGGCAAGCTGCAAGCTGCAGTCGACACTGAAAGAGGTGCAGAAAGTGACAGGGATCAGCCCATTGGACCCCAGTGACATCTGTCAAACAACCCTGTCAACTGGCGACATACTACAGCGCCGGGTGTACAACGTTCCAGCTCTCACGGCTACGGACACATAGTTGGTGATCCCAAGGTGAAGGCTTCATCGGGCGATACTTACAATTGTCACGCAATGACAGCGGTCGAGCATTGATTTGGCGGGAACCAGGTTGCCGACGCCGGAAACTGTAACGAATAGATACCAGATCAAATTCACGCCGTCAGTAACTGTTATACACTCGTTGAAATAGATATCAACTCAACGCTTTTCTTCTCTTTCAATAACGTCTTCGATGTTGCTATCGGCGGATGGAATGAGATGCGAAACTTGGCTCAAGGAAAACAACCTCTCCTGCTATAAAAAGATGAGCGTCGTACGGGGAACTTGTAGCATACAGCCACAGCGGACATCTTAAGAGATCCGGTCAACGTGTCTCCTCGTCCTTCGGGCGGCCTTGATAAAACCATACGGGCTAGAGCCCCTGTGCCGTTCGTAAAGTTTGCTTGTTCACTCCGACGGGTTCTGTATTTCTATCAGTAACGGCAAATGCCAGCCCGCTCTCTCACAACGGGCTGAAGAGGAGTGCCGTCTCGGGCCTGTAACCAAGCCTTTCACGAACCCTTGATAAAGCTGAAGAGGGTAAGTTCGGTGACATGTGACATGCGAAGCGCGGGCTTGGGAGGTCGAATGCGGATGTCGTCGACATACACCCAAGGGCTTCCCTCCATATGCTGTAGCCATGCCGATGAGCGGGGCTTGACATCCTTTCCCAACAGGTCCTCGGATAGTGTAAAACGTATACAGACGATTGTTTCCCAGATGAATGACAAACCTCAGCTTAGATGAGAGCAGAGAGGCTGGATGTATTGCCCCGGCTTCCTCTAAGCCCTAGAATCACACACATACTGCACTCAACGGTGAAGGGCAAACAGCAGAGAGCAAACGTGGCAAACTCTCCGCAACGGAGAGACTAACGTTGCACCCGCATCCGACCCGGACCCGAACACGTCGTCCATTCATGGAGGCGTTTTACAAGGGGGCGGTTACGGGCAAACATGAGTCTATCACAGATTCACTGCCACAACCCACCAGTGGTTCACAGTGAACAATGTTTATCTTGGTTATGAGGGCACCTGCCGCGTCGACCCTCTGATTAGCAGCACCACTGATGTCAACTAGAAATCCTATATGATATTCCCACAGCCCTGTCTTACGCGTGGAGAACGCCATCTAGTATTGTCGGTAATCTTCACAACGCTCCACGCTACAGACGCCTCCGCGGACTCATCCAACCGAGAACGGCCTGCCATGCTACTCAGTATACCCCTTTTCCTTCTCCTCACCCTCACGGCAGCAACCGCTGGCCAGAACCTAGCACCGCCCCCGGACGACGACACCGTCTGCCCTGAGGGCACAGTCGCCTGCGGCCCAGTCTGTGTCCGCGCAGACCAGCGCTGCTGCAACGACCCCTCCACCTCGGAGTTTTGGTCCTGCGAGAGCACCCGAACATGCGGGCCATCAAAAACGGACGGCTGCCGCACCCCACCAGACCAGCACCCTTCCTTGCCACCAGAGACCTCTGGGCCGCCGTCCACCGCGTCCCACTCGTCTGGCATTGACCCGGCCGACCCAACCACCACGGTGTCTCCCACTGGGATGTGGACGTGGCTGTCGTCCGGTGCCTCAACCTCCCCGCAGCCGACTTCGACGAGCGTGGACCAGCCGCCGACGTGCTTCTTCGAGGTGCCAGCCGTGAAGAGGGTGCCCTCTCAGAAGGAGGCGCCGTGCCCTACATCGCTCGTGTCGTCTGACACCCCTACGGAGGCTCCTGCCAAGACCGGAATGGCGGCCAGGGACCGGCTGTGGGATGTTGCGGTGGTCATTGGGGTTGCGGTAGGGGTCGTTGCGTTGCTGGTATAGTGTGCTGGAGGTCTCATAACGATAGTTGCTCAACGGGTCGGCATTGTTTGTAACAAGGATGTGCCCATAGTCTGAATTTGAGCTGGAGGCAATGACCTCGTCAAGGCCCCTTTTGCAAGCGAGGCTCGAGATTCAAGTGACTCCTGCTAAACGTTCCCTACTCGCCCCCATTTTCCAACTGCTATCTTACGGCCATTCAGATGTAGGATGCAGCCAACACTCTGGCAAGAGACGGGCGTGTCAGAACAGAACCAGGGACGCGGTACGACGTCCCCGTGCTGGCATTAGAAGCGTATAAACTGATAAAACGACGAATCAACTCGAGTTTCTCTCTCTCTGTCTCTCTCGTCCCCGCCATGCCCTTGGCCGCCTCATGAAATGCATCTGCGCAATACGTGTGTCACTCCATTCACATTCGAGAGCCCGTCATGCCAACAAAAAACGTCGACGCCGCGGGCGACTGGCGAGGCTGGCCGGTGACTCTTCCCCCAAAGTCCCACGCTCCGCAATCCGCCTCATCCCTGACAAAGACGAAACGCCGGTGCTTCGGCTCCGCAAGTTCACAAAAGTCCTACGCATGCCCTATCTCCAACAAAAAGAAGTCAACAAAACACACGTTGATGCGCAGCTCTACCCGACTAAAGGGGCCGTATTATAAATCGTGAGGGGCGTTATATATAAAGGTTGTTCGAGGGGATTGCTGTACAGGGTCTACGGAGTCAACACTCCTTGTTTATGACTCCTGGTTGACGGTTTGCTACAACAAGTCAGTGCTCTGTCGGAAAAAGGAACTTGCCCCTCGGGAACGAAAGGGGCAGGGCGTCAACATACGACAAGCCAGTCCATGCCCTCCGTAACACCGCTGCCGTCGACGGCGGAACAGGCCATGATGCTCCAGTTCCGGTCGCGCAGCTCGCCCAGGCGCAGCGCCTCCGAGATCTCGCCCGCGCCCTTGGCGCCGGGCTGGTCTTGCTTGTTGGCGAAGACGAGGAGCGAGGCGTCCTTGAGCTCCTCCTCGTTGAGCATGGCGCCCAGCTCCTCGGCGGCGGTCTGTAGACGCTCGATATCGGTCGAGTCAACGACGAAGATGACGGCCGCCGTGTTGGCGTAGTAACACCGCCAGTACGGGCGGATGCTGGTCTGACCGCCTAGATCCTACGGGCAAGGCGCGCGGGGCGCTCGTGTCAGTCTCTTGAGTATTTACCGGAACGTGTGAGGGGTCAGGGGGCTTCGCGTACCCAGACGTTGAAATTGAGGTTTTTGTATGTGACGGACTCGACGTTGAATCCTATCGTCGGGATCGTGGTAACAACCTCGCCGATCTAGGCAATCCAACACGTTAGCCTCCCAGTCGTTTCGCACATGCGCCTGCGCGCGCAAGCGGCGGGGCTGCCTGGAGCGCAAGCTCACCTTCAATCTGTACAGAAGTGTCGTCTTGCCAGCGTTATCCTACACCCGTGGTTTTGTCAGCTTCGCACGTGCGTCGACGGCCCCAGAGAGCGTCGGTGATGGGAGCTGCCCAGTGCGGTGTCCGTTGGGGGTTGCTGCGTACCAGTCCCAAGATCAATATCCGAATCTCCTTCTTGGACCACAGAAGGCCGGAGAGCCATGACATGCTTGCGCCCATTTTGATGGATTTTGCGTTCGAGGGTGTTGATGCTGCGCTCGAAACTGGGAGGAAGGGACGCGAGGGGCGTGGTGTTGCGGGTTCGGAAGCTTTGCGACTGTAGGCAGTATGTTGTCACTCTACGCGGTTGGCCTCGGGATAGAAGGGTTGGTGGTGGAAATAGGTAGCAAAGGTGGCTTGTTTCCCAAGGGGCAACAGCAGAATGACGGAAGGCGACGAAAAGCTCCGCTCCTGTCGGTGAGTCGGGTACCTTATGTATAAAGCCGTGGCACCCGTGTCCGTCTTGGTAAAGAAAAACCCAACAATTCGGATGAAGCTCAGGGGTAAAATAAAATAAAAGCCCGTCTGTCCTTTTCTCCTTTGCGTTTGGTGCCAAATGATCGTTTCGTCCGGTTCGTAAAACTATTTTGTCTACAGTCCAGTGGACAAAGGACCGTTGTAAAATAATCTCAATGGCTTGCTCCCCTGAGGCGTGAGGTAACGCAAAACGGGTCTCCCCCTAATTGACAGTTTTTAAGACATGCATGGGTTGGAATCCTGGGCTGGGCCTCCAAACGGGTGCCACCTGGAATCGTCCGCCGCTCGAGCCCATCGGCACTTTGGGTATTGAGCCATCACATAAGCGAGTCTGTCCTGTCCTTCTGTCCTTGTGCCTAAGGCAGGAACCTTTTAGTAGCTAAGCATAAGAAACTCTTATCTAATCAAAACTCTCTTCAGGGAAAGCCACACAGCTGAGCCTCTTGAGGCGAGTGAGTGCAGTGACTCTTCCAGAAAGCGTGACCGACCCCACCTCTTGCCCTGCCCGCCAATCAGGGCAACTGCGGGCTCGCTAACCCAGGTACGCCTCGTGCGCACGAATTCTCTAGAAATGAGAAATTCCTCCCCAACCCATCGAGAGCACAACTGCACCCAAAGGACTCGACCACTTTGATCAGCACAGCCGTCAAAATGCCGGTACGTGATGCCCACGCCCTCTATGCGCGCCCCCTTTCGACGACGACGATGATGATGTGATACCCCGCGGTCGAATTTACCTGGAAACCGGATGTCGGAGGAGGCACCCCGCGATTTGTTCGCCGTCGCGCGGGTTCGTGGGCTTTGAGAGAGGAGGGGTCGACACACATCATCACGATCCGAGAAGGGGACCGCGGCGAGAAAGCCCCAACCCGGAAGCAGAGCGCTGACGTTGTTCCTCGAATACAGAGCCACAAGTCTTTCCGCACGAAGCAGAAGCTCGCCAAGGCGCAGAAGCAGAACCGCCCTATCCCCCAATGGATCCGTCTTCGCACCGGTAACACCATTCGGTACGATACGCCCTTCGAGAGCGCTCCCTCTGGCCCCTTCCATCATTCGTGAAGGAGGGCCGGACCGAGACCTCGACCCCGAAACCTCATCAAACAGGCACTGACGTGAAGCACAGCTACAACGCGAAGAGACGCCACTGGCGCAAGAGCAAGCTCGGCATCTAAACCACTCGCCTCCTTCTCTCTTCAAAATCCCCTTGCCATACCCTGCGGGCTTTTCCCAGTCTCCATGGTACCGCCGACCGAAACGACGACACCGCGCTCGACTTGGGAAATTTTCTTTCACAACTGGGAGGGGTCACTCTGACGGACTCAACAAATACCCACTGGCTCGAGTCCCGATTCGTGGGGGAGGGAGTCTCACAGGATGGAGGGGAAACAAAATGGGAATGCCCGGCTCGGCTAGACTCTACGTATTGCATGTTACGGTCATAGGGAAAGGAAATGCAAAATCATTGATGCCTCTGAACGAAGACACGAGGCCCCCACGACTCCTCGTTCGCCTGGATATCCGTGATGATGTCGGTCGCTCAGGGTCCGGCTCATCAGTCTGGCTCGCACGTAATCTGTGTCTGGCCATTCGTGCTCGGCCCTGTCTCCAATCCCAGATTGACGACATAGTCTTTACTCAGTTTGACTATATCGTCGGCTGCACTACGACGCCTGGAGCCCTGACGAATTCCCGTCATAGGAATTAGCATACTATACATGTCACGGTTCGAGTCGACACCCTCCCTCTGAGCCGCTGCTCAGCTGCCTGCCATAAGACGGGTGGCGCCATGAATGAACCTTTCACACATTTTTTCAGAAGCGACCCGGGTTATCGGTCGCTCCTGTTCCTGTGTGCCGGCTCCCCTGCCATGTCCGCTATCTTCGGGCGGTTCAAAACATAACAGTAAAGGCTTGCTGCCCAAAGTAGATTGAAACGCAAAAACGTACGTTCGACACGTAGCTAAACGCAAGCTGTCCCGCCCATGGCTTGCAATGTAACTTCCGCAGGTCCCTGGCTCTGGTGGACATCACAACCACGACCCCGCAGGGAACCGTACCGGCTCTACCGAGCAAATGAGAAAAAGTCACTGCCACCGTCCAACTGTGCCCAAGTTCAACGAGAATGAGAACTGAGATATCTTGCTATAACTGTCTAGCAAACCAACTGGCAGAGCATGTCTGCTTCGCAAAAGGTAGTCCTGTGTATCGACTGCCTCACTCGCCATCCTGATGTCCCTGTCCATGAACACCCAAATCCTGACCTGTGGAGCAACCCGCAAACTTTCCAGGTAACCGAAACCGAATCAAAGAGCGATCGTCATAAACGCCGGAGTACGATGCATCACACATTAGGAGTGAAGAGAGATATCCGAAGAGGGATTCGAACCCATACTCCGGCCATCCACCACCCGAGTCGACCAAGGCTCTTAGCGGTCCTCAGCCCACTCGTTCTCGCGGCGAATCTGCTCCTCTTCCTCGGGCGTAAAGTCGTTGGTGATGTTAAAGGTCTTGCGGATCTCCTCGGGTGACTTGCCCTTGATCATGTTGGCGACGGTCTTGCAGCCAACGTCGAGGAGGGGCTTGATGTCGAGGTAGTTGGAGGCCTAGACAGATATCAGCTTGGGCACGTTGTTAGATAACTCAGTAAGTGGGCAACATACAAGGATGATCTCGAAGAGCATCTCCTGATCGACCTGCATGAACTTTTGGTCCCACTCCTCAATCTCGGTGGTCTTCTTGCGAGCATCGTTCTCGTCGTCCTGGGTCTGGACGGGGTCGTTGCGGTGGTGCTCGCACCACTCAATGACCTTGCGGAGGACTGCCTCGTTCACCTGCAAAGAAAAAAGGTTAGCGCCATGCCCAAAGGTGACGCAGTGGCGGGGTAACGACGTACGTTCGGGATGGGAATGGGGTTTTCCTGGCTGATGGCGTCGTCACCGACATCCTCGAGCATGTTCTTGATGAGCATGGAGCGCTCAGCGACAACGCGGTCTAGAATCATCCGGTCAGCAAGGTGCGACGGGGTCGAGTGGTGGTAAGAAGGGTCTAACGTACCGACGGGGATGGTGATGTTGTCGTTGGACTGCACCCAGATCTTGGAGTCCTTCTTTTCGGCGGCCATCTTGACTGGAGTATATGGGTGACTGTGGGATATTGTTCTGGGGAGCGTCAGCTTAGAAGTGGTGAGTTGCGATGGGCGAGTGTTGATTGATGGACTGATCGGCTGAGGTTGTTTGGTGGTGGAGGATGGCGGGGAAGATGAAGAGTCGATCCGAGGAAGAAATCGCAGGCCATGTGCATTGGTCACTTACGGTTCGAAAGAGTAAAATGGTGGCGAAGTCGTTGCGTTCGTGGGCGAGAACAAACGTGATTTGGTCTGGTTCGAAGTGATGTCGACAAACGGAGTGTAATGATGTGCGGTCGGAGATGGCTTTTGAATCACGTCTAGCAGGCAGGCTGACGTTGGGTTGGATGGTTTTGGGGTCGCGGGCGGTTGGTTGTGGAGAAGAGGGAAGGCACAGAGAGTGTGGCTACCCGTAGAAAAGAGAAACACCAGGCAAAGGGCAAGAGAGGCAGGCGCTTTGGTTGGTTCAAAGCGTTTGCTCTTGGTGAATATGTGGGTCCATTACCTCTGGTGCCTGGAGAATTTAGCCACAGGGCACTGCAAACAATCGTCTTTCAGCCGGCCTCAAAGGCCTCAGCGAAAGACCCCGCTACACTGCAGGGCACCTAACGGAACCATGGCGCTTCAAAGCAGGAGGGGAACCCCGCTCTCCTGGAGAGTCTATCAAAAGTGCTGTGCCTTCCATTTCAGAAGTCCAGGGTTATTAGGCAGAAGCAGTGTGAATTTTCCCTCGTCTTTCAATGCTTTGAGTGACTCTTCCCCGACCTCGTTCACCCTTGAGGGCTGGGGGAGAAAGGGTGTTGCTGCCTACGTGCCGTTTCCGGCTTTACACGAACAAGGAGAAGTTCTCTTGCAACTGACACCGTACTGCAACCAAAGACGTCCGTATAGCAACGTTTTACAGCTCAAAGTGAAAGGGGATTGGAACTGACGAGAAACGTCGGCTTGATTATCTCTTGCTTTGATTCGTTGTAGGTCTGCCTGGCGCGACATGCCCCATGCATCTCGAAGGGGATCAACCAGTTTAGCTGAGTCCCGGTTGGCGAATGCATGTATTATCTACTGTTGGATGACTGTCTAACTTGAGTCTCTGATAACCCAGAGCCTCCAGCGAGGTACCTTGGCGGAGAA